CTCTCTTAGACATCTCTGATGCTTATAATATGCTTTGTGGCTCTGAACCACCCTTCATCAGTTTTTTATGGAGACTCAAGAAAGCTGATTGTATCAACAATGAATATCGTGCATGGAATAACAAGAAGAAAAAATATCATTTTACGAAAACAAATAACAAGAAACAAAAGATTCTGAGCTTGTCTTAGTTTTTCTAATTATTAAGTAACACGAATATATTCAACTTTTCCAATACTCTACAAAATTGTTACAAATATTACTGACATTGTAACTTGATTAGATCTTAGATCCATTCTAGGTATCGATGCCATTTCTTTTCTTTTTAATTACATAAAACGATTCCCTCTGGTCCATTAGATCTTTCGTCTCCAAATTTACTTTCTAGTGCTCGCCTCCAATACTCCAAAAGTCTTATCGTTCATAAAAAATCTTGTCTTGTTTTGATGTTATTCATAATGAACCAATATATATAGCTATGTTACGACAATCAAGATGTGCGCTTCATATCGAGCCAAACCTAGTTTTTCAAGATCACACGACCCCTTTGAGGTGTATAGCCACTATATATTTGGGAAGCAATCTGATGCGGTTCTCTAAATATTTCTTACACTCACACGTCAATTAAATCAACTAACAAAGATTGTCACCAAGTTTTAAGATCTAAAACATTCGACTATATTTATGGAAATTTGGGATGAACTTTGGTTTATTTCTCACTATTTTGACATTTACACATCAGATCAACTACTGGTAACGTCGTCACCAAAGAATTTGGGTTTCAAGCATTTTCATATGGAAGTTGGATATTTACGATCTTCATAGGCCAACTTAGGGAAAATATTATGGAATCTTTTTTATTTATTTCATAGTTTGTTATTCGCAAATTTTGTATCTATGTGAAATCGTCTATGTAGTGTTAGATAATTTCACACACAATACACAAACTGGCTACCAATAAGCCAGGTTCTATTTAGTGATACAAAGATAAGCACCACCTTTTTAATTAAGATCAAATGATTAAGTACATATTAGTATATGTCAATCCAACCAAGGCCTCGTGGCCCAGTGGTAAAGGGGTCACAGCTGTGACTTCCGCCACTTGGGTTTGAGTCCCCTTGGCCATCCGGGTTGCCTTAAATGGTAAGAATACGCGGACTGCCATGGGCCTCGTGGGATTAGTCTTTGGGCCTAGAAAGTCTTTAAGATCCCACGGTTATCAAAAAAAAAAAAAAAAAAAAGTATATGTCAACCCCTATATCAAAATCATGAAAGGGCTCGAAGAGAAGAATAGTTTGCAAGAAGAGTTTGGAGTATGTCTGCTTCTCCATCATATCGGAAACCCCAATCTTTCTTCTTGAGAATCTACAAAACAAAAGTACCAAATAAACAATTGCATAGAAACGAGTATATTCTAGGTTTTAATAATTAAGATAATGATATGTATTAAAATAATAAAATTCTCTTAACTTGATGAGGGGTCAATTATTCAAGTTATTTATACGATAGAGTCTGATGGGCTCAGAACAAAAACAACGGTACAAAATTGAAGGGTAAGGTGTAAAAAGGAGAGTCTCATACTTCGAGATTCTCTCTTTTCGTTTTGTTTGAACAGATAAAAACATTATTGATCAAGTAGTGTATTAATAAGGCTACATACTCTTTGTAGCCTTTAATCCAATATCAAATTTCATTAATATCACGGGCTATATAGGGTTCTAAATTTCTACACAAGAGCTATTTACGAGACATGTAAAAATTAGACGACAAAAAGATAAAAGTAAAAATTGATAGGGTAAATACAAAAAAACAAACTATTACTTTAAACTTGTAGGGATGATAATCTTGTAACATTACTGGAAAAATACCACAAAAAATCAAAGATACTTTACAAGTTCCTTTTAATATACATACATTTTTTTATTCCAAGTACAGTTTCATTTTTTTTCCCAGTTAAATAAAACATACACCGAAAATATTTTGGTAGTCTGACACTATTTCTCTATATCAAACTCATATATTCTGTTTAATTTTTAGATTCATCAACGTAAATCTATCTTATCCCCTTCTTTTTATCTAATTCCACAATTCATTTAACTTTCCTCCTATGGATTGTTAAATCGCACATCCTTAAGTGATGTTAAGAACTTTTGTATTGTATTGTTCAGTCTTTTGTCCAATAATTTTTCATTCCCTATAGATTGTTTTTAGGCAGTCATTGTTCAGTAAAGCATATATAGTTTTATTTCTCTTAATGTATTAAATTTGAGGAACTTTTTGTTTCTTGTTCTTATATTTTCCTTCGTTTCCTACATATCTAGGAAATTGAATCTCTGAAAAAGCACAAAGTTTAAAAGTAAAGGGTTGTTTTACATAGAAATATAAGAATGACCTTTTCTATTTATCTCTACAAACTAAGATAAAATTGAGGATACTTTTGAACCGGTAAACTCCCATAAGAATTTACATCTTTTAAAAAAACAGAGTTGCTCCTAATTTTATATAATATGAAGGAGAACTAGTCAAATGCTAGCTAGTTGCCCGAGGAGAAGCAGAGCCTCTCATGTGATATACACATGACATACTTTGTGTTTTATAATACAGAATTATGGTTTTCACATGAATCTATAAGTCAGATTTATCAATAAAGTTAACCTTTGAAAGATCCAGAAAAATTAACTCACTCTTATGGATTATTAAAGAGACCCATTATCAAAATACCTATGACTAAGAGTAGCTTTTTTATAAGAATGAATATCAATTTTGTATGAACTCTGAATGCATATTAATCTTAAGACCTTGTGTGTTTGTTTTTTGACTTAATATATATCTACTAGAGTATGTTCAAATATAAAAAGCAGCAAAAGAAAAATATATATTGAAAACGACATAAAAAAATTATTCGAGGGAATAGAAGAAAGCAAAACAAAAAACAGTTTGCTGCGAATAGAAGAAACAAAGAGATGCATTGCATGCAGAGAAAGTTTCTAGTAATAACAATAAGTTGAGAATAGTTGCACTAAAGAAGAACAGAGAAGAAACCTCATATAGAAGAAAAAAGTGTTGACTCAACAAAATTAAATAAGGATAATAAAAAGGGAAAGGAAATACAGAGATACTGAAAATTTATAAAATTGGTATATACTAAAGTTGTAATTACCGGAATAAGTAGAAAAAAAGAAATGATTGTTTAAGAAAGTAAGAGAAGGAAGTGGTGGGTGAGAGAAGGGATCGTAGTGTCAGAAAAGAAAGAAGGAAGAAGGGGTCACGGGTTTGCCTTGAAAGCCACTTTTGCTCTATCCTTTTTATTTTATTTTATTTTGATTTTTCAGACACTCAGACACATATTCCCCTCCATCTTCTCATTAATCGAGGTTGCTAACTTCCAAAAGTAATTTTACATTTTCACACACACTTTTTCATTATTCTTTTGGTTAACAGCCCCTTTATTTTGATCCAAATTAAAGTTTTTATATGAACTTTATTTTTGTTTAATCCAAGTAAAGTTTGAATTCGAACACCACCTTTATTTACATGAGATTCTCACAGCCGAAACGATTTAGGATATGGTTGGTGTTGTTTAAATTATTGTATCTTTTTCAGCAAAGAACCTACCATTTTACTGTTAATGCTTGCTTTTTTAAAAAAGCTTTTTCGATTTTATTACCGTTTTTTTTTCCCGGCAAAATGTTCTTACTGTTTTACATCACCAAATACTGAAATATGCTTAAGTTGTTGGTAATTTAACTTTCCTTATTTGCCGGTGCACATTAGATTTATCTTCTCATACCCAATTATATATGTGCACAACGTGTTCTTCTCTAGTGACAAGATATAGGATATCACATCTCATTGTCTTTTTTGTATGATTTTGACACGATAGAAGAATCTTTGGAACCAATGAATTTAGCTATTTTCTTCACATCTCATTGTCTTCTTTGTTCTGTTGATAGTTCTACAAATAGGAAAGTGCCTAGACACGGAAGTCTATTAATATGTACCATAAGTGAAACATAACAATTCTAATTTCTCACGTGTAACTTATAACTACGATGATTGGGTTTGAGAGTTTCATAAGAGATTCGGAGATAATGCAATCGTCCTAAATATGGTACATAACAACTTGAAGACTAGTGGGCAAATCAATCACTACTAATCTCTTAGTCTTAGATTCGACACTCTAATCAATATTTCAGCGAAACATATTTCATTTTATAGAAGTGTTCTACCTGTAAATTATGTTTGAGTTTGATAAAGAAAATTAATCATTCAAGTAGAATCTCTCAGTCTCACCGATGGGTCAATAAGTCTATTCAGTTGTCACCCATTTATTTACTAATCAAACGTTAATCATTTCATGATCATTCAATTGTCATATACATTCCTCTACATACAACCTATTCTCATCTCATTTTTAACCAACACTATTTGTGTGTGTGTGTGAGCATGCCAAAGTATATACATATACAGTCTTCCAATTTCATATATACTGTTATAAAAAAAAAGATAAATAGGTATATTCAATTGCCATCCAAGATATTTTTCTTTTCTGGATCAAAGTTTAATCATTTCGTGATCATTTATAATCATTTACGTTTGTTAGTCATATACATTCCTCCCTATCTACATACTTCTTTTCTTCAACTCAATCTTTAACCAAACACTAATTTTGTGCGTGTGTGTGTGTGTGTGCATGCAAAAGTAACACACAAGTCTTCTAATTTCATATATACCAAGAGAAATATCCATATAGTATTACAGAAAACAAGAAAAACAAAAGTCACAAATTAATAGTAGTTACACATGAGGACAGATACACACGTACGATCTATAACCTCAAAAGAAAAACAATTATATAAAAAGCAGAAAAACAAACAAACAAAATTGGTACTCACTCACTCATCAGTACTAGAGTACCGCTTCAGGCTCCCATTTTTATCCAACCCCACCGATACAAAACAAACACACTCGTCTCTCTCTTCTCTCTTCTCGTTCTCTCTCTAATGGCAATGATGGTGGAGAATAGCTACGGCTACGGTGGCGGAGGCGGAGAAAGGATACAGCTAATGGTGGAAGGTCAAGGCAAAGTGGTTCCGGCGCCGTTTCTGACCAAGACTTATCAGCTTGTCGACGATCCCGCGACAGATCATGTCGTCTCTTGGGGAGACGACGACACTACTTTCATCGTTTGGCGTCCACCGGAGTTTGCTCGTGACCTTCTTCCTAATTACTTCAAACACAACAACTTCTCTAGCTTCGTTCGTCAGCTCAACACTTACGTAAGTGTAGACTCAGAAACGATTTTGATTTGTCTTAAAGGAACGATTTTTTTTTACTCAACAACAACTTGTGTTCCGAGTTTTGATCGATTTTGTCTTTAAAAAACCCATTTTTATACCAAAAACGATTTGGGTCTTTAAAGAAAGGAACCATTTTTATACACTCAAACGATTTGGGTTTTTGAGTTTTGAATCGATTTGTAATTAAAGGAAGCATTTTTATACTCAAAAAACGATTTTTGGGTTTTGGGATTTTCCCGATTTTGTCTTGATTTGATCGATTCGTGACTGATTTTGTGATTATCCCTCTTTTTGATTTTATCTTAGGGTTTCAGAAAGATTGTTCCAGACAGATGGGAGTTCGCAAACGAGTTCTTCAAGAGAGGAGAGAAGCATCTCCTCTGCGAAATCCACCGGAGAAAAACATCTCAGTTGATACCGAATCAACATTCTCCGTTCATCACTCACCATCCTCCGCCGCAGATTCCATTCTCCGGCGGCAACTCTTTCTTCCCTTTACCACAGCGCGTCGACGCCTCCGTCGACGACCATTACTGGTGCGAGTCTCCGCCGCCGAGACCACGAGCCGTACCCTCAACCACCGTCGATGCGCAACTCACGGCATTGACCGAAGACAACGAGAGACTACGACGGAGCAACACTGTGTTAATGTCGGAGCTCGCTCACATGAAGAAGCTCTACAACGACATTATCTACTTTGTTCAGAATCATGTCAAGCCTGTTGCTGCTCCGAGCAACTCTTATCTTTCGTCGTTTCTCCAGAAACAGCAACAACCTCCTCCGCCGCTCGATTATTACAATAATGCCACTGCCGCCGTTAATAATCATAATCATAATAATCTCAATGCGTTGAACTCTCCTCCTACTTCGCAAAGCTCCATTACTGTTATTGAAGATGATACTAATCATGAGGTTAACGTGAGGAAGACAAAGCTTTTTGGAGTTTCGTTGCCTTCGTCGAAGAAGAGATCAAATCATTTCTCAGATCAAAGTAGCAAAACTCGACTTGTGTTGGATAAGTCAGATCTTGGACTGAATCTCATGACTGCTTCTACACGTTAAGAGTCTTTTTTTTTGTTTTTTGTTTTTGGTTTAATGTCGTCAGCATTATGATTAGCATTAATGTTGTTTATGATGATTGATGAAGATGAATATGGATTTCTTCTTTTAAGGAAAATATTTTCTTTTTGTTTTTTGTTTACCTGATTAATACTATTAATAAGCTTCTTCTAATTATCTTTTTTTTTTTTTTTTGTTATTAACTTTTGGTTTGTGTTGTTTTCTGGGATTGTTTGTTCTCAGGAAAATGAGAATGTCAGTGATGTTCTAATGTAGATAGGCTTTTAGGTTACTTTCTGCATTTCGAAAATTTTCATGTGTATCGGAGCGATCAAGTTATTAATTTCTTTATTTAATGCTTTCACGTCTTCTTTTTCATATTAATGCGTTTTGTTGTCTTTCTTTTTCCGGATCTTATCCACGTCATCTTTTCCCAGTTTCTGGTTCCCAGAAAATTTTCATTTTGTATTCGTTGTTATGTTATCTTTTCTTTCCATTTTGTGCTGACAAAAAAACAAAAGTAATATTAGTGTTTGCCAGTTCCACGAACGAGGACAAATGGGTGTGTGTGTGTGTGTTGAAAAACAATTACTTTGGGGCTTCTTGAAAACCGATGGCCCAGTACATTAGTTTTTTTTGGAATAAATCTTTCTAAAACAATAAGAACTACAAAAAATGAGGACAAATGTGTGTGATTGTGTGGAATCAAGTGAAGTTCTTCAATGTGTGATTGTGTTAGAATCCCTCAGATTCGGGCTATATCTTCCATTCATAATTTGGGCCTCGCAGACTGATGACAGATTTGACTTTTTGGGCTTAATAGAGCAGACTATTTGGGTTTATTTGAGAACGGTAGGTCGTTCAAAATTTCTGGAGAAAGAGTATATTGTTTTCTGAATAAAACTTAAAAATGGCATATTATGAAGAATTGCCTTCCAAAAAACGTGGGTTTGTAGTGGATATTTTTTATTATAAAATACACCTATAGGTTGGGGGATTATTGAAATAAACTTAGGGAGGGGAGGCATTCTATAAATTGCATGATTTAATTAGTTTCTCACTACACCAAAATCAGAAGGAAAGATCAAAGAACAGAGTGAAATGGCAGAATACTTAGTAACCGGAGGGACCAGCTACATAGGCTCTCACATTATCAAGGGACTTCTTGAATTGGGTCACTCCGTAAGAACAACTGTTAGAGACTCATCAGGTACGTAGATTCCTTTACTTTCTTACAAACTTTGTGAGGTTTGCAAAGCTCCCTTTATAATAATAAAATAATTTGTAAAGTTTCTTTTTTCTCCTTTGTGTTATGGAAGATGAGAAGAAGGCGGCTTTCTTGTGGGACTTGAAAGGAGCAAAAGAAAGGTTGAAGATTTTTGAAGCGGATCTAACGGTTGAGGGAAGCTTTGACGAAGCAGTCAACGGTGTGGATGGAGTCTTCCACATTGCATCTCGTGTTACTACTTCTCATTACACAGCCAATCTGGTCAAACACGATATATCTTATGCAAATAATCTCAGTTTTGTTTCGTTAATGAGGACCTAAAGTCATTGACATCTCTAATGTTATTGATGGTTTTTATTTTAATATTTTTCTCATGAGAAGTTGGTCGATCCCAATGCAAGTGGAACAGTGAATTTGATGAACTCTTGTGCAAAGTCAAGAAAAACAGTGAGAAAGATTGTTCTCACATCTTCTTCAACCTCAATCCGGTTTCGTTATGACGCCACCAATGTCTCTCCACTCAACGAATCACATTGGAGCGATCCAGAGTACTGCGAAGACTTCAAGGTGAGAAACATTTGTTGCATCAATTGGTTTTGAGTTAGAAAGTTAATAATGAAGCCATGAAGGTAACATTAAAACCAAAAAAGAAAAAAACTTAATAATGAAGGTCTTAAACAATGTATATATGTAGCTCGGTATGGTTATGCAAAGACTTTAGGGGAGAAAGAAGTTTGGAGGATTGCAGCCGAGAAGAAGCTAAACCTAGTGGTTGTAATCCCTTCATTTTCGGTCGGTCCAACGCTTAGTCCAAAACCCACTAGCACCCCTCTGATGTTTCTTAACATTCTCAAAGGTGGATAAATATATTCACTTTACACAACTTCACATATACACTTCTTGTGCCAAAATTTGAGTTCCGAGATGATCTTGTTTAAAATAGGTGTTGCTGGACAATACCCAAATTTCAGGGGAGGGTTTGTTCACATAGACGATGTAGTGGCTGCACATATATTGGCAATGGAAGAGCCTAAAGCCGCGGGAAGAATCATTTGCTCGAGTGAAGTGGCTCACTGGTCAGATATCATTGAGATGCTAAAGCCCAAATACCCATCATACACATTTGAGAACAAGTACTTATATATATATCTGCTCCTTTACCTCTACTCTATAATTTGATACTTTTTTAAGAAATGTTTTTTGATGTATGCGTTTGCACGAATAAAACTGTAACAGGTGCGTTAGTGAAGAAGGGAGAGATATGCCTCATTGCTATGACACAACAAAAGATTCGTGAACTTGGCTTTGGGTCCTTCAAGTCATTAGCTGAGATGTTCGATGATTGTATCAAGAGTTTCCAAGACAAGGGCATACTCTAAAATGTGAAAACATCTTTGAGCAATGTGTTAGCATCATTGGGCCTTCGTTAATCTTTTGTTTTTTTGGGGTTTTCTTTCAACTTATATTTGTTTTCGTTGTTCTCTTCCAACATGAGAAGAGATTTGCTTCTGTCACTAAGAGTTTTAAGATTCTAGCTTATCGTTGCCAAAAGCTTTGTCTCGTTGTTTCTCAGTTTCTGAAATAATAAGAAAACGTATTTCTTTTCAGTACTCTTTTCTTAATCCGGCATTTTAAAAGGAACCAACGACTTTAAGTTTATTGATGAAATTAACGTATTAATTCATGAAATTAACAAATGAATTCAAGAGATTAACGAATTATTTATGATTCGTAGATTAAGAAATAATATTGATTTGAGCTTAAACAATTTTTTGTTTTCTCTCAACTTGGAGGAGATCATCCGACCCCATGAGTCGTACTCGTGCTTCAATCTTTTTTGGACGATCCATATACCCCCTACCCTTTCCTCATATATTTTTGGAGATACAGACAAAAACTATTACACATGTTCGAGGTATTTGTCACCTCTTTGCGGAAATAATGTTCGTTACTCTAAATCTTGAGGTACGAATCTCCAAGTTGTTGAGATGACAAAACAATCTTTAAAAAAAAACTAAACTAAAAATAATGTTGATACTTTCTCTATACGAATCTCCAAAGTTGTTGAGATGTTTAAAAACTGATTTCATTTTTTTTTTTTTTTTTTGTTAAAGTGTTTGAAAAATGTTGATCTATAATAAAACATGTGACAAATGAAATTTGGAATTCGTGATCGGTCTGTTCAGAGTTTGTAAACACAAATTTGGAAATTGTTGTAGTCTTCAACAATCTCAAATAGGTTCGAATATTGTAATTCTGAAGTCTAATAGGTTTGAATGTAAAAAATACCAGCATCTAAGCCAACAGGATATACTCATATTATGTTAACGAAATTCTGTTTTTGTCCAGAAGTTAAACAACATTTCAATATCGGTCTTAGCACTTGTGACTATGTAACAACTAAAAGCGTTTACGAATGGCTATAAATGCTTATAAAATTCGCAATAAGAAGATTCAAACTTTAGCAAAAAAATCATTTAGCGAAAACTATTCAAACACTAGACCATACATCTAGTGTTTGAATACACTAACGCTAATCACACACTAGATCTAGGAGTTTAATTAGTTGGGTGCACATACATCTAGGTATTTGGGAGATTTGAGCACGTGACCCGTTGGTCTTAACGTGCTTCCGCCCCTGACCGTAGCAGCACATGCATTTGTGTATAATTTAGCTACTGTAGCAGCACATGCAACGTGAAAAGACCATTGTTTTCATTCTCTAACTCTTGATTAGGTCGATGAATTATTTGGACCAAAGGCATAGTATGTCTCAACTAATTTTTATTGTTTTTTAACCTGGAGAATCACATGTTGAAATTCATATTACTAATCTGAAAAAAAAAACTCGGAATTTTTTTTTTTTTTGCCACTAGAGGTGTCTATGAATGGTCAAAATGACTGAATCGCAATAAAAAGATTCGAATTCTACAACAAATAAAGATTTCAAAGTATGACCACCACTACATAGTTTATGTCTCTTCATAAATATGACACTCATCACTCATCAGATCCTTGGAATTTTTAATTGGATAAAAACTAAAAAAATTAGCTTAGTAGTATTATTTTTGAGTCTCCGAACCAAATCAATAAAAGACAATAGCTACAACCTACAACCACTTCACTTCAAAATACATTTTTTTTAATCAAATAATTATATATTCTTTGGCCTAAAATTTGATTCACGTTGCCGCGGAAAAAAAATATATACTTCACGATTTCATAAAAGTTAGCGTCGGACCAACATATTCTCTTACATCTTGCGACTCAAAAAGTGACAACGTTTATGGATCCAATTAAAATTCAGCCACTCGGAGTCCGTCACGTGGTGGCCATGCCTTGGCCCGGAAGAGGTCACATTAACCCGATGATGAATCTCTGCAAACGCCTCGTCCGTCGAGACCCTAACCTCATCGTCACTTTTGTCGTCACTGAAGAATGGCTCGGTCTCATCGGATCTAACCCAAAACCTGACTCCATTCACTTCGCTACTCTCCCCAATCTCATCCCCTCCGAGCTTGTTCGGGCCAACGACTTAACCACTTTCATCGACGCCGTCTTCACCAGATTGGAAGAGCCGTTCGAGCAGCTGCTTGACAACCTCAGTTTTCCAGCTCCGAGTGCAATCATCGCCGACACTTACGTCCTTTGGGCAGCGAGTGTCGGAACACGAAAGAATATTCCGGTAGTTTCTCTCTGGACGATGTCTGCCACGATGCTCTCCGTCTTACTTCACTTTGATCTAGGGCCTGTTCGTTTGATCATTCAGCTAGATCATCTGGCTGGATCAGCTGAATGATGTTCGTTTAACAACAAAAATGAACAACATCAGATGATCATCCGAATGAGTTTTGAATTTATAGGCAAAATTTTTGATATTTAGATGGATCATCTGGCTGATCCGAATTGGAGCATTTGGATGAGAGATGATCCATCCCAAATATGCAAATGACACATAAACCCCTAAATATATTTACACAAGAAAAATATTAATAATATCTATTTAATAAAAACTAGGAAATCAAAATTATCCACAAAATTATATTTTCCCGTCCAAACCGTAAAATTACGTTTTTCCACCAAAACCGTAAAATTATGTTTTTCCACCAAAACAGCAAAATTATATTTTCCCACCGAAACCGCAAAATCACGTTTTTCGCCAAAAAAAAACTTTTTTTCACCAAAATCGCAAAATAACGTTTTTCCGCCGAAATCGCAAAATGGCGTTTTCCCCAAAACCGTGAAATAACGTTTTTCTGTCGAAATCGCAAAATCACGTTTTTCCGCCGAGACCGAAAAATCATGTTGTTCCGCCAAAACCGAAAAATCGCGTTTTTCTGCCGAAATCTAAAAATCGTGTTGTTCCGCCCAAACCACGCGTTTTCCGCCAAAACCGCAAAATAACATTTTTCTGCCGAAATAAAAAAATAGTGTTGTTCCTTCAAAACGGCAAAATCGCGTTTTCCGCCAAAATCGCGTTTCCCGCCAAAACCGCAAAATCACGCTGTTCCGCTAAAACCGCAAAGATGTTTTTTTTCCTCCAAAACCGCAAAATCGCTTTGTTCCTCCTAAAACGCAAAATCGTGTGTTTCCGCCAAAACCGCAAAATCACGTTTTCCCGCCAAAACCGCAAAAGCGCGTTGTTCCACAAAACCCCCAAAATCGTGTGTTTCCGCAAAAACCGTAAAAATCGCGATGTTCCGCGAAAACCGTGGAATTTCTACCAAAGCCTAGAAATTGTGTTTTTGTGCTGAAACCGCAAAATTGTGGTTTTCCGTTTAAACCGCGAAATTTCTGCTGAAACCTAGAAATCACGTTTTTCCGTTTAAAGTGTAAAATCATATCTTTTCGACGAAACCTTGAAATCGCAGTTTTCTGCTTAAACCGCAAATTCATATTTTTCTGCTGAAACCACAAAATCGCGTTTTTCCGCTTAAACCGAGAAATCACGTTTTTTGCCGATACAAAAAAATCGTGTTTTTCCGCTTAAATCGCAAAAGTGATTTCGCATTTTTTCAGCTAAATCGCGTAGAGTCGTATTTTCCAACCAAAACTGTGAAATTTTGTTTTTCTATCAAAACGCAAAATTACATTTTCATCAAAATTGTGAAATCACGCTTGATGACTTTGATATTATTTTAGATTTAATATTGAAATATTTAGAAAATTAATGTAGATAAAAAAAAGATTTAACAAATATATGAGTATTTTAGTCATTTTTTAATTAAAATCATCTAAATAGACTATTTGAATAGAAGAACACATGAATCATTTAGCTGAACCATTTGAATAAAAATAAAAAAATATCCAAACATCGATGGACCATTTGGATGGATCATCTGCATGCTCCATCCAGATGAGGAAACAAACAGGGCCCTACTCGAAGCTCACGGCCATTTTCCTGTCGAATCATCAGGTACTCACCATAGCAATATATAATTTTTTGTAAAATATAAATACATTGAAATACCACAAAAATAACATAAACATTAAAAATGATTTTTAATGGTTTATAATTTATATATTTAGATTTGGTTTTGTTTTTAGGGATCAAGATGGTTTAGGGTTTATTTTTAGAGTTTAAAGTCAGTTTTAAGTTTATGTTATTCCGGTGGGCGATGCGCTGGCCAGACGAGGCATAGATGCCTCCGTGGGATGTAAGAGATGTGGAGATCGGGAAACTGAGATCCATGTCTTGTTCCGATGCCCCTTTGCAGAGAAAGTCTGGGATTTGGTCCCGGCCATCTTCAAGCCCGCAGCAGATGCGACCATGACAGTCCAAAAGCTGCTCCAATTAGCACCAAAAATGGTCAATCTCCCACCTACAGGTTTGGGTAGAACCCCTCTGTTTCCTTGGATTGTGTGGCAACTTTGGACAGCTAGGAATAAACTCATTTTTGACGACAAGCTCTTCTCGGAAAGAGAGTTAGTGTCAAGAGCTATTAAGGAAGCAAGAAACTGGAAGGAGGCGCAGTTAGCGATACCAGCTCAGAGGACTAGGGATCCCACCCAAGCTAAAGATGGACCCACAGTAGCCGAATACTCTTGCTTTGTCGATGCCGCTTGGTCAGCAGAAACAGGAAGTTGTGGCATGGGTTGGTTTTTTCAAAAGGATCAAGACTCCCTTAGACTTCAAGGAGCCTCCCACAGGTTATGTGTAGGTTCAGCGCTGATGGCAGAAGCTCTAGCTCTCCGAAGCGCTGTAGCTGCAGCCAAGACCCTCCATTTTACCTCTGTGAGTGTCTTCTCAGACTCGCAGTCTCTCATCTCGATGATTTCTTCAAGGAATGCATCAAACGAGCTCAAGGGAGTGCTTCATGATATTTTTCAGTTGAGCACAGCCTTTGAGTCTATTGGCTTCTTTCATATCCCTCGTTTAAGTAATTCTGTAGCTGATGCTATTGCTAAAGCGGCTATGCCGCATGTTGTAACTTCTCCGTTTGGAGAGTAAACTTGGTCCCCCTATCTATAAAGCTTGTTTGTTCAAAAAAAAAAAAGTTTATGTTATTTTTGAAAAAAAAAATATTTGTATGGTATAGATCGAAAAACAAACGGGACTAGTGTGATGGTATATGTAGACTATAAACTTATTTTTGTGTTATTTTTAAGAATTGCCAAAAAAAATAATAGTCAATGGTTTTTTTACTTGTTTCTAGAATCGAAAGATGAGGAAATTGTTGATTACATCCCTGGTTTATCTCCGATGCGACTCCGTGACCTTCCACAAATCTTCCACGGCAAGGGTCATCAACTCTTCAATAGTTTCAAGCCGTGTTTTGATGAGCTCTCAAAAGCTAAGTACCTTATCTTCCCCTCTGCTTATGAGCTTGAACCAAAAGCGGTCCAGTTTTTCATTTCCAAGTTTGATTTCCCGGTCTATGCCACCGGTCCGTTAATCCCCTTCCAAGACCTCTCCGTCGGATATGACGGCAGCGAACCAGATTACACTCAGTGGCTTGATAAGCAACCTGAAAGCTCTGTTCTTTACATATCACAAGGGAGTTTTCTTTCGGCCTCGGAAGCTCAGATGGAGGAAATAGTGGATGGAGTGAGAGAGAGCGGAGTCCGGTTCCTTTGGGTGGCTCGTGGTGGCGAGTCGAAGCTGAAGAAGGCTCTTGAAGGTAGCTCGGGGATAGTAGTGAGCTGGACTGATCAGCTACGCGTGCTGTGCCACGTAGCTGTCGGAGGATTTTGGACGCATTGCGGGTTTAATTCTACATTGGAAGGGTTATATTCGGGGACACCGATGCTGGTGTTTCCGTTTGTGTGGGATCAGATTCTGAATGCGAAGATGATTGTGGAGGAGTGGAAAGTTGGGGTGAGGTTAGAGGGGAAGAAGACGAAGACGAAGACGAAGACAGAGTTGTTGATCAAGAAAGATGAGGTGAAGGAATTGGTGAAAAAGTTTATGGATGGAGAGAGCCAAGAAGGTAAAGAGATGAGAAGAAGGGCTTCTGATCTCAGTGAGATCTGTCGCCGAGCAAATGATGAAAATGGTTCTTCTAATGTTAACACTGACGCTTTCTTGAACGATATTGCCAAGATCGAGTGAGTGAGCTCTTGTTGTGAGGTTCCAATTCTGTTTACAATTGTTATGCTGTTTGGTTGAGAGTTTTTCTTATGGATTGGCCTCTATGCCTTTAAGAAGTTAAAATTTACTTATAACTTATTATTATATTAAAATAACGTATTTCTTTTTGAAATCTCTTTTGAGGATCTCATGTGTTAAGGAACAATAGACTTCTTTTGAGGTGGTAGAAATGATTTTGATTGGTAGGTAAGGTTAATGATCGAATGGTAGAATTATGTGGTAGAGATATTTTTGTGTTGGTAAATTTGTTTTGGCTAGGCCATGTTTTATGAGTGTTTTGAAACCCGGACTGATTCGGGCACGAACCAAACATAAAAATATCCCAAATATCTCCCCAAATCATTACCACAAACCACAAACGCTACGTTGATTTGTTAATGAGATCAAATCTTAGGTTGTCCATATGTGACTTTTATTGGGCCTGGTTTAGTGAGAGCCTGAAAACTTTGTATGGTCTTTCAAGTCCACGTATAAATTATACGGTATAATGATGAATTTGACGAACCACCGATACATTTCATGGATCTTAAGGAAGAAATTAGTTTGATGAACTTCCATAAGTGTCGTTTACCTTCATCCACTAAAGGTCATCGAAAATTGGACCACAATAAATTTTCTGTATTTTTCGCAAAGAATTTTATTAGATAGAACAACGAGGTGATCATCCGTTTTTCGGCCGAGCGCTCTAGTTTTCGAGAATCCAAATCTTGAAGAGAAATCAAACTGATGTGTAAAATACCAACTGACGCAGAAGAAACTTCGAGGAATAGACTAGCAATTCGTTTGATTCCTAAGCTATTTAGAAAGCGTAGGTGTTTTTTATCCATTTGATTTGCAGAAATACAGTAAATGAGAAAACATGCAGAATTATTTTATCTCGGTGGATTTTGAATCCTACGTTATACTTGTTGAAATCTCTTTAAACTTATGGAAAAAGAGAAAGAGGCAACAACAACACTTCAGTCTTATTTATTTTTTTTGTTCAAACCACTTCAGTCTTATTAATCAATCAAAAACTGAATACAATTTTATTTTTAAACAGTTTATTTTTATAATAAATCTTAAAATCCTAGAAAGAAGTTATAAAAATTAATAAAATATGTTGTAAAGACTTTTTAAAATATTCTAAACATTTGCTACATCAGGTGATTTACATGTTCTAGTTTTCGCCTATTCGAAAAGATTGTAGTCGTAATCACCGTCAACGCTTTATGGGATGACAAAACATATTATGCGTTTTACAAATTTTTGGTATTAGTTTGCATTTCGGGGCAAGATCAATGTACACTAGTTACACACTAAAAAGAAAAAAAAAAGCATTGTCACGTATAAATGTACAATAGTCATTACTATATATACAATACTATATATATATATATATATATAGGTACAGCTAGCTAGCATGCAATGTAGAGGGAAAGCGAGTGCATGGACTTCAGTGAGTGTGTCTCATATAATGCCATTTTAACTTTTAACCTAAAAAGCAAATTCTCTCTTTCTCACTCTCTTTGTCTCAACCAAAATACAAAAGACAATTGCGAGAGTCAATAAAGCATCAGACAAACAACTAACCACATACACACCACAACTTACATGTACATTGATGTCGATCTATGTACACATTCAAAAATTATTATTGGAAATACAAACCTTTTAAAAACGATTACTGCATCATCTGATAGATGTACATATTTACTTAAATAAAAATTTATTCACATATAATTTGTCATGAATGTTATTGAGTTCACCTGTTATTATAAGGAGTAGTTTTTAGTATAAAGATCTGTTCTTGAGTCGTTATAACAGAACAAAAATTTGTAGATTTCAAAGGTTGTACATATATAGAAATATAATAGGCGTACCAAATTATTTAGAATCCGAAATGCTATTAATAATAATCAAGACTGGGTATGTCAAGAAAAGGACGAAATTAAAGAGATGAGCTTAACTAACAATTCATGAAAAAGAATACATCGCAGAAGAATATACACATGATACATGAGACTCGCAGATTACAAGGGAATTCTTAAGTAGATTTAATTCTAGAAACTTATTTTTTTCTCTCCTTTTTTATTTTATTTTTGAAATTATAGATACCAACTGCTTCGTCTGAACCTAAACCAGATCTACATAAGAATTCCACATTTTCTGCCTCGTCTTCTTCACCTACCTTCAGGGTGCAAAGGGAAAAGCTCAAGGGTCACATTGTCAATGATTTTATTAAAAGTAGTTGCCATTGTAGCATTAGTACTACTATTTATGTTTCTTCTGTTTGCTATCTCCAAGTTCTCAAAACCCCAGCTTCTACATGTCCTCTTGTACTCATTCTCGTCCACTAACTCCTCCTTTTGTACCATTGATTCTCTCTACAAAATAAAACAAAACCCTTAACTATAATTAAAGCACATAATAACTATGTAAGATCCTTAATTAATATACATACCCTGATCATGTCTAGTGATGATGATGTTCTTGTCTTCGCTGTTACACTCAGGGTAGAGACACAAGTCGTCTTGAAACTGCTTTGGCAACTTAGGCTGATGAGGTTGCTCCTCTTCTGCTTCTGTCTCTCGCGGGCTTTGTGGTTTTGGAACCAGTAGAACACATTCTTCCCTTCGATTTTTCCGTACTTACCGAGTTGCAATGTGATATGCTCGATCTGCTGAGCATTAGGAGTACGCATACCACCTTTGTATAACATCTCAAGTATCCCTATCTGTTCTTGAGTCGGATTCCATCTTGTCCCTCCGGGGTGCGTCTCAACCTGCTCCCACAAATAATTATTTCATTAGAAAACTTTAACCCGAATAGCATAATATATAAAAGATGACATATGAACCACTCCACGCTGTTTGCAAAACTCTTATAGTGAGACTTTTTCCAAGAAAAATACTATGAAATAACATGTAAATTAATTTTGAATGTACAATAAGGGAACTGACTTGAGGAAGGTCTCGTTTGTGTTCAAGAGGGTATTCAAATTTTCTTGGACCACTTTGATCGGGTCTAATGAAGCTTTTGAGGTCAAAAGTGGCGGAAGTGACGCCAGAGGAAGAAGAAGGAGGGGAGGAAGGGCTGCCGGAGAGCTTGGGAGCGAGTGGACGGAGGCGTTTGCAGCTTAGGCTAAGGGATGATTGCGAGTCATGTTGATCCCATGAAGAAAATCCATTGGAAAACTCATGAACCTTCATTGTTTTATTTAGCTGCTGCTCTCATTACCAGACTTGGCTTATGTATATATAGAAGAGATTTGTAGAATTTCAATGTGTAATGACTATTGTTGGTGATATCCAGTTGGGTGGGAAAAAGAAGGGAAAATGAACAGATGATTTTATTACAAAAGTGGGACGTCGGGAAACCAAAGACCAAATGATGGGGTATGGTTGACTTTTATCATCTAAAATCTCTTTGTCTTTATTGTAAATATAAATATTCGGAAATAAAAGTAATCGGTAAAGAACAAATTTCAAACTCATGAGAAAGATAGTGAAGTCTCTGAAATTTTTGTTTTTTTGTTTTTCTTTTTATTTTCAGAAAGTAAAATTTCATTGCGTGAATATAGATGTATACGTGTGTCTAAATACACATAATACATGCGTACGTGTGATGAGTTTCATCATGTCTGCATGGAGCACTACTTTCAAATATGCATAATATCGTACCAACCAAATTAGATTTATTTCATGCGCATTCCCTCATTTGTGTTAGCCGATGTCAAAACTATCGACCAGATGTGTAGTCTATGATATGTCTTGAGCTCCTATATAAATAGGCGGAATGTTGAGGCACTAGACGTAATATATGTATATATATAGATCAAAAGATTTCTCAATTCACTGAGATTGACTTTATTGACCCAGAGCCAATAGGTTTGCTTTTACAGAATTTAGTAATGAATTGTTTTGTTTCGATCAAATTTTAACAAATGCATGTGATTTATTAGAGAATTCAAAAAACCAAAGCTTCAGACAGTCTTTCATTCTACAAGCAGTAGGGACATAATTTCTCTCTCGCCTTGCTTTATTTTAATAATAAAACACAGACAAAGTTAGCTTTAATGATAGGATGTCGAATGCTTTTCGGTGGCTCTCAAGTCTCAACTACTTTATTTCGAGAAAAGAAGAATAAGAAGAAGGATGAACAAAGGGGAAAAAGTTGTCTTCCAATCCCAATACTCGAAATTGCTCTCATTACTTTTGTAAAGATACGGATTTATCTTAGTTAGTGGTTAATGAGCTAGACCAAACTTTTATGCGGAAAAGAAAAGGCTACAAAGTACATATATTATACTACTAATGTAATACACTATCAGATAGTATTACATTATGAATTATGTTTATTTGTTATTAATACAAAGTCTGGTTAGTTTTGGTACTATAATGCCAAGCGTCGCAGTCACGTTAGATCAGTGTATTGTATTGTTAGTGTTTTGTACATTGGGAACTGCAGAACTTCAATTTCCCAAGTAAATGGTATTTTAATGTACGTACGCAGTCATGTTAGATCACTAGTGTATCATTTTGGCCCTTAAACCTTCTACAGTCCCTAACAGAATGGAAAATGATTAAAATAGCTAGACAAGAGAAAATATACTAAGATATATGCTACCTGGGCCAAGAAAGGTATGTATGTAACTATGTATATGACACATATATCTCTCATTAGTCAATACCTCATCTCTCTTAAGTAGGAGGTGTGGAGATTGCAAACACCCATTTTGAAAAGAAAATCATTAAATGACTTCTTGCCAAGCGTTTTGGTAAGAATATATGCAAGCTATGTCGCAGTCTAGTCTCGAGCCACCTTGGCTTGTCTTGAGAAACTTCTCAAGAATACAGACTGGTCGAGACCCAAGCAAGACCAACCTAGATAAGCCACGAATCTAAAATAATTCCAATAGTCCCACAAGAACATAAGATTTTTTTTTTTTTTTTTTTGAAACTTAATCCATCGAGAGACTTCATTAAGAATATCAGTACGACAAGCGGGACTCACCAAACTTGCTCGACTTATTATTATCTACGATCCTCATCGATGGATGCGAACAAGGTAGCGAGATGAGTGAAGGACTGAAGGCCTTACCATTTTCTTAGTTATATAGTACTATTTTAGAAAAACAGAAATTCTCATTTTGTATATGGTTTTACAGCAGAAATAAAAGAAATGTTTGAGTCGTCCGAAATGTCTCTCGCGATGTGGAGTTTTTGTCGGACATAACGATGTTTTACGGTACGGTATAATTCAGATTTTTGGGAAATTAATTTCAGTATTGGTTACAAATTAAAGCTAGCACAATGACAAAAGACAATCATGTTAATTGGAAAAAGTGAAAGGACAAGTGTCATTCCATCTAGAGATGGTGCGTGAGGGTAATCATATCACGTTTGACACTACAGCCATCCAATAATATACATTTTATGCTTTCTCTTTAAATTCAGGTCTCAGGTAATTAAGAGAGGATGAATTAAGCTTACTAATAAAAAATTGTAACACAAATTTTTAAAGTACTGTTTCAGTTTTATTTAGTGGCTAGTTGCCATATATAGCCAAGAACACACATTGGTCAGATTAGTAGTCAAATGGTGAAGCAACGGTCGTGGCTATTGACCGTGGCTAGTTAACCATTGAGTTTTAAGAGGCCATGGATTATAAAATTCATAAAAATAACTCTATTCCATCAGTGGCTAATTAGTAGCCATAGGGCCACATTTATTTCTGCCACAAATGTTTGATCGCATGTTCTGTCGCATTTCATTGTTAAATATAGTTTGGTAACCGATTTTTTAGCCTTTGATTACGAAAATTTATGTGCCTTAGATTCTTTTTTCTCGTAGTGGGCATGCAAGGCTAGCTTATATAGTCTATCTGTCGATCAATTAAGCGTACAGCATGCATCGTTGCTAAGAACGTAAAGAAAGTATATGAGTTAAGGCGAAGTAATCGTGGTACTGGTTTTCTACCATTATCGTTCACGTAAAATATCGGAAAAGTCGATGCGCATTGCACTGGTTATCTACTTATCTTGTTGTATAGATGTGTTAAAGAAATTGGGATGGTCAAAGGGTCGAGGGAGAATGAATGATTGAATCAAAAGTGATAAGTGATGAAGTCGAGAGTAACCCCTAAGTGGAGCAATCGGTGCTATAATAATATTTATCAATCATTACCAATTCCTATATGTAATCCAACCAACTAAATTTGTAATCATACGCACGTGTTTGTGGCCCACACGTGGCAACCCCTTCCATTTGCATTGTTAGCATTGTGACTTTACTTCTTTCATTCATTCTTCTATGTTATGTTTTTTTTTTTTTTTTTTTTTTGGTCTTATTGAGTGTAAACGGTGTTTTAATCGTATGTTTCTAAGATCGAATAAAATTTGGCTTACAATTTGGATGTATCTGTATAAAAACTCAACATGTTAGGGGGAAAACAGATCTCAAGTATTTTAAAGCTACATAAATAACCAAATCCCTTTTGAACTTATTGTGCTTAGATGATAATTAAAATGCACCCTTGATACTGTTTTGTAGATATCATCATAACCATTCTTACCTACTGCAATGATTTTAAATCAATTATATTAGTAGTACGGAGAGTCTTATAAACTAACAATCATATAAATAATTCTTCGCAAACTCAGTTCTCTTGGTGAATCGTCATATGTTTTTTTTTTACTTTCTAAGACTATGGATGTTTTATACTCCCTTAGTGTCATAATATATATTGCTTTGTAGTTTTTTTTTGTTGTTTCACGATATAAATTATATTCAAAATTCTATGTAAGAAGTAATATACTTTCGCTAAAAAAAATCCACAAAAGAATTAAAGGAAAAAAATCTCCAAAAACTAAAAAGCCAAAAATGCCTTAAAATATGTTTTAACCCGGAAAAACTTATATTATGAGATAGAGGAATTTAGAGCGAAAAACTCCTAAGACTTTCTGTTGCGCATACAAATTATCACATACAAAATGTCTTCATGATAGGTGATAATTCAAGAATTTTATGGTTCAATCAAATTAACCGTATAACTATAATGGAAAACTCAAAAATGTACGGTCGTTGGTGACTTCTTCACCCCATAGTCGTTCTCTTGACTGTTTGTTGCACAGTTGATCCGTTTTCATTGATTAAGTTTTTTTCTTTTCATTAGTTTAATATTTTTTTTTTCACAAAATTAGTTTCTCTTTCTAATGGGCTCTTATTAGAAGAAAAGTAGAAAACTAAACAAAACACACATAAGAAAATCTTTTGGTAAAAAAAACAAAACATAAAAAAATCTTTCTCTCGTCTATCTCAGTTATATATATAATCAATATATTTACTACGTTGACAAAGAAAAAATAACAACATATTTACTTAAATGAAAATGATATGGAAGATTCGCGTTTTGGTAGCTAGGAGTGGAAAATAAAGTTGGAATGAGCAAAATTCTCTTTGCTTTTTGGCCACTCAGACTCACTCTGTCACTCACCTTCACTTTATTTTCTTATCTTTTCATTTAAATTTTTTTACCTCCTTTTTGCTCTTCTTCTTGAGAAAGTGAGAGAAAAAGAGGGAATGAATTGAAAAGGGTTGAAGTGAGTGAGTGACATTATGATCGCATGGCGAGTAAATTGTCAAAGTCATGTAAGGCTAAAGTTGCTACAAAATTTGCATCCAAAATCCCTTCTATCTTTTTATTCTTTATAGAGAACACTCCATTTCTCTAACTTTATCTACTTATTTATATTTTTCACTCACAATTATCGATTTTGACTAAATTCCAAAACCTAGTACTAATAGTGTGCCTAATCACTCATGTAGAGAAATGTTAAAAGTAGGTGAGTTTTTTTAAGGGTTGCTAGTCCCTAAACTAATTTATCGAAGAAACCTGTTGTAGCATTTTAGAGCTCTCGTCGTGAATTGATGGTGATCGGAGAGAAGACCATCGGCTCAGTTCTCGACGGTCATGGCGGAGCTTCCTGACGATGGAGATCAGTGATGTTAACATGTGGGTGGTGGACACACTGTTATTATGATTTGATAAATTTGTTTTATGTTGAATCCACGTGTAGGTTTTAATTGTAATCGCTTTATGTTCTTATAAGTGTTGGGCCTCGAGTATCTGTAAAACCCACTTTCTTAAACATTAATATAATCGCTTTTGCTATCTGGCCACTTTAACCGATTGGGCCTAATAGGCTTCTGTAATATGTTTCTTCACATGCAAATTTGTACATAAACCCCAACACAAAAAAGGGAGAAAACAAAAATCAGAATTGAACCAACATTGATCCATATGTATATTTTCGGTAACTTCATGAACTATTTATCTGTTCCTGACATGTACTGTTATTAGTTAGGAATACAAAAATGGTGTGCCACTTCATCTAAATGTAAATAAATGTTTTTGATTCTTTTGTCTTTGTCCACGCACAAAAAGAAAACAAAAGCAATCAATATATGTTTTGTATTCACGGTCTTACCGTGTCATCGAATATCGGCGAATCATAAATATAAAACAATTAATCCATTGATCAAGTAACGTTGAAAGCACATAAACATATGATATTCTTTGATGTAAAGTACAAGTTTCCGGATGAAGTTTCACAATCAATATCTTCGAGATAAGCTAAACAAATATTCACATATATTGAGATCATGGCATCCAAAGATCACATCAAGCATATAATATCACAATTGGAAGCTTAAAACATTACTAAAGTAGGAGGAAAAGGAGCGAAGAACAAATTCTTAAACAAAACAGAATTATCGCAAATTCTTATGCATTAATTACTACTTGAACTAAAACTCGATCCTCATGGATTCCGGTTCTGTCTAATCAGAGTATAACAATTCATCGATACATATATCTTTATGCATGTATACATATCTATATTTTTCTTGTGTTTCTATGTGTGTCGTGTATGTATATCTAATCGACTAAACAACAACAAAAGAAACTAGATTCTTGTTTATAAACTTATACTATATATCTCCGGATTCGGGTATCTGATTCAAATCGGGTTTGGCAATTAATACCGGCGAAGGTGGAGACATAGGAGCAGAAGAAGCTAGAAGAGCATCGACTCTTGCGCCGACCTCCGCCGCTTTCTCACGAATAAGAGCGGCAGGCATGTCAACGGTTGTCGCGGCCGCTGATCGTTGCTCCTCTTCTTGAAAGAGGAGATCGGGGAAGTTGAGGCGTGCGGAGGGGCCACGGAGGTAAAAGACGGCGGTATCGTATGCTCTAGCGGCGGCTATGGCGGTTGTGTAAGAGCCGAGCCAAAGACGTGAGCGTTTGTTCGGTTCACGTATCTCAGCCACCCACTTGCCCCACTTCCTCTTCCGTATCCCTCTGTACCGCTTAAACGGCGCCGTCGTTGACACATGGCTGGTCCCTTGTTCTTGAGGTGGCTGCCTCATCTTCTGCCTAGACGATTCTTGTTTTAGTTGAAGTTCTTGTTCCATTGATAAAGAAGACAAAACAAAAAGTCTTGGGTGAAGTGGAAGTTTATAAAGCACGGTGACAGAATTGAATATTGAATTACGGCCGAAAGTTTTGGGGATATTAGAGATATTGTTTTTTTTTTTGAAGAAATCGCCAAAGAATGAACCTCGTACTCTTCAATTTTTATCTATTTACTAAATTTGTTACTCATTATGAAAATTTTAAAATATCAAAATTCTGTAATCATCTCTATGGTTATTCTGCACCGATTGTTCTAATTGTTTGCATGAAATGATTAGATCAAAAGAAAAGAAGAAAATTGAAATTTTCTATTTCGTAACGTATTTAAAATTACCGAGTACTATCGCTTGATGTATTATTTATAACTCATCGACTATTTACAAATTTTTGAATAAAATAAGTGAAGTTAGTTTGTAAATTTTTAAATAAAATTATTAATAATAAAATAGAAAGATACCATTTTTTAGGGCAGAAAATAAATAATACATTAGTATAACAATCTGCCTTTATTTTAAAATAAAAATGCGTTGAAGAATATCTTTATGCACGCAACAACATTTGATTCAATCATTCAAACTCTTACTCTTAGTTTGTATCATATAGTATTGCAAAGGCCAAAGTTGCTTATTAAGACAAAGAACCATGTTTTGATTGATAGAGACTTGACTGTTTGTATAAACAGCATTTCTAGAAATTTCGAGCTAAGTTACAATGAGGACACGTCACTGAAGAATAACTTAAGGAAGACACGTAGAAATGGGTTAAAGTTAAACCCAAATATTGGCCGACAAAAACCCCATCAGCTTCCATCTCCCATTTTCTTATCTCCTTTTTCGAACGTCAATCCTCTTAGTCGGCACATGAATTTTAACATTATTACCTAAAATGTATTTTCTTTTAGTTTTGCCACTAACATATATGTAATCTCTTTTCACGTTTATGCGATATTGATATAATTACTGATGCAAAACGACGAAAATGATATAGTGGTTACAAAGAAAAACAGTATAGTACATATCTCTATGTAACCTTTTTCGTTCGCCTGAGCTAACAAAGCGATACAAAAACGATACAACAAACTGACACTTGACACTAAATGATAACCGAAATCAAAAGAGTTTTCAAAGCCGTACCACAAAAGCTTTAGAAAACAGAGAAAACTAAGTAACAATAAGGTTCTTGAACAAAATCCTTTAAAAAAAGAAAAAAATGAGGTTCTTGAACACAATGAATTATAGAAACCAGGATATTGTTTTACGATCCATAATTGTGAAAGAAACTAAGTGGAAAGTTATTAAATATAAAAGGAGATTTTCGGTATCTTATATTAAAAGGATAATGCTAAAAATCTTTTCGAATATTCTTCTTCAAAAACATTTCGCCTTTTTTATAACTTCTTCTATAACAACAAGATGATAAATATCCTTTTCGATATCTTAACGAAACTACCCATAATTTGAAAACATTTTCGTATCATGGCGATTCCAAATCTTCCCTAACAGAGCAAAAACTTAACAAATAAGGACGCCATGACCAATTCGGAGGATCACCACCGTAAGATCCTTCGAGGCAACACAGAATCATCATCCAGAAACACGATTCCCAACGATCTCATCATCGAGATACTCTCTAGATTAACGGGGAAATCCATCGCAATCTGTCGTTGCGTCTCGAAGCAATGGAAGGCCTTACTTCGCAGTCCAGACTTCACCAAATCATTCCTGACCCGTTCATCGTCTCGGCCGCGTATTTTGATCACGTACCAAGCCGAGGGTAAGTGGCACTTCTTCTCAGCCCCTCATCCTCGAAATCTTGTTAAGGAGTTAACTCTAGTAGAACCAGATTATCATATGAGTTTCTCCGGACATCCGTACACGGAAAAGTGTCTATCTGTTAACGGATTACTATGTCTTATCGATACATATATGTTAATGGAAAAGAGAGATAGGGTTCCTGTGATATGTAACCCTAGCACGGGTCAGTACGTACCTTTACCCAAGGTGAAAGCGAAGAACAATGATTTGAGAAGCTTTTTCGGGTACGATCCGATCAACAAACAATACAAGGTTATGTGCATGACCGTGACAAGATATAGACAACAAGATAACTCCAAGGAGCATCAAGTTCTGACTATAGGAAAAGGAAAACTATCTTGGAAAAAGATCGAATGCTCGTTTCCTCATTATCCTGATAATAGGCGCGATGGGATATGCATCAACGGGGTTTGTTATTACATAGCCCGGTCGGTCCCCAAAGAGCCTAGTTTGATAGCATGCTTTGATGTTAGGTCTGAGGAATTTAGTTTTATAAAAATGGCAGAGAGCCCTAGTTTAATCTACGTTTCGGCTCTCGTGAACTACAAGGGAAAGTTAGGTCTCGTAGTTCATAATTGTGGTAGTCACGGTGAGTTATGGGTTTTGGATGATACCAAGAAGGAGAAATGGTCGAAGCATATATTTGCTTTGCCGGATGAAGTTTATCATGAGATAATAAGATCAACATGGGCAACCGATACGGGTGAAATCGCTTGGGTCTTAAGTTCTTTGACAAGACCATTATCTGTTTTCTACTCTAACCTGGAGACGAAGAGTGTCAAAAGAGTTATAATTGAAGGAATTGATGAAGAGGCGTTGATGGGTATTCATCGCTTTGGAGCTTTTATAGACCATGTTGAGAATGTGATGTTTCTGTAACAGTTTGGGGGCTAATGGTTTGGTTCTAAGTGTTTCCTTCATTTTATCGTTTCTGATTTCTACTACAATAAATGTTACTTATGGATGTTTTTTAACGTTTGTCCACATTGATCTTAATCTTCTTATCATAATTGGCTCACTTGTCAATCTAATTCTAGTGCTATTACTTTTTTTCTTTTTCTTTTTTGAATGTATGTATACATATGTATCACTTACAGATTACATAGACTTGATAAACAAATTTTACCAAACAAAAGATGAGAGACGCCACCTTATTAATTCTTGGGAGTTGTGAGCTTTTGAGGATGCCAAAAAGGCAAGAAAGGTTGAAGCTTACCAACGTTTTACCGAATTTTGTGGACTTGAGAAAAAAGAGTTTTTGAGAACTTTTGCCCCAACCATTCTTCAGAAAATATTATATAGAATTTTGAGTTTTTTTTAAAGTTCATAAAATGTCAGACGAAAAAAAAAACAGATATTTTACCATCCATAATTGTGAAAGAAAAAGTGGAAAAAACATTTTAAGAAAATATATTTTCGATATCTTATTATTAAAAATGATTTTTTTTAACAACTTATCAAAAAAGATCATGGATCATCTTTTTTCGGTATTCACTTCTGTAAAAACATTTATCATTTTCGACATCTTTGACAAAATAATGATGGTAAATATCATGGCGATTCCACATCTTCCCTAGGGCAGATCAAAAATTTTGACAAGGACGCCACAAACAATTTGATGGATCGCCGTAAAATCATCCGAGGCAACATACAATCATTCACAAAGACGATTCCCAACGATCTCATCATCGAAATATTATCGAGATTGACGACCAAATCCATCGCAATCTGTTGTTGCGTCTCGAAGCAATGGAAGTCCTTGCTACGCACTCCATATTTCACCGAATCGTTCCTGACCCGTTCATCGACTCGGCCGCGTATTTTGATCACGTTCCAAGCCGATGGTAAGTGGCACTTCTTCTCATTCCCTCAGCCTCGAAATCTTGATAAGGAGTTAACTCGTGTAGAACCAGATTATCATATGAGTTTCTCCGGTCACTGGGACGGGAAAAGATGTCTGTCTGCTAACGGATTTATATGTCGTATTGATATATGTATGTCAACGGCAAAGAGAATTAGGGTTCCTGTATTATGTAACCCTAGTACGGTCAGCAACTAACAACTTTACCCAAAGTGAAAGCTAGGAACGTTGATTTGAGAACCTTTTTCGGGTACGATCCGATCGGAAAAGAATATAAGGTTTTGTGCATGACCGTGCCAAGACATAGTCAACGAGTGAACTCCAAGGAGCATCAAGTTCTGACCATAGGAAAAGGAAAATTATCTTGGAGAAAGATCGTCTGCTTATTTCCTCATTATCCTCTAAATTATCACCAGGCTGGGATATGCATTAACGGAGTTTTGTATTACGTAGCTTGGTCTGTCCCCGACAAGACTAGTTTGATAGCATGCTTTGATGTTAGGTCTGAGGAATTTAGATGTATAGAAATGGCAGAGGGCTTTGATAAACCTTACACTTCGGCTCTGGTGAACTACAAGGGAAAGTTAGGTGCCGTAATTTATGTTGATGGTAGTCATGGTGAGTTGTGGGTTCTAGATGACACCGAGAAGAAGAAATGGTCGAAGCATAACTTCGTTTTGCCAGATATGAGTGTTCAACAGATAGAATCAACATGGGCTACTGATACGGATGAAATTGCTTGGGTGGTCCTATGTCCTTTGAGAAGTCCTTTCTGTGTTTTCTACTCCAACCTAGAGAGGAAGAGTGTCAGAAGAGTTGTAATTGAAGGAATTGATGAACAGGCGTTGATGGGTAATCGTCGCTTTTCAGCACAAGTTACTGTTAGAGACCATGTTGAGAATGTGATGTTTTTGTAATAGTTTTGGGGCTAATCGAGGGGTTTGGTTTTAAGTGTTTCCTTTGATTTCTACTACTATATTTCCACATATATTGTTATTTCTGGATGTTATTTTACTTTTCACGACATTGAACTTCATCTTCCATCATATTCTTATGTGGCTCCAATTCTCAATCTTATTCTTGTTAGACTTTGATTTAGAAAGAGAGTGAGAAAGAATGAGACAAAAAACAGAGCAACAGATAAAACATTATCTCTTCTCTCTTGAAGAAGAACATAAACGAGGAATTGGATTTTATTAATCTGAAACTTGATATTTGTTACATCGTGTTACATGGGTTATATAGTAAGACAAAACACAACAAGAGTCTCTCTTCATTAAACCTATCCAACCCTAACTGTCACATTAGTTACTTCTCATACAAGCACCCTTTGATGCAACATAGAATAATCACTTAATTGTATCATACGACCAAACTCAATTAAATCCAACAATTCTAGTGTCATTCCCTTTTTTATTATTTAAAATGAAAAAATGTATCTATGTATGTGTTACTTAAAGATTACATAGACTTGAGAAACATATTTTACCCAAAAAAATATATATGAGACGTCACATTATTAATCAATTATCGCGAGTTGTGAGTTTTTGGGGATGATAAGTACCAAGAATGGTTGATCATGGTAGTTTGATAACATCTTATATATTATTTGGTTTCGAGGCACCACATTCAATTTCAGCTGGTTGATTACTCAGATACCCTTGATGAAAATCTATATTAAATTTTCAAAATTTTCTTTTTTTTTCCTTTACAATATCTTTAAAATTTCATTTTTTATTAATTATTCTTTTCGTGTATTAAGGCAAAAAAAATTATAGAATATATCCGATTCATAAAAATTATAGAATTATCATACACTCCAAAAAAACACTCCAAAATCCAAACCCTAAATTTTATATATACTAGCACTTTCTTCAAACAACCTAAATTGACTGCCGCAAGTTTTCATTCCTGCGTATCCTTTAGATCTCTAAGCTCTGTTTAAAAAATTGATTGCATAATTGAAGTTAGGGTTTCATAGGGACTAGACGAAAGCTTTGTTGGTAAGGGTTTTTAACAGTTGTTAGATAAGGGGGCTTAGAGCAACCAGTAAGAAGAAGATTTGATTCTACACTCTATTGCTAAGTTATGTGTGGTTATGAAGTTTACAAGATAATATACGATTTCTTTGTAGGAGATTACGAGTACGTGGAGGTGGAGAATATCCGATGATGATAGTGTTGAGTTTGAGTTTGAAAAGCGGAGGAAGTTGTTTGTAGAGTATGTTTGGGGAAAAAAACTTCAAACATGACGATGACAATGCCCATGAATATCATGAGGTGAATTGGAAGACGAACATGAGGAATAATTATAATATGTGGTTGTTAGGTTGTTTATTATTGGAGATGTTTACATGTGCTATCATGGATTACTTCAGCATATAACATATTTATTGTTTATTGAATTGTATAACTAATGATCTCTTTTCTCTTTGACAGGTAACATAACGTAACATAATTTCCAATGAACTCTGAGGAGACATTACTGAGCCAAATTCATCAGAATATTGTTTCAAAATTACAGCTTTGTTTCTTCGTCAGGCTTGGCTACCCTGCACTAGATCTCTCGTGTTGGGATGGCTTGCTTAAACTCGACACTGACTCTAAGAAAGCTGGCGGCTCAAGCGGTGATCTATTGGATATAGAGGCAGAGAAACAATCTCCTGCACAACCAGATATCACTACCAACGGAAATCATCTTCAGAGATATTGATCGAGGAAACAACACTATTAATGCTCAGCGTCAACGTAAAAACTTTCGTCACCTCATGAACCTATGACTTCGTTGAGCTGCTGTCTTATTGCTCTGTTTTCCTGTAATATTTTATTAGCTCTCTGTTTTTTTATTACTTTTTTGCTGGAGCTAATTTGTCTAGGTTATGTTTTTGTAGATGAACAGCTACAACCACATAAAGAAATTGCAAGGTTGCATCGTACACATAAGTTGGAAGAAGACGAAACAACAACTGAGACTCAGCTCAATCGAATCTTCTCATCATCGATAACAAATAGATAAGTAATGGTTTTAGCCAATACTCAGCTAAGAGTATAGTGATCACGTGGCGTTTCATATATCATGAAATCGCATCTACAATCTAAGGATCATCGGAATACTTCCTCTGCAAGTTAATCTTTGTTTTGTACTGTTTTTTTCTTTGATCAGCAAAGTTACGTGTTAGTGAAGGAACATATGTATCTTTCACATATAAAGATGATATGTGATCACAAAGAACATATCAACTAGCTTTAAAAAAGAATGATCGGACTAAAAAAATGTGCTCACCATGGTTTTGTTTCACATATGTGGATGTGTGTGCACATGTCTGAAACATGGCAATGAGCTTCAATAAAGTAGTAGAAAATGTCTGTATGGCTCTAATTGTAGATGTCGTGAGAGCATTTTTTATTCTTAAGGCTCAAGAAAACAAATTAAATAGAAAACAATTGTGAACATATATGCATTGTATTGTATTATGTTGACTTTTTTATCATTAGTACACATTTTGACATTTTTATGTATAAGAAGAGAATCAGATCACATTTTCCCACGTTTTGTTGTCTTGATCTTCCCAGTCAATTGTAAATAACAATCTACTCGAAAAGTCCTCATATGGCTGAGAACCTAATCAGAATGAAAGAACCTGTGAAATATAGTTTTTAATAAAGTAAAATCAGATTAATATTTGTTGTGCCAAACATGTTAACGTTAAAACATTTAAATAAATGAAAAGAAAAAAAAACAAATTTACAAGTACATACGGAATTAAGCTTGAGAACTCAATGTTTTAACTGGAACCAACCTACCAGTACCAAGTCTAACCCTCAAGTTCGACATAACAACATCGTTCATCCAGTTTTTGGGTTCATCACGTGAATCAATAGTTAATGCAATACACATAGTATTATTACTCCTCTCTCCCTCCAACACAGTACTAAAAAACAGAGAATGCAAAGATGTCACACACAACTGAAGAAACATTCCCACGTCAATGTTATACAATTGAGATCCAACAATTATCCAAACTCAGGATTCAGGAAAGGCTTGAATCCCGTAAACCTAATAACCATTTTCTAAGAACAGAGTTACCGTAAAACTATAACAACAACAAACCAACATATTATTAAGAATATTAAGATATACCATAATATAGTATCTCATACGTTGGTTTTCTTACGACCCGGTTAATTAAGATATACCAGAATATAAGATGAGACGGAAAAAAAGGGGTTACACATATGCTAGAAAGTTGTTTAGAATGTATATATTGTAGTATAGTGCAGTCAATATGATAATTATAATTCAGTGTAGTTTTATTTACAATTTAAAATATATATTATTCATTTTTTCTTTATCAATATAACATTAATATTACCGATCTAAAATAAAAACAACAACAACTTTCTTTTAGAAAACAAAAACAATATAAGTAAATCGAAAACAAGTGTATAATATAGAATTATAGTGTACTGTTAAGGGAGGAGAGGAGTTTATAGTATAAGATTAGGATTTAGGATGTAGGGTTTATGGTGTACTGTTAAAAGAGAAAGGGATTTATAATGTAGCATTAAAAGCTTCATGAAAATCTAGAGGTATTTTATATGTGTGATATGTTTCAGTCTTTATGTCTTAGAATTGATATAGTGTGTTTCTCAGTCTTTATGTCTTACAAATAAATATTTGTTGCTGGGTTACAAAAAATATTGTCACTTCTCCTCATCAAGTCCTTGCAATGATAGAATTTGGAATTGTGGTTTCTATTTTCTTTACATCATTTTTCTCTATTTTATTCGTTTCAGAAATAGTTTGTGTGCTTTCTAAACTCATGCATTTCTTAATCATAATTTTGCTTGATCATACAAAATAGTGAAGAATATAATATGAAATAAGAAGAAAAAACCTGAATAAAAATAAGGAAAAGAAGAAAATAATTGAAGAATAATAACAAGAAATAAGACGAAAAAACCTGAATATGAAATGAAGACGGAAAAAACAAAAGAAACAAAACAAAACAAGAAAATAATTGAAGAATATGTGAACAATAAAGAAATAAAGAAGTTCAAAAAATCAAAAGATAAGAAAATGAAGAATAAGAACACAAAGTCAGTTGAAAACAAATTGTAAATAAAATGAAGAAAACGAATAAAAAACAGAAAATAAAAAGATGATGATGAAGAGAGGGGAAAAAAAAAAGAATAGAAAGTTTGATCACAATAAAAAAACGGTAGAAAATGGAGGAAAAAAGTATGAAAAAAGTAAAAGACAAAGTAAAAGAAGAACAAGATAAAATGGGGTTATTGTTTACAATGTATGGTTTATATTGATAGATGTAAGGTTTAGTTTTTGATGCATTTTACAAAATTTTAATACACTACATTACCAATCACAAAGAAAATAAAAACTTCTTTTAAGAAAAAAATAAAAATAAAACCAAATACAAAACCAATTTGTAAAATGTAGGGTTCGGATGTTCAGTTTTGGGGGGAAGGGGGGATTGTAGTGTGGGGTTTAGGGTGTAGGGTTGTTTGGGGAGGGGGCTGTTACACTTTGGGGTTTGGGTTATGGTGTAGGGTTTTTTTTTGGGGGGGGGAGGGGGGGTTTACACTGTGTGGTTTGGGTTTATATTGGTGGGTGTAGGGTTTAGTTTTTGGTCATTTTTAAAAATTTGAATTATTATGGAAGAACATCATAATTAAAAATCATTGATTATAAATTCATATTTAATTTTCTAAATTACATTCACAAATAGAAAAAACTAAAATAATTAAGTAAATTCAAAATCGAAAGATAACAAAACCAATAGATTTTTAAAATATCTTGACTATATAAAGATATGAATTATTTCACAAATCCTTGAAAATCTAAACTATCGAATGAATTGATAGCTGAAATACAAGACTTAGACAAGAACTAATAAAAACACGAGTAAAATAAAAGAAGATAGTGAAAAAGAAAATGAGAAATTTGGAGAAGAAGCAAGAAGAAAACTCGAATATGAGGAAAAAGATATCAAAAAGAAAAACTTAAATGTGAAGAAAAGAAACAACAAAGAAAAGATAAATGAAAACTAGAATAATAGTATGTCAGAGAAGACAAAGATGATAAAGATAGAGAGGGGGTTTGAGGAAGAAAAAAACCGGAAAAAAATGTAAAGAAAATTAGAAAGAAAAAGTAGAATAGTTAGTTGGAGGATATGGAGACACAAGAAAATATTGAAGAACAAAAATTTGAAGAAGAAGAAGAAAAAGATGACGAGAACGAATATAAAACTGAAAAAAAAAAAAGATAATTGGAGAACAATAAGAAAGAGAAGAAAACAAGAAGTAGTAAATATTTTGTACATTTGAAAGCGAACGAGGAAGATTATGTAGAAAAGATGAAAAAGAGAAGACAAAAATAAAACACATTAAGATAACAAAAATAAGAAGTAGAGAAAAAAAAAAGGATGAATTAAAAAAAATTATACTACTTATGTTATTAAAATCTTTAATTAATTAATTAATTTAAAAAACCTTGTGCGGGACAACCACCTAGTTTCAACATATTTTCTAATATTATATAACCCCATAATTTGATATCCCTCGTATCATGCGATTCCACATCGTCCCTAGAGCAGAGCAAGGGCAATTAAGATCGCCATGAATGTAATTAAGCATCCCAAGCCACTAACTAGAGAAATAAAATTCATTCAAGTCCAGTAAACTATAGACTTGGGGCACTTGGCATTCAAATTAGGAAAGTGTCAACAAAGGGCAATGAGTTTTTAGAAACAGAGATTTTCCATATCTTATTTTAAAACGATTATGGTAAATATACTTTATTTTCATATATCTTTCTTTAACATCATACATCCCCTTCTGCATCGTCAGTGGAGCAGACCAGAAAATTGGCAAGTAAGGACGCCATGAACAATTCGCTGGATCACCACCGTAAAATCGCCCGAGTCAACAGACAATCATCATCATCATCAAGAAACACGATTCCCAACGATCTTATCATCGAGATACTCTTGAGATTAACGTCGAAAACCATCGCAATCTGTCGTTGCGTCTCGAAGCAATGGAATTCCTTTCTTGGCACTCCATATTTCACTGAATCGTTCCTGATCCGTTCATCAGCTCGGCCACGCATTCTCTTCACGTTCGAAGTAGGCGACAAGTGGCACATCTGCTCATCCCCTCAGCCTCAAAATCTTGATAAGGAGTTAACTCATGTAGCTGCAGATTATCATATGAGTTTGTCCCGGCATTCGCACCGGGAAAATTGTCAGTCTGTCAACGGATTTATCTGTCTCATCGATAAAGGCATGTTAACGAAAAAGAGAGATGCGGCTAGGGTTCCTGTATTATGTAACCCTAGTACGGGTCAGCACGTAACTTTACCCAAAGTGAAAGCTAGGAACAATGATTTGAGAAGCTTTTTCGGGTACGATCCGGTCAACAAACAATACAAGGTTTTGTGCATGACCGTGACAAATTATAGACAAGTTAACTCCAGGGAGCATCAAGTTCTGACATTAGGGAAGGGCAAAAAACTATCTTGGAGAAAGATTGAATGTTCGTTTCCGCATTATCCTGACGATAATAGTGACGGGATATGCATCAACGGGGTTTTGTATTACATGGCTCGCTCCGTCCACGACTACACTAGGTTGATAGCATGCTTTGATGTTAGGTCTGAGGAATTTAGTTTGTTAAACATGCCAGTATCTGAATTTAGGTCGTTACCTTTTTCGGCTCTTGTGAACTACAAGGGAAAGTTAGGTGCCGTGAATTTTAATGGTAGTCATGGTGAGTTATGGGTTCTTGAGAGCGCCGAGAAAGAGAAATGGTCTAAGCATGTCTTCGTTATGCCAGATAAAGGTTTTCATCATACAATAAAATCAACATGGGCTACTGATAGGGATGAAATTGCTTGGGTCCGTACTTTGAAAAGTTCATTATGTGTTTACTACTCCAACCTGGAGACGAAGAGTGTTAGGAGAGTTATGATTCAAGGAATTGATGAACAGGCGTTGATGGCTATTCATCGCTGTGAAGCACAAATTACTGTTAGAGACCATGTTGAGAATGTGATGTTTCTGTAATCGGTTTGGTGACTTTGGTCACTTGGTCGTTTACTGATTTCTACTACTATAGTTCCACTTCTATTGAAATATGGGAGTTGTTTGACTTTTGATGACATTTATCTTAATCTTCTTGATATTATTTGACTCCCTTGTCAATCTTATTTTAGTACTATAGCTTTTTTTTTTTTTTATGTATGTACATATATGTATCAGTATCACTTACAGATTACATACATAGACTTGGAAAATAAAATTTAACCCAAGAGATGATATTAACTCTCGCGAGTTGTGAGCCAAGAAGTTGTACGTTTTGATGCATTTGTGGACTTGAGAAAATATGAGAGACGTGATCCTCACGAGTTGATGATCTCCTTCGAATCACATCTTTTAGCTTTTACATTTTTGTGTGTATTTTTTTTTCTTTGTGATACTTTTCCTCCATATGATCAGAGGGTTCGCCGTGAGATTGAATCCTCATGAATATCTTGTTTTTGAATTTCAAACTACTTCTTCAATTTTAGTATGATTGTTTTTTTACTTATTACATTTGGTTTGTTTTGTTGTTTGGGATAATTTCGAGTTCAATTATATAATTTTAAAACTTCTAGACGTGAGTATTGATTATTTGGTTGAAACATTGTATTCATTAAAATCTTTTTAATTGATGATATTATAGCATAATAATCAAGAAAAAGTAGTTTCCATGTATTCAAAGGAATTTCTCTAAAAATGTTACAGGAATATATATATGTATATCTTCCATATCTTGTTTTGAAAGGAGTACGGTAAATATATTTTTCATATCTTCTATTTATATATATACATATACATGCGATTCCACATCTTCTTACCTAAACCGTAAAGGCTTAAACTCAAAATTTGATAACAGCAGACCAAAAATTTGGCAAGTAAGGACGCCATGAACAATTCGGTGGATCACCACCACCGTAAAATCGTCCGAGTCAACACACAACCATCATCATCAAGAAACACGATTCCCAACGATCTCATCATCGAGATACTTTTGAGATTAACGTCGAAATCCATCGCAATCTGTCGTTGCGTCTCGAAGCAATGGAATTCCTTGCTTGGCACTCCATATTTCACCGAATCGTTCCTGATCCGTTCATCAGCTCGGCCACGCATTCTCTTCACGTTCGAAGTAGGCGACAAGTGGCACATCTGCTCAGCACCTCAGCCTCAAGATCTTGATAAGGACTTAACTGTTGTACATGCAGATTATCATATGGGTATCTCTGGAAAATCTTACTACGAAAACTGTCTATCTGTCCACGGATTAATCTGTCTTACCGGTAGGGTTCCTGTGATATGTAACCCTAGTACGGGTCAGCACATAACTCTATCCGAAGTGAAAGCTAGGAACAAATCTTTGAGAAGCTTTCTCGGGTACGATCTGATCAACAAACAATTCAAGGTTTTGTGCATGACCGTGTCAACATATAGACAACAACGTAAATCCAAGGAGCATCAAGTTCTGACTTTAGGGAAGGGAGAAGTAGAGTGGAGAAAGACTGAATGTTCGTTTCCTCATTACCCTGAAGATTACCGAGATGGAATATCGATATGCATCAACGGGGTCTTGTATTACCCTGCTCGGTCCAACCACACTAGTTTAATAGCATGCTTTGATGTTAGGTCTGAGGAATTTAGTTTTGTGAAATTGGAAGTCGGCGTAAGTAACATTGTGGCTCTGGTGAACTACAAGGGAAAGTTAGGTGCCCTAGCCTATCTTTATGCTAGACCTGGTGAGTTATGGGTTTTGGATGATACCAAGAACGAGAAGTGGTCCAAGCATAGCTTTGTTTTGCCCCATACAGCTCTTCAGGAAATGAAATCAATATGGGCTACTGACACGGGTGAGATTGTTTGGGTGCTTCCTCATTATTCGAAAAGTCCATTCTATGTTTTCTTCTACAACCCGGAGACAAAGAGTGTTAGAAGAATTGAAATCAAAGGAATTAAAGAAAAGGTCTTGAAGGGTCAAGATAGCCATGTACAAGTACAAAACTTCAACGTCACAAATCATGTTGAGAATCTGATCGTTGTCTGATTCTTACTATAGCTAGTATCATCTATTCATCTTTTATTGATCGCTACTTATGAATGTTAGCCTTGTTCGTGTCATATGTTGCGACAGAATCTTCTTTGCATTCATTATTGTTTTCTGAATTGTCATGAACATTTTCTTCATCGGAATGCAATGACATTTTGACTTCTTCTTCTGCATGAATTTTTTATATATATATATATATATGTATTTAATGGCATGCAAATCTCGTCCCGCAAATGAATCCCAAAAATGAGTATCGAAGTGGAAGGCACAACTTGGACTGGACGACAAAGTCAAACTCTCGAAGTCGACTCCAAAATGGACTGAAGAATCATTCAAACGAGCCATTACATGCTTTGACGAGAAACGGACTTGGAGAAGAAAGAGTTCGAATGCAAGGACTTGCAGATGACTGTGATGTTACTTTTATGTGTTGGCGACTTGATACATTAGTACAGATTATATAAGGAACCGAGTACATCAACAAACAATCAGCTACCAAAATATATACAATTTCATTTGTGAAGAAACAACACTGATCATGTAATTGCACTCTTGGCCAAATCAACTGCTTCCTCGTTGTCTTGAAGTGCAAGCTACAAGACTCATTCCACTGAACAATCCACCTCGTGATTTGAAATACCCCGACCGGCTTCTACCGCTTGACGACGCAATGCTCGGTGCCATGATCTGGCTGCTCAAATGAGGGAACTCGATTCCATTCTCTAGTAAGCCTCCTTCAACAACAGCAGCATCATTGCTTGCTTGCTCTGGTTCAACGGTGTCTGCGTTCACCGCAAGCATAGGCCTAACCGTTCTTAACCAATCCGCGCAACCACCCATCACGCCTCTACACTTCTTGATTTTCACCTTGGTTAAACCGGGACATCCGTTGGCGAGATTCTCGATCCCAAGATCGGAGATGGGACAGTTCTTGATACAAAGTTTCCTCAGAGTCGGACACTTCGCCGCAATGCAAGAAAGCTCAGGATCACCAAACGTATCGCAGCCACAAAGCGCCAATCTCTCAAGATTCCCACATTTCGCAGCCAACATTCCTAAACTCAGCGTCGTCGGATTCACTCCGATCAGAACCAGCTCCTGTAACTTTGAGCTAAACTTAGCCACGGCAACGAGTCCTTCGTCTCCGATCAAATTCGCTTTCCATCCATCGATGTGAAGCTTCCGCAAATGCTTACACTTCTCTGCGATCGCAGCTAATCCGAGATTCGTGCACTCAGGTGTCTTGACAAGATGCAGAATCTCGAGGCTTGAGCAATTTGAGATCGCAGATAAAGCTAAATCACTCACTTGCATTCGTTCTAGATGAATCTCGACGATGCCGTGATCCTTCACCGCCATTTCCTGAAGAAGCTTGTCCCAGTCACCGGAACATCTGAAAAGCTTCAGAGATCTGAGATTCTTTGCGCCGACGATCACCGGACCGAAGCATTGACCGTTGTAAAGCTCCTTGAAGCAGATCGATTTCAGAGATGAAGCAGCCGCGCCTGGCCCGATCGAATCCGGAGCTATATCGGAGAAGCCGCGGAGACGCTTGACGGATAATTCCTCGAGAGACGAGCAGTGATCGAGGACGGCTTTAACGCCTTTAGCTCCGAAATCGCAGGATCCACAAGAGAGTATCTTCAAATCCTTGCAATTCTCGGCGAAAGCAGCCATACCTGCGTCGGTGAGCTCACGGCAGGCTCTCAGCTTGAGTCTCTTCAGATTCCGACACCGGAGGGAGATTTTAACGAGCGCTTCGTCGCCGATGCTCACAGATCTGCGATCGCATTTCAACGAGAGCTTCGTAACGGAATCGAATCGAGAGAAGAGGGAAGGGATCGAAGCAAGCAGATCTGAGCGGGCGTGGAGAGAGAGACGGTAACGATTTTGTCCTTCAACGATCAACCACCGTCGACAGACGAGAGCACATCTCTTCCGATTACCGGAATTCAGGAACTGGAACACTAACGCCAAGCACTCGTCGGGTAAATACGAGGAGTAGTCCGGTGAAACGTCAGATTCGTCGGGCTCGGTCGTTTCGAACGGAAAATTCATAGAAAAGGATTTGGTTCTACGTCGATTAAGGGTGGAATTGCCGGCAGCGGATGTTGATTGGCCCATCCAACGAACGTCTCCGGTAAATCGGAAGGTCGTAAGCGGTGGAGGAGAGAATTTTCGAATTTGGGATTTGTCGGTTTGAGGGAGGAGCGTCGGTTTAAAGGTAAAGTTGGATATTAGTTCGAGGAAGCTGTTGCTTACGGTTTTCTATTAGATTTTTGAGTGGAATTGTTTTTTTTTTCCGGTTACCGGTTAATTCTGTTTGGGTTCTGATAACAACATTTTTGTTATAATATTTTCTTTTATTTTTCACCACCGCTTTCCATATCCTTCTATTTTAATTTTATTCTTGGTAGACTCTTTTATTTGTCACTATATCTTAATATACTTTTTTGGTAAAAATGTTAAGTTTATCTTGATACAAAATAAAATGCTTAAGTATATCTTTAACAACAAAGAATGTTAAGTATATCTTAATATACTTATATACACATAGCTAGGTTGTCTAGGTTTTAATATAAGCTCGCTCTCTCTCTCGTTTCCGATTGATCAGCAATCATGAATTCATATTTCATTCCCACTGATCTCATGATCGAGATATTCTCGAGACTGCCTACACAATCAGTCGCGAGGTTTCATTGCGTGTCGAAGCAATGGTGTTCCATATTTCACAGTCACGGTTTCACCGAGTAGTTCTTGACCAGATCCTCGACTCGTCCACGTCTCTCATATATCTTTTACTTGCGGTCTAAGAATACAACGAGTGGAAAGTTTATAAATCCCTTCAGCTTTAAATCAATACGATAAGTCGTCGTCCTCTCGTCTCGTGTAGTAGCTGCCGATTTTCATATGGAGTTTCCTCCACAGAATATGGCATTCAAACCCTAGTAGTGACCGAGCTGTTTCATGTGGTTATGCCTCTGGTATGGTGTGTGGATCAGAGAGGACGATTACCATGAAGTGCCTCTGATATGTGACCCTAACATGGGACGATATGTAACTCTTACTATGTGTTTTGTGTTCTTTAATTAGTTCATAGAACAGATGTACGAATTAGACAGATCTCTAGTTTTTTTTTTTTTTTTTTTTATGTAACGAATGCACAAGTCTTCTTCTTTTAAATTTCATCTCTCTTCAGTTTCTAAATCAATATATTTTCTGATTCATTCCATTTTCATTTTAAATATATTTTTTTTTTGTTTACTCTTTTTACTTGGCAAGATATGTAATGGTTACCTAGAGATCTTAACATACACACAGCTAGGCCTAGGTATCGATATAAGTTTTAACATCTCTCTCTTTCTCTCATATCCATCCGATTGATATATACCAGCAACCATGAATTCAGATCTCATCCCGTATGATCTCATGATCGAGATTTTCTCGAGACTGCCTTCAAAGTCAATCGCGAGGTTTCATTGCGTGTCGAAGCAATGGGGTTCCATGTTTCACCATCCAGATTTCACCAACTTGTTCCTAGAATTTGGATCTCTAGGTCACACCGATTGAGAGATGCTCAATAATTTAATTTCATCAATGCTGTGTATTTAGCAATTGAGAGAAAAGTGACTTTGTTGTTTTAGGACAGATAAACTGATAAAAGTTTACACGTCAAATTCTAAGAGATCGTAGTTTCAGTACGTAGCTGATGAGATGTGAATCATAAAGCTTCCTAATATACTGACCAAAGAACGGCAAAAAAAAAAAAACAATATTCAACGGTTAATGCTGAAATCCAAATTCCATTAAACACTGTTTTAATTTCATTTTCTTGCAAAACAGGGACGAAAAAAAAAAGGCAAAAAAAAAGAAGCAAACCAAAGGTAATTTCTTAAAGCCCAATGCTTCTTTGATTTCTTGGGACTTAGGTTATTTATTTTCTCGGCCGCTTTCCTTATCTTCCATTTTTTGTGTTTTTAACTCTTTTCCTTGCCACGATATATAATGGTGTGACCTAGAGATCTTAACATACATCCATAGCTAGGTTTTTCTAGGTATCAACAATATAAGTTTTAACATCTCTCTCTTTCTCTCATATCCATCCGATCGATATCAGCAATCATGAACTCAGATTTCATCCCCTATGATCTCATGATCGATATATTCTCCAGACTGCCTAAAAAATCTATCGCTAGGTTTCATTGCGTGTCGAAGCAATGGGGTTCCATGTTTCACAGTCAAGATTTCACCAAGTTGTTCTTGGCAAGATCATCGGCTCGTCCACGTCTCTTATTTGCGGTCAAAGGATACAACGAGTGGAGCTTTTACTCGTCGCCTCAGCGTCAGAATCCATACGAGAAGTCTTCGTCGTCTCATGAAGTTGTGTCAAATTCGGGTTAACACATGGACATCCAACCTAAAACCAATTGGCAATAGGTGGAGAGGCCCTAACCCTTTATATATTACTTAATTATTTCTCCAACTACCGATGTGGGACTTTCCACATTAACACCCCCTCACGCTCAGAGGTCATCATCTGAAGCGTGGGCAATTGTGGGAACAACATCCACGGGGTGGCCCAGAATCGACTGCTCTGATACCATGTCAAGTTTCCTCGGTATCCAACCTAAAACCAATTGGCGATAGGTGGAGAGGCCCTAACCCTTTATATATTACTTAATTATTTCTCCAATTACCGATGTGGGACTTTTCACATTAACATAAAGAAATCGTAAAGTTTGTCAAAGTTTACGATTTCTCATAGTAAAATAGTAGTAGAAAGTTTAAGAAAAATATTAGAGAAATAATAGAGGACAAAGAAAATTTGTCGAGAAATTTAGTAGTAGTAGAAATAGTAGAAAAATAAATAAAAAATTGTAGTAGAGATTTCTTAAGAATCGATTTCCATAGTAGAAGAAAGAGTAGACATTATTCTTTAGGCAAAAAGAAAATATGTCGTATAGTAAGCGGAAGCAAGAGAGAAAAACCTAGGTCAAATGATCTTTTTGCTCTGATACCATGACAAATATTATAGAAGGGAATATATTATTGAATTGTGTTGTTGATACAAGAGAATAAGACCCATATATATAGGGTTAACATTAACATAATGATAACACTAAATAATGTAAATCTTCCTAATCCTTATCACAATAGGATTTCTCTAGAATATTCTTCGGTTTGGCTTCATGGGCTTCACTTCATAAACGGGAACAACATCCACGGGGTGGCCCAGAATCGACTGCTCTGATACCATGTCAAATTCGGGTTAACACATGGACATCCAACCTAAAACCAATTGGCAATAGGTGGAGAGGCCCTAACCCTTTATATATTACTTAATTATTTCTCCAACTACCAATGTGGACTTTCCACATTAACAAGTTGCTGCCGAGTTTCACACGAAGTTTCCTCCAAAGAATATGGCGGTTTATCGTGACAGTGACAGTGACGAACGATCACTTTCATGTCACTATGACTCTGGTTTGATCTATGACTCTGGTTTGATCTATTTCTCTCGAATGTGGATCTCTGGGAACGGTGAATATTAGGGAGCGCCTGTGATATGTAACCCTAACACGGGAGGGTACACGACTTTACCTAACTTGAGATTGAGTTGGTTCAGAATTCCGAATAGCTTGTTCGGGTTTGATCCGATTGACAAGCAGTTCAAGGTATTGTTCAGGATCAAACCAAATTTAAATAATGATTATACAATTTTGACGCTAGGAATAACGAGTTGGAGGAAGATCCACTGTCCCATAAACCATCAGCCTTTGTCTGAAAGTATATGCATCAATGGAGTTTTGTATTACTTAGCTCAGCAGATGCTGCCATACCGTGATATAATAGTTGGCTTTGATGTTAGGTCTGAGAAATTCGAGATTGTTTTTTACCCAGAAGATGACTCTTGTCAATTGATAAACTATATGGGTAAATTAGGTGTCGTTTATTCTGATGGTTATTATGATGATGATGATGACTATGCCATTGAGTTGCATGTGTGGGTTCTAGAAGATTTCGAGAAAAGGGAATGGTCCAACTATGACTACATTTTGAGGGATGATAAGGTCTGGCATAATAATGTTTCAGTCGTTGGAGTGACTGCTACTGGTGAAATTGTTTTGTCGATGATCCGCTATGCATCTAAAAAACGGTTTTATGTTTTATACTTCAATCCCGAAACGGAGACGGTCCAACGTGTTGAAATCAAAGGTTTTGGAGCTTACAATGAAGAGCATGGCGAGTACTTTAGTGTTGACACCTTTGTAAACCATGTAGAGGATCTTAATGTCAACGATGGGAAGCTACTCTATGGTCAATATGTGAAGTTGGAAAAAAAATATCATTGTGAAGAAAAATATCATTGTGAGATAAAATATCATTGTGGAGATAAAGATGGAGAATACGATGATAACAATTATTATGTAGATGAAGAAATAGAGCTTGAGGAATATGATTCTGGAGATGACTATAGGTTTCAATATACATGTGATTATGATTATGACTATCTCTTTCATTGTGGAGATGAAGATGAATCAGAAGAAGAAGATAATGAAAATGAGAGGGAGAGGAAGAAGAAGACGAAGAAAATGAAGATGAAAAAGAAGAAGAAGATGAAGCATCCGAATCAGAAGGAGAAGGGAAATAAGAGATTGCACATGGATGCAAAAGAGGAAGCTGCAACGAGAACAATGTAGATTGTTAGTTGTTACACACACACAAAAAAATTGTAGATTGGTTTATGACTTTATGTTATAGTCACTGAGATACGTTATATGTAACCTTTTATTGATAAATCAAGTTTTATTTCTTTTAGTTCCATCTCACATCAGTTCTATAATTTGTTTTATTCATACATTAATGATGTTGTGGTAACAAGTGTAAGATAAGAAACTCAAAATAAATAAATAAAATCTAGACTTTAGTTTCAGGAAACACACAAAATGGCTTTTGATAAAGACGTACGCAGTGACACAATTATACAGTTTATACACTACTAAATGAACACAATGCTTATGAAAAGCTGCAAGTTTCTTGGATGAAGTAACTAATCTTTTTTCAAGTTGCTGCTTCAGCAGGAGAGTATAGTTTTCTGAGGACAGCAACGTAATTGATTTTTTTTTTCAATCTTTTTCGCATTCCATCGCCAAATTGATCTTTCCAAACCATCATCATCATATTCAAATCTATCATTTCAAAACTCTCATATTCGTTCCTTATGATGATAAAACCGAACAAACAGTCTTTTACCTTTCCCTGTAGTTTCTTCTTTGGTTGTATAAAACTTTGTCTGACCTGAAACTCCTCAGAGTCTCAATCGGTTCTTGACCTCCGATACCAGTTTCTTGATTTATAGTCGGTAACTAATCATGGAACAGATCAAAAAGCTTATCCTGAAACAACAAAACAAAAGATTCAAGGAGTAATTTAAAGTAAGCCAAGCTTTTTGTATACCTTGCAACGGGAGCATAATTTAGCGCCGTGAAAGGTGAAACCGTTTATAAGGATCTCTGTCCATAAGTCTTGAGCGAATGGCTCATATCCATCAACAAAGATGCCGTCACATTCCCCAGTGACAGTTATCAAGTGATGTTACAAAGTAATATAATAGATTTTAAGAGACCTTTCCCGAGTGATGTTACATTACTGAGACATAACCGCCATGATTTATGAATCTATATAAGACTGCATTTTGGTTAATTATGACACCCTAAAAGAAAGAAATTATCATTAGAGAAATTCATGATGATAACGATGATGAGCTAATTGAAGATACGTTAAGAGGAAGTAAAAGTATGAAAACATACCAAGAGAGATACTTGTACAATACGTAACCACAAAATTTGAAGAACCATCTGATTCTTGAACCGGATCTCGGGGAAAACGATCAAAAGAAAAATAAGAATATGGGATCTTGAATAGTTTCAACAAAAATTGACAAAGTTTTCATCTTGATGGTTTGTTTTTCCAACATTTACTCATACGTACAAGTGTCTTGTTCTTTCATATATAGAGATAATTCCTAGAGCATCGGCAATCAATGCTGAGAAAAAAGTGACTTTGTTGTTTTAGGAACAGATAAACTGATAAATGTTTACACGTCAAATTCTAAGAGATCGTAGTTTCAGTAGCTGATAAGACATGAATCATAAAGCTTTTTTTTTTTGATAAAATGAATCACAAAGCTTCCTAATATAGTGACCAAGAACGGTAAAAAAAAAAATATATATTCAACGGTTAATGCTGAAACCCAAATTCCATTAAACACTGTTTTAATTTCATTCTCTTGCAAAGCAGGGAGGAGAACAAAAAGGAAAAAAAAAAAAAAAAAAAAAAGCAAACCAAGGTAATGTGTTAAAGCCCAATGGCTATTTGATTTCTTAGGACTTAAGTTAGGGTCGAACCTATTTTCTCCACCGCTTTCCTTATCTTCCTTTTTTTTTTCCTAATCTTATACTTGTCACGATGTATATATATAATGGTGACCTAGAGATCGTAACATACATAGCTAGGTTTTTCTAGGTTTCAGTATAAGTTTTAACATCTCTCTCTCTTTCTCTCATATCCATCCGATCGACATCAGCGATCATGAACTCAGATTGCATCCCCTATGATCTCATGATCGATATATTCTCGAGACTGCCTAAAAAATCTATCGCTAGGTTTCATTGCGTGTCGAAGCAATGGAGTTCCATGTTTCACAGTCAAGATTTCACCAAGTTGTTCCTCACAAGATCCTCCGCTCGTCCACGTCTCTTATTTGCGATCAAAGGATACAACGAGTGGAGCTTTTACTCGTCGCCTCAGCTGCAAAATCCATACGAGAAGTCTTCGTCGTCTCTTGAAGTAGCTGCCGAGTTTCACACGAACTTTCCTCCAGAGAATATGGCGGTTTATCGTAACAGAAAGCCACGATCACTTTCATGTGGCTATGCTTCTGGTTTGATCTATTTCAATGGTATGTGGATCTCTGGGAAGGATGAAAAAAGTGGAGTGCCTGTGATATGTAACCCTAACACGGGAGGGTATGCGACTTTACCTAAGTTGAGATTGAGTCGGTACAAAATTCCGAATAGCTTGTTCGGGTTTGATCCCATTGACAAGCAGTTCAAGGTATTATTCATGACTAGGAACGGTGATTATACAATTCTGACGCTAGGAACAACGAGGTGGAGGAAGATCCATTGTCCCATAAACCATGAGCCTTTGTCTGAAAGTATATGCATCGATGGTGTTTTGTATTACTTAGCTGAACCGATGTGGCCAAGGCGTTATTCAATAGTTTGCTTTGATGTTAGGTCTGAGAAATTCGAGATTATTTATTACCCAGAATACTATTGTCAGTTGGTAAACTATATGGGTAAATTAGGTTTGATTTATCTTGATTATTGTGATGATGATGCCATCGTGTTGCATGAGTGGGTTCTAGAAGATTTGGAGAAAAAGGAATGGTCCGAATATGCCTACATTTTGAGGGATGATAAGTTCTTGCATAACGATGTTTCGGTTGTTGGAGTGACTGCTACGGGTGAAATTGTTTTGTCGATGACCCGTTATACATCAAAACAACCGTTTTATGTTTTCTACTTCAATCCCAAAACGAAGACTCTCCGTAGTGTTGAAATCAAAGGTCTTGGAGCTGGTCATAATGAAGAGTATGGTGAGAACTTTAGTGTTCACACTTTTGTCAACCATGTAGAGGATCTTAATGCCAACGATGGGAAGCTGCTCAAGTCAAGCATATATGGTCAATACGTGAAGACAGAAGAAAAGTATCATTGTGAGGATAAAGATGGAGAATATGATAATAATTATGTTGATGAAGGAAGAGACCAATATGATTATGATTCTGGAGATGACTATCGCCGTCGATATACATGGGATTATGGTTATGATTATGTATATGAATATGGAGATGGAGATGAATCAGAAGAAGGAGAGATGGAAAATGAGAGGGAGAAGAAGAAGAATACGAAGAAGGTGAAGGTGAAAGAGAAGAAGAAGGTGAAGCATCCGAATCAGAAGGGGAAGCAACATAAGAGATTGCACACGGATGCAAAGGAGGAAGCTGCAACAAGAACAATGTAGATTGGTCATGTTTTGGAAGAGATGATGTTTATGTAATGAGTGCATCAGTAACCTTTCTTTTTCATAGAAATCAAGTTTAATTTCTCTTAGTTCCATCTCTCTTGAGTTCTATATTTTGTTTGGCTTCATATATTGATGATGTTGTGGTAACACACTGATTAGCAACACACAAAATGGCTTTTTATATATAAAAACGTAGTGGCACAATTTACAATTTATACACTAAGAACAGAACACAGTGATAAGGAAAAGCTCTGCAAGTTTCTTGGATGAAGTAACTAATCTTTCTTCAAGTTGCTGCTTCAGCTGGAGAGGAGAGTTTTCTGAGGACAACAACGGAATCACCAATTTCAATCATCCTTTTTCGCATTCCATCGTCGAATCCATCTTTCCAAACCATGTTCTGCCCAAAGTATATCTGCATCATTCATCATCATCATCATTTTCAAAAACTATCATTCAAAACTCTCATGTTATGATGATGAACCTTTTTACCTTTCCCTGTGGTCTCTTCTTGGGTTGTAAAACGTTGTCTGACCTGAAATTCCTAAGAGTCTCAATCGGTTCTTGACCTCCGATCCCAGTTTCTTGATTTATCGTCGGTACCTAAATCATGGAACAAATCAAAAAGCTTATCCTGAGACAACAACAAAACAAAAAAAAAAGATTCATGGAGTAATTACCTTGCAACGGGAACATAACTTCACACCGTGAAAGGTGAAATCGTTTATAAGGATCTCTGTCCATAAGTCTTCATCGAATGGCTCACATCCATCAACAAAGATGCTGTCACATTTTCCCAGTAACAGTTATCAAGTGATGTTACAAAGCAATATAATAGCTTTTAAGAGACCATTTTCTTTGAAAGAAACATACTTGGGTCTAAACCGGTTGATCGGTACAGGCTCCGTGAGAAGCTTATTCAGTGAATCAAGAGAGCCCTGTAAAGACTACTTTAGAGCAATTGAAAAAAAAATGAGAATGATTCTCTTTTTTTCTTTTCATGGTGACTGTGACTGACCTGTGATATAAGCAAGAACGGGTACATATCTGAGAACCTTGCATAGTGGCCTTGAGCATAATTTGGATCCACAGGTCTAGTCTCAGAGCCTGAAATGTAACAGCAAACTCGTAAACTTGCATTGCAACAATCCTTTAAACGGAGACAAAGCTTATAAGTAAGTATATGAACAACCTGAATCAAAACGAACAAGTCGACAAGGCTTCCCAACAAAGTTTGTAAACCACTGAGATGCTTCTTCTCCTTCATCTAACGCAGAGCCTGACCACTCCCAAACCGAGACACCGTCTGCTTTCTTTTCCGGTTTAGTTAGTGAGACCTTGAGAGCATCCATACCAGGAGCTCTAACCACTGAAAACAGAGCCAAGAAGATGAGAAAGAAGACAATCTTCATAGATATGAAAACTCAGTTGAAGAAGAAGACATAGAAAGCAATCTTACCCATGTTAGAGCTCGACTCCGGCTCCCAATTCTCCGAGAAAGCATGTTTAGGCATTTCTACTTCAATCAAAGCAAGTTTTGGTTCCACTCTTTGAGTCAATCCTCTTCCTTTTGAGTTCACAATCAACCAGTTTCGATCCCATCTAAATCCTGAGCAAAACAAACCTCCAAAAAAATCTTAGCTTTTCTACTTTCTCCAGCAACATAACAACAAAAACTGTTATGAATCATTCTCAAATCTAGTCTCAGACAAATTTTAAGAGCATCCATCAATAAGAACACCACCAAGTCAAAAGCTTTCCACACAAGAACTTACAGAGTCACACTCAAACCTACTTAGAACATAGACAGTTTTCATTTCAATTCAATGATGGAGAAATCATCAAGAAGAAGCACAACGTTAAGCAAACAAGGAGTTTCTCTAATTGAAGACGGACTAAGCAACAATAATTGAACCCAATAGCAGAAATAGCTCAAATACCAATCCTGAATAGGAAGAATCGAAATCGAAACACAGAAAGAGGATAAAAATGGATTTTTTTTTAATCGGAAATGGAAGCGGTGTCTGATTATATACCGGTGGGAGTGAGAGCTGCCTGAGACAAAGAAATGCCTCTACATGATTTGATCGGATAAACGAACATAGACGATACTCTAATTACGGTTTCACCTGCCAGCGACGGCGACGGTGACAGTAACGGAGACAAAACGTTCTCCATCTCTCTCTGACTCTCTCTGGCGTTCCTTCCGACGACGAACATATCTTATTAGAATTTCATATATGCCCTCTAAATTTCTCAATTTATCCGATTTAAACCTCTAACTTTGTTTCAGTTTAAAATAAACCATAGTTTTCTGTCACATTCATTTATAACCAAATTCCCAACCAATTTAACCTGTAAATGTAATTAACAAAATGACAAGAGAGCTCTTGTTGTCCTTTCAAATCTAACCTTTTGAAATCTTAATGCATATATGTACAACAATGAAAAGAGTAGAGAAAAGAAGTAGAAATGACCAAAAAATAAATGTTTCTTTTTGAAAATGTTCCTCTGTATAAAGACTTCCTTTGAAGGTTAACACAACAAGTAATCATCCACTAAACATATGGTGAAATTGACTTTAAGCTGAAGAAGAGTTAAACTCAGCTGTTGCTGTTGAGATTCACTAATCACTGGATCGTTTGTGTTTGGTGGACTCTGTATCGAGACATAATCGCCATGATTTCTGAATCTACATATAATAATAGAACTTCATTTCATAGAAGCAAATGGTACATTCATAACACAGCCATAGAATATTAACCTTTTTTAATTAACAATAAATTTACTGTATCAATGAACCATAACTAAGAAACTGAATGAAGCTTATGGTTCTTTATATATACACGAAACCCAGCAGCTGCATTTTTGGTTTTTCTGTTTCTGGTTATGACATAAACAACAATATTAAAAAGCATTTGATAAATCTCTTCAGAGACCTCTCTAACTCATGTTGAGTCAAAGTCTTCTCTGAAGACGCAAATGTTCAGTGTCTCCATCTTCTCTTTACGCAATGTTCTTTCTGCTCTGAGACCAGAATGGCGTCGCTGGTTTGCGCTTTAAGGCCTTAACACTCAACGGACTGTTCTTCTTCTGCGAATAACACAAATTCCCAAAAAAAAGATTACGTGAGACACAAGCATTACCTTTGTGGTCTTGAAAAATAGAGAATCAGAGAACTTACCATTAAACAAGTTCCTTGCTCAAGGTCACAAACCGGGTACTCGTGAGGGCAGCAACTATAGTTGTCATCACAGCAAGTGGCTCCTTCAAGTGGGCAACATCCCCAAGCAAAGCAATACTTGCCATACTCAAAGAGACAGCAACAAGTGGCGGTGTCAGGACATGTGTAGTAACTGTCACATTGAGTAGGAGGCTTGACTGGAGTTGGAGGTGAAGGTCCCGGGTTTGGAGGGTTTTGGCCGTTCTTGATCGGGTATGAAGGTTCGACTGCGATTCCACATTTACCCGCTCCTGCTGAATCCTTGATGTTACGCTCCATCCTTATGTATCCGCTCTCTCCCCAGCTTGCTCCCCAAGAGTTTTTCACTATCCAGTAGTCTTTGCCGTGCTCGGTACCGTATCCGACCGCTAAAACTCCGTGGTCTAGATCAGTTCCACAAATTCCATCGAATACACCCTTCAGAAGGAAAAGAGAACACATCATCAACACATGAGAAACAAAAGTTGAATAAGTATACATTATGATGAGCATTTTGAGACCGAAATGGTTAAAAAGCTACTAAATATTCAACCTAGGAACTATGAGAATATGGCTAAATTCGTACCGAATCGTAGAGCTGGAACGCACGACCACCACCTTCAATGGCGACGGCTATGGGTTGGTTAGAAAGTGCTTTCTTCAAGGATTCTTCGCTGTTAGGAGGCAAATCCTCGTATGAATCGATTGTGACAACTTTAGCGTTTTTCTGCAATAAAGAAACCCACCCAAAAAATGTGGTATAAGTAAGAATCATCCATAAGTTGTTGACTTGTTAAAGAATCAAATGTAATTTCTTATGAAAAAAAAAATTAATGTACTAACTCTGTTCTGGTCACAACGTCCATCAACACCTTTGTAAGGATAATCCTCCTCTGTATCGATTCCACCATTTTTGATGATGAACTCAAATGCATAGTCCATGAGACCTCCGTTACAACCTTCGTTGTATGAAGTGTCACAGTCGACTAATTCTTGTTCAGACAAGGACTTTAAGTCTCCGGTTACGATCTGGTTAATGCCTTCCACTGCTCCGATGGCTGAAAACGCCCAACAACTCCCTTCAAATAACCAAAAGAAGAAAACAAAAACAATAATAGATTCATTACTTCATAATTCATCAACATCAGCATAAGACTACAACAATATCATCAACAAACAGAAAACATATATATTACTTATTTTAATTTCTCTATGAAAAAATAAACAGTCACCCACCAATCAACTCTTTTTTTTGTTTTTACCAGTAACATGCATAAAACAGATTTGGACTTTTGGATGGCGACACAACACTACGACGGTAATAACACTAACCACTAAGTGAAATGTCTTAATCTCGACCTACCGACTCATTATTTATGCAATTTCTAGCATAATAATGGGTATTAATATTTCAAAGAAAATGAAATAATTTATCAGATCTCCTTGTTTTCAAACCAGTCTAACAAAGTAATAAAATAAATTAGCCTCTAATAAGTAACAACTTTGATTCAAAAAAATATGTTTTGCCAAAAAGTACCCAACACACCTATCATTCTCATAAGGATAAATATGTATTTTCCCACAGTGTCCAATACTTTTTCAAAAAATCAGATGGATATTAATTACTGTATTAAGATTCAAGAAACTGTAAATAGTAGAAAGAATCGAATGAAAACTTACCGCAGCTTCCTTGATCTTTGACCTCAGCCACGGCTCCTTTTTCTCTCCAGTCAACGGACTCAGGGACGGCGTCACCGACACGAGCCTCGTAACGAAGGCTGGTCTTTTTGGCTTTCCTCTTGAGCTTACTTCCGACGTACATGGATCTATACTCATCGTTAGTAAGATCGGCGAACTTGGTCAAACCCAATCTATAACTAAGATTCTTCTGGTTATGCTCGTCGATGAAACGGAGATTGTCTTTAAAGATCTCCAACCGTCGATCTTTCTCAACAAGAGAATTCTGCACCTTGCCGTGTTTCACTTGCCACATCTCGTAGATTCTAGACACCTCTGCGTCGCTCCGGCCACCGGAGACAGTATGATGGCTCTCGTCGTACGAAATGATTGACATGTCCATCGCAGATGAAACGGCGATCATCGCTAGGAAGAGGATCACCATAGTTAGATTAAGGAACCCCATTTCTTGGCCACTTTTTTTTTCTTAGAGAAGAAGAAGAAGAGAAGATGATGAAGAAGAAGATACGATGGACAAGAACTGGTGGTGGGGTATTATATAAAGCCAAATGAGATTAAGTGTAATAGTTATTTTTTATTTTTGGTTTTTCTATTATTATTTTTTGTATTTGTGGGTCGCTCTTCTTAATTTCTAAAAAAAAATATCAATAGTGACTATTTCCGAATTTTCACTAGTATGTTCAATCTAGATAGGAAAATCAAATTTAATCCAAATATGTATTCCAACAAGTTGAAACATAATCTAAACCGAGCAAAAACAAAAAGGAGATCTAAAACATTTATCTATTTCTTTCATGAAGATAAATGCTGTATGGGCTTTTTTTCCTAGATAAAATATTAGGAGCCAATTGGCCAAAAAAGTAATGACAAAACCAAGTTGTCTGTTTTTTCTGCGTCATATAAATAGCATATCATCGAATTGAATGTGTTATCGGCTAAAACAACATGATATTTGCAAAAAATACGCATAAAACCCATGTTAATTTTTTCATAATAGTGTTTTTTTTTTTTGTAGAATTTTCATAATAGTGTTAAAGATCGCCTTAGCTTTGTAAATTACATTTTTAAAGTTTATAAATAGTGACATAGTGTTAAAAGTGAAAACCTTATAAATGTGATAGTCAATTATTGGTTGAGACAAAACAGGGGAAGGAAGAGATGAGACGTCAAGTAGATGAGGTTTTAATTGGATTGCCAAACCCAAAACGAATGTCATGTCCACACAAATTGGAGCGCGTAACATTCACACGCGTTACAAACCAGCGCGTGGATAGGATTTGTATTCACTTGGAGATTCTTCTTCTTGTGATAATATAAAAAGAAAGATACTCTTATGGATTCTAAAAGTCCTACAAGTTACCCATGAGAAATCATATTGCAGTCTCTATTTTTTTGATTCCTTCTTTATATAAAACACTCAAATACGTAGTTATATACTTATATACTCGAAAATCGAAAAAAATGGATAGTTCAATGAGATTGTATATAGTTTAATTAGTTTACTCAAACTTATTTAATTAAATGCTTTGAAGAGTTAGCTTGTGACATCAGAACACTACCTTTTCTTTGTCAACCGTTTCCTTGAAAGAGATAATGTTACTTATAATAAATAAATAAATATTATTATATATCAAAGCCTCATCGAATATTGTAATTTGAAGTTTAGCAAAAAAAATCACCAATTATTATGCGTGTGGAGAGATAAATTTGTAGACTATACCAAAATCAATCCGTTCTAAGAGAAATGACAACGGAAAAATATAGTATTTCCAACATATATGCCTTCTCTACTTCTGATTTACAAGATTCAGCTAAAATCTATCTCAATCGCACGTAGATTATTATTTATCTTTTTTTTTTTGGTTTTACGCACGTAGAGTTATTAGAAACAAAAACGAGAAAAACGAAGAAGTTTAGTCTTTAAAGGACAATAGGCCATATACGTGTAACAACAACCTCCAAAGACGTGCCTGCGTGCGTAGCCATTCGCAAGGTAGCTAGAGAATATCAAGAGTTGAAAGATATTTCAACCTAACGAGTTACTCCAGATATTTTTTTAACGAATTAAAAGAAGAAAGGGGTCTATAATTAATGAATAAAAGGGGTCTATAATTAATGAAAGGAGTAGTAACATTTGTTTTCTTTTTGGACTAATCGGAAATTCTTGCTAAAGTATTTTGCTCACCTACAAAGAAGATAGTCACAGATATTTTTTGTTCTGTCGTCAATTCATTCAAGCCCAAATATCGCGGACATTCTACAAACGTTTTTCTGAAGCTCAACACTCATCTTTAATTTTAAGCCCAAACCATTACAACTCAATAAAATTGAGATAAACGACTAACGAATATGGAAATAAACCGGGTAACCGGTTAAATTGAGATAACAGTTCAAGAAAAACAAAGATTAGTCTGAGGATTCTGGTGGATAAAGAGAAGAACAAGATCATCTTTGTGGAGGCAGGTCAAGATTTTGTTCTGTTTTGTTTTCTCAAACTCTAAATGGGGACAATCCTGAGATTGGTGAATAAGTACAACAACAACAACTCTCAGCAAACTGAAGTGGGTTGCTTCAACAACATGTACAAAAGCGTTTTAGGTATGTTATCTAAATCTAGCTCTACTGATGTACTCGTATTTCTAAAAGTGGTCAAAGATCAGTTTATCTTCTTAATGAATGATATTCTTTTTTTTGGGTCAAAAATGAACGATATTCATCTCATCAAATCAGAGTTAGCTTAAGTGTGATGGATTTTCCAAATGATAAAATGGTAGCAGACTAAAGTTTGTCTTATTTTTTTTGAAAGTTAAGAGAAGACCAACGCTGTTTTGGTTTACGTTATACTGTAAGTAAATTTTTGAAATAAAAGAACTAAAAATGATTTAGAAGACAAAGGGGAAGCTTAAGTTTTTTTTTATGGGTATTCGTTTTTTGAATATTCTCGATTAGTTAATTATCATGTTATTGAAAAACCTCTTGACCAACAAGGCAACAATGGTGGTTCAATCCATGTTTGTGATCGACATAGAGATGCAGGGCGGTCCAACGACTTTGAGCACCCTAAGCAAATATAAGAAAATATGTTTTTCATATATTTTATCCAAATTCATAGAAAAATAGTAGTTAAAAAAGATAACATTAACATGGATTAACCAAGGGAAGCGACGATTAAGACATCCAACTTAATATAATACTATCAGACAAGATCAGCCCATTTCTTTATTTTAAGTTGGATACCTTAATCCGTCGCTTCCCTCGATTACATGGGCCAATCTTGTTCGATTTTAGATTAGGTACTTAGATTCTAAACTAGGGCCTTTAACCCAAAAAAAAATACAATACATTTAAAGTTAATTAGGGTTTTGGAAAGGGTAAAAAAAAACTATATATAGAGAGAGAAAGAGAAGAAGCCACAAAGACCTCACATTCACAATCTCCTCTAAATCGCAGCTGCTGAAACTTCATCTCCATGAGATCATGGCCAGAAAAGTGTCCACCAATATGAGTATTCCTCTAGATCTAACGGTGGAAATACTCATGAAACTTCCGACGAAGTCTCTGGCGAGGTTCCGGTGCGTCTCGTATCAATGGGCAAGTGCGATCGATAAATTCATAGTCATCGATTCGATCGTGATTCGTTCTTTGACTCAACCACCGCGTGATCCCCACTTCATCTTCGACATGTGTTCGTCATATGATCCTTTCTTGAGAATGAGGCGTGTTTCACCTCAGACTTTATCCACTCTCTCGTATACTTACCTTTACCATAAAAAAAACGAAGAACAACTCTATCACGAGAAAATCTTAGGACGAAGCAACGGCTTTGCAGCACAGTTTCAATACGTACGTGGCTTGATAGGGTATTGGCGTTCAGGTGATAACGGTCAGCTCACAATCCACAACCCTACCACAAGTCAATCTGTTTGCTTGCCGGTTACGCGTTTAGCCCCGACCTTGTTCTACTTATTCGGGTACGACCCTTTCAAGAACCAATACAAAGTAGTGTGTATAAGTACAAAAGGTCAGTCCTCCTGTAAGGTTTTCATATTGGGATTTCCTTCAAAGGAGTGGTGGAACATGGAATGCAGCATTGGACATCACTATCCATTCGATCAAGCAGTTTGCATCGACGGGAAGATTTACTACAAAGCAAGGACAGCGAATTGGAGTGAGGTTTTGGTGAGTTTCGATGTTAGGTTCGAAAAATTTAGTCTAGTTCAGGCTCCGGAAGATCTACCGTTGTTCCAAGGAGCGTCGCTTCTTGTAAACTACCAAGGGAAGTTAGGATGCATATGTTGCGACGAGTACAACCACGAGGATGTGCATATGTGGGTTATGGAGGATGCCGAGAAACAAGAGTGGTCAAAGAAGACTTTCTTCAACGTGCTTCAAGATTTACCAAGTTGGGATATGAAATTAGCGGGTGTCACTCATCCTGGTGGTGAGATCGTTATAGTCCATCGAAATTACCTTAGTGAGTTTGCATCAGAAGTTTTTTATTATGATCCGAAACAAGACAGTCGTAGAAGAGTTGAAATTCAAACTACTGGGTCACTGGTAAGGGTAAGGCCTAGCGAGAATGTTACAATATGGGCGGTTACGGATCATGTTGAGAATCTTATGAGTTTGAAGTTCGATGCATATTAGGTTAAGAGTTTTCCTAACTTATTGTAAGCATGTTGCTTCTTCATCATTGTGGTTAATTTGTGATGACTGAATCACAAGTTATATCCTTTAAGGATTGTCTTGTTATGATTATGTTCTTATTGTTCATTCAGAAGTTTGTATAATTTCTTTAGTTTGTACTTTGTACTAAGTGAACATCGCATTTCGTACCTTTTGCTTCTTCTTTTCTTGCCTTCTAGTTTTCTCAACATTCCTAGTTTCTTGACTCTTTTCAATGGGTAGAACCAATGCTTGATGTTATACTTTATGATTAATCATCAATTCTTTGTGTATTTTATGCTTTAGGCCTTATCTTGTGAATGTAGAGAAGATCTTGTGACCCTTCTTTTCACTTTTCTTTCTGTTTCTTTGGAGTTGGTGGTGGATTATTCTGGTGGCAATATGATTCAGGGATGTATCTTTTAAAATTGTTTAGAAGCTAAAAAGACTTGATGTGAGGAGAAATTAGGTTTAAGGTCCAAGTCAACACTACAATGGTTATACGCTATATAACCATAATTTTGTTCTCCGCTACTTGAAACTTGAACTTAGACCCTGCATGAGCATCATCTTGTGGTAAGTGAGTGGCTACTTCAAAATCGATGCCACTTTATGCATCTCGAATATTGTAACAAGCAATTCTATTGGCTATACTTCTCAAAGGATAAAGAAGAAGAAAAAAAAGACTAAAGCTTTTACAGTCCTCGAGACATGTAACTCTAATTATCTGTACACAGGGAATCTCAAAAGATGAAGTCTTTATTAACTTCGTCTTGAAACGTTATCAAAAATTTAAAACCATTCTGGCTTTTTTCCTCTCTTCTCTAATCACTTGGCTTTCTTTCCAAGAATCTCCAAATGGATCAAAGATTCGACAAAAAAACGATCAATGTTCTTATTGCGAATCATTTGAAACAAGATAAACGTTGTCTGGGTTCAATCCGGAAATGATTTTGTTGACTTGCTCTACAGTTTTCTCACCATGCCTTTAGGAACAATCGTGAGATTGCTTGAGAATCACGGTAGGTCACGAGAAAAGGTCACCATAGGTTGTCTCAACAACCTTTACAAAAGCGTCCTAGACATGAACATCGATCATTTCCGATCTGAAGCTTGCAAGAAGATGCTGATTTACCCGAAGAACGCCAAGGAAGATCAATGCAGAAGGCTGAAGATCAACATTGACGACAAAGAAGCAACCAAGTGCTTTATGTGTCCAAAGTCTTTGGAGAAAAAGTCATGCCGAGAGTTTTTCAGCAATTTCAATACTTCACGATGTAGCTGTGGAAACTTGATGGACAAAGAGATTCCATCATCACCTGAATTTGAAAAGATGCTTGGAGATAGTTATGAGTATGATGGAGTCTTTGTCCATGGTGATGGAAATATGGCATTTATCGTGAGTGATGATATGAAAATTGATAACTTTTCTTGGGATCTTTTCCGAAAAAATGTCAAGGATTTAGGCTGCGTTAATCTTTTAGATGAGATAGGAGAAGGTGAAGCAGAGATTGACTTCCGAGAGGTATGTACTTAAAACCCTTTTTTGTTCAATAAGATAAAATTTTCTGACTTTCGCACTCACTTTTGTTTAGTAACTATATATACAGGCAATGACTTTGCTTCGATCCATATTCACATCAGAAACTCCATTGACAACAACATTCTTCCCTTTCCAAAGCTCATCTTATCCTTCAAAGAGAGCATTTAAGCCATCCACAACTCAATATGATCAGGTTTTAGGTCAAGTATTGTCTTTGAAAGTGTATTTGAGTAAGCATGACAAAGGGAAAGTTGTTTATGTTGAGTGTGGAGAAGGCTTTATTGATCTTCTTTGCACTTTTCTTGTTCTTCCTCTTGAGTATGTATGCGAGATCTTCTCTGCTAGTGATGATGACGGTCTTGGATGTATTGGTAACTTGTTCAGAAGCTTCAAAGGTTTAAGCTGCAGTGAAATAGCCATTCCTTGGTATTATAGTTGCAGAAAGAATCTTCTTGGCATCACAGTCCAAGATCCGCCGCCTAGCTTTTACCATGAAGACATTCACAAACATGTCACTGCAATGGATCCAAAAACCGAGATGAGTGGCAAGACAAGAAGCAGTGGTGGGTTTGTGAAGAGTAACAAAAAATTTCTCGTGTCTGATGATCTTAGAATCACACCTTTGAGTGCTGATCTTACAATGAGGGAGCTAAAAGATCTGAAGATTAGTTTTGATGATGTCACTATTGAACAGATAACTATTGGTAAAGCAGAGGTATGCATATAAGTTCATGTTTTTTTTTTGGTTATGTTAGTTACTATAACACATGGCTAACACTCTCTCTCTCTGTCTCTCGTCTATGAAACAGGCTATCAATTTATTGAAATCTTCCTTTGTGACATCCTCTGCATTAACCAATGGTCTCTCAGATTTGTTTTCAAAGAAGCTTGAAGGATAAATAAGTGAAATGTAATGTTTATCTTTCACTTATTCGTTTTAAATATGGGCAGACTTAGTAACTTGGTTACCTCAGTGCTAATCTCATTTCCTTTTTTTTTTCTTTTGCTTTTAAGATTGGCTATCATTTCAAATGCCTTGAAGACATCAAAGTTATTTCTGTTTTCAGTTTGATTCCTCTGTTTGTTAGAATCCCTAAGTTTCATTTTGCATTCACAGTGAAATGATGATAGATGTATGTTTATGGAATCAAACGAATAATTATTTGTCCGATATTAGCTTCTGGATTTGCTTTTTTGAGTTGTATTAGTAGACATCAAGGATTTAGAGACTATTTTTTTATTATAATCAAGATTGTCTAACTTAGCCTTAGAGCGAAATTTTATCTTGAACACACTTTTAGTTGGGGAGGTTATTTATTTAAATAGTTCTACGCTAATTTTTGCAATATCTTTTTCTTTCTCTATCAACACTCAATCTGCGTTTCTGAGACTAATGAATTAGTTTTGACTCGTGGGATTGCTTTTATTATGACTTATGGTAAAGCTTAACTATATACTAGCTTTTCTTAAAAGGAATTTATCGGCTAACTACAGCTTAAACTGCGGTTAAGTTTTACTGTTTATTGAAAAAGTTGAAGATTATTAGGAAAAGTAAAAAATCATACTTTTTGGGTAAAAAATCAGACGGACGGTTGCAAGGAAGAAAGACAAAAGATGAATAAAGACGATAAAAAGGAAAACACGTTAACGAGTGGCACGTGACACAGTGTAAGACGGTGCCACGTCATCACTAGACAGCCAAAATAAACTGGTGATCCACTATTGATTTACAACTTTGCCCCTCCCGACGAACGCGACTTCGCCGTAATAACGAAAAACCGACGTCGGGCAAAAGTCAAAAGTTGACAGCTCACACAGTACTCTCTTAAGACAATTTCTTCAACGCTTCTTTGTTAGTTTTATTTTGTTCAACAACATTTTTGTCTCTTCACATTTAAACACAACTACAGAATAAAATTCCACTTTTAACAACTTTTTGTAATTTTCCTCCAATTCCTCTTTTAATTACTTATTGTTTTCTAGTTTTTCTTGTCCAAAAGTCAGAGTCCAACAACAACATACCTCTTAGCCAAGACCAAGTAGGTTGGAGAAATATGAATACACACCTTTTAAAAAACCTGAAATATTCAAAAGGCGATAAAAGTATACTTTTATTACTAATCTATAAAGAAAAACGCGAAGTCCAAATCAAATTAGTCTAACATTTAATTTTCTTGGTCAAAGAAAATGCTCTTTGCTTACACACGCACACACAAGCATATATATACGCACACACAAGCATTACATCTCATAACTCAACAACTCGTTTTCACAAAGCAAATATTCTCATAGAGAGAAAGAGAAGTTATACATCTAACTATCTTAAGTGAAGTTAAAGATCGATATGGAGAAGAAGATTCTGATTGTGTTGTGCATCGTTTTCTTGGTGGAGATGTCTTCGCTTATTTCGGGAGTTGATTGCAGAGTCTTGAGAACAGAGGGGACAACAACGAACGGCTGTGACCAAACGGCCGCCGTAGACGGTGGTGGTGGTTTTGGTTTATTCTCTGCGGCGAATAGCTCGAGCGAACAACATCGTCCTTTGATGAGGAGCTTGGCTTTCCGATTGGCTTCTGGACCGAGCAGGAAAGGCCGTGGACACTAATTTGTGGCCATTGAAGCATTGATACTGATTTTTCTTTTATTTTTGCCTTTGCATATACATGAAGATTTGTGTATCTAAGTTTTTTTTTTCTTATCTTGAAAGAGAAAGAAAAAAGACATAGTTGATTGATTCAATGCCATGTAATCACTAGTCAGATGCGTAGTTACTGGATTTTTGTTTGCACAAGTCGTTTAAACATGTAAAGGTTTGATTTTTCCATAATATAATACAAAGGAGTTAATTTGTTTTTCAAAAGGTGCACAAACAAAAGCAACGATAGAAAGCAGAAGGAAGTGTTTACTTTAAAAAGGGTCCAAAGAATTACTAGTCACTAATTTTTCCAGTTGAGTCGAAAAGAGTAGAATAACAGAAAAACCGGTTATTAACTTTGAGAATCCATGTGCGTTTTTCTTTGTGTAACAATCTTTAAAGTACTTTTAAAATAATGTTTGTTGGCAATATTTTCAAAACGGACTGGGAAGCAAGTAGAAAAGTGATACGGATCAATGAGTTTTAAATTTAACAATTATGAAAATGTATAAAAATAAAATGAATGAATGAGTAAATTTTCAAATTTGGTTGTCCTGCTAAATGTTAGTTTATGTACCTAGATGAGGAGGTCGAAATGTTGGTTGGCTTCGTCTCCGATTGTGTTTCACCATTCCCGCAACAAAGAAAAGCATGAAGCAAGTAACACTGCCAAGAAGCACGAGAGAAGGCTTGATCCTGATTGGTAACTGCCACCTTTCGATTGCATCATCATTATTTACAGAAGAAGTTGGCGACTCAGATTCTTGTAAGCTTCCACTTTCTAGCGTCAAATCGATATATTGGTCAAGGGAAAGAGGGACACTCTCCAGTACGCAGCAGCCATGTGCAAAGAGACACTCGATGATCAACGGAAGCTCTTCCAATGATCTGAGTCTCTTGCAATCGTTCAGGTTGAGAGTTCTCAACGAGGAAAGCTCTTTGATGCTTGCAGGCACTGTTTCAAAGTCGTGTCTGCTAAGGTCTAACTCTATCAAATCGGTGAAGTGGTTGAGCTGGTCCGAGAGAGACTCAACTTTGTTGCAGTTATCAAGGTCAAGCTCAAGCAAACGGTATCTCCCTTGATCTTCATGACGTTCCATCAGTGATCTGAGGTTGATACAGTCAGAGAGTATAAGCGTCTCCACTTGAGTCAGCGGTGGCAATGCTTTGAGATTGCAGCAACTATGGAGGTCCAAATACTTCAAACTAGAAAGTTGTTCCATGGTTCTAGGTAAATCCTCGAAGTCATTGCCACTGAGATTTAGCTTCTCTAGAGCCTGCAGTTCACCGATACTCGATGGGATATCATTCATCTTCAAACTGATTAGGTTTAGCTCTGTTAAATTTGGGAAGTCTGAAAAGCTATGGCATCTGAAAGGAGAGACGTCCTCATTGTAGTTGTTCCGCTTGATCTCAAGGCATTTAAAATCACGGCAACTTGACGGCAGGCGAGGTCGTCGCTGCGGTCTCATCATCAACTTTAAAGGGATATGTCTCTCCAAATTGAAAGAGAAGTGGTCTGCTTCTCCTTCTAGCTTCCCAGGGCAAAACTTTATCTTCCCATCTATGGATAGATTTGCAAGAGACTGCAGTGGCTCTGATTCTTTGGGAAGCTCCAGTATAATCTGTGGGCAGTGTTCTTGAAAGCTTGTGGCTACCCTTATATTGATCTCGAGACTCCAAAGAGCATCACAATGGGTTGCATTGAGTTTCCTTAGACTGTATAAGCTACCAATGTACCTTGGAAACCGTTGCAGCCTCGTGCAACCGTCCATGATCAAGTCCTCCAGCTCCGAGGCGTTTGAAATGTTTGGAAGTTCTCTCAGATTCTTAGAGCCTGTCACATCTAGTTTCCTCAAGTTCCTAAGATCCTGAACAGAGTACAAAAATGAATTCGTTACGCTACATATTGCTGCTATATGAGACCAAATATCATTTTTTTCTAAAATACTATACCGGTGTCCCATCCCAAAGGCTCTCGAGGTTGCTGTAACGGAGATGGACTTCAACAAGACACTCGAGATGCAAATCAGAAGGCAGGGATGTCAATGGAAATGCATCCCAGTGAAGCAACTTAAGCTCAAGGTTTGGGAGAAGTAAATGATCTTCTGAAACAAACTGCAGTTTTGACTCTATATCATCAAAGTGCTTGTAGAACTTGATCATTTTTAGATTATACATCGGCCTGATATTGTCGCAGCTTATAGCCAGCTCTCTACTCATCTCGCATATGTGCATTACCAAGCATTGGATTTTTTCAGTCCCCTGAAAATAAGAAAAGCATAGAGTTATAACTAAAACAGAGTCAAATATATATACAAAGATATTCCATGAGGCTCACCGACTTATGTGTAAGTACATTAAAAACTTCTCGAGGATCCCACAAGATTAATTGGTCTTGAGGCCTTTCTTGACGCACAATCTGCCTTCCCGTTTGCTCAACCATAGCATGCATCTTGAGATATCCGTCAGTTGATATGTTAACGAGAGATTTCTCTGATAAAAGTTCTATCCCGAATTCGAAGTTATCTACAAGGGCCTTGACGCGCAGGATCGAGTCTCCATTAAAGAGACATGCAACATGAAGAAAAACGTTCTTGTCTACTGGATGTAAGTCGTTGTAGCTAATCTTCAAGATCGCCATGGTGTTCTCATGAGGAGTTGTTTCCAATCTCCGTAGCTCATCCTCCCAATCATCTGTCGTGATCTTTCCACGGAAACATAACCCGAAAGCTTCAAGTGCAAAAGGAAGACCATGAGCAAGCTCAGAAGCTCGAATCGAGAGCTGTTCATAAGAATCACAAGGTGGACTTCCTCCTTCAAAAGCAAAGCTTTTAAACATGAGGAGAGAGTTGCCACTTTCCAAGCAATGAACCTCATATAAGTCTCCTTCGCTAAAACCACAGGTTCTTAGCAAGCTTTTGTCTCTTGTAGTGATGACGATCCGGCTTCCTCTACCAAACATGGCCGTCTCTTTTGCTACGGCTTGTATCTGTTTCACGCTGTCAACACCATCAAGAACGAAAAACACTCTCCGGTGTCCAAGTGTGGACTTGATATGGTGGCATCCTTGTTCAACGGTGGAGATCTTCACATGGTCTTCAGGGAGGATGGAAGAGACCAGCTTTTCCTGTAAACCCACGAGACCATAAGCTGTAGTCAACTTGCAAGCATCTTCTATGAAACAACAAGCAGAGAACTGGCGAGAGTATTGGTTTGAGAGATACTTGGCAATGGTGGTCTTCCCTATGCCTCCCATTCCCCAAATACCAATCATACGAACCTCTCTCTCCTCTGATCTAATATTCATCATAGAATCTAGCCTCTCCATGTGAGGTACCATTCCAACAACATCACCAAAGTCTATAGCCAACATAGATGGCAAAAGACTCGAAATTTCACTAACAATCACTCCAATCATTGCTGCATCGTCCTTGCTGCAATGCACAATGAAACAAAAGGACTAGTTTCATCACTTCCCTAAAGTACTAGAGACTGTTGAATCTCTGGAATCTTAGAACTTACAATAGTCTGGGATCTTTGCCTTGGAGATAAGAGACTTTAGTGAGAGCTTCTTTCCATTTAGGAACCTCCTCAGCAAATGGAGAGCGCCGGTGCCTTTTAAGCGGTTTCCAGAAACGTCCGTCCTCTCTTCTCACGTCAGAGGGCTCAACTCCGTAGAAGATGGGAAAGACGATGACTTTGTTTACGCTCCAGAGCTCCATTATAGATCGGAGCTCGATCAAGCACCATTTCGAAGAAGTGAAATTCTCCGAGATGACAATGATTGCGAAACTTGAATCTTGGATTGCTTCGAGGATCGCATTGGGAAAAGGCTCGCCTGTCTTAATCGTATCGTCGTCCTTGAAAGTGACGATTCCTCTGTCAACCAAGGCTTTGTGCAGATGGCTCACAAAGGTTCTTCGAGTGTCAGTTCCTCGGAAGCTCAAGAAGACACCGTAGCGCGAAGAGGAAGACGAAGAAGAAGCCATTTGCTATGCTCTCCAAAGCTTTAAAAAAGTCAACGATTGCCGATTCTGAGTCTGCTAGTATGATTTAGTATACATTATGAGGACTCAATAAACAAATGGAGCCAATTTGTTTTTGTATCAACGAAGACTTTCTTCATTTGCGATTCAATTCGATCGATGGCTTTCTCTTCGAGCACTGGGTACGACGTGTTTGTGAGTTTCAGAGGGGAAGAAATTCGCAGGACTTTCATCAGCCATCTCTACAATTCGTTGGAACAAAAGGGGATTCGAGCTTTCAAAGACGAAACCGAGATGATCCCAAAACCCTCTGAGATTCATCTCGCTACTATCAGAGCCTCGAGAATCGTCGTCGTTGTGGTGACGAAGAACTATCTCTCTTCGCATTGCTTCCTCAAAGAGATTCTAAACTATCACCGCAGCGGTTACCTCACTGTATTTCCCGTCTTCTACGGAGTAAATCCTCGCGATGTGGCCGAAGAATTCGGAACTAATCAGAAACAAAACCCAAAGAAGATGGAATCGGAAATATGTGAGTGGAGGAAGGCAGTGACGGAGCTGGTCTCCATCTCCGGCGAGCACTCAAACAATTGGTATCTCCGCCGACTTAACTTCTACTTTTGGAGTCAATTTTTGTATGTATTACTTAGACATGGCATTTGAATAGGAAGGACGATGCAGAGCTAATTCTGAAAATCACAAATGACATTTGGGATAAATTGAGCTCTCTTAGATTCGGTACCCTTGTGGGGATGGATCTCCGCACGAGACGCATTTATGAATTGTTGAGAATGGACTCTAGAGACGATGATCAAGTACGTGAGATTGGTATTTGGGGTAAAGCTGGTCTTGGCAAGAAGACGCTTGCGAGATGTGTGTATAGAGAGATCTCTAAGCATTTTGATGTCCGTGTTCGACTTGAAGATGTGAACAAGATTCATCAAGATCACAACGAATCTTCCGTTTTAAGCGAGTTGCTTCGATCCAAACTTGTTCAAGGATCCGGTAGTGGGTTTAGGGTCTCTCCTGATGACACGTCATGGCTCAGAGATCAAAGAGTTCTCCTTGTTGCAGGGGGTGTGGATAAAACTGAACAATTGTATATCCTTAGGGATTACATTAAACTGTTTGGTCCAGGGAGCAGAGTTATTGTCACATGTACAGACCAACAGTTGCTTATTGCTTGTGGGGTAACACTTCTTTACCAAGTTGAATCACTGGAATTCTATGAAGCTCTTGAACTCTTGAAGCTCCACGCTTTCAAGGGTCGTGATCCTCCTAGAGATTATGAACAGCTCTTATCTCGTGGGGTTAAGATTGGCAACGGTTATCCTTTGGTTGTTGCTGCAGTCGGCTCAGAGTTGTGTGGTAAACCCAAACAAGAGTGGGAAACGGTATTGTCTAGATACGAACACGACACTATGGGAACAGAGAAGAGTAGTTTTGGTGTGTTGAATGACAAGGACAGGTCTCTCTCGGAGAACACTGCATTAGGGATGGATTGTCACATGCAGGCCGTGAGTGGACTGATGGAGTTAGAATCTGAGAATGAAATTGGTGTAGTTGGCATTTGGGGAGTAGGAGGTGTTGGCAAAATGACTCTTGCAAGATCTGTGTACGAGGAGACCAAACGCCATTTTCATATCAACGTTTTGCTAGAGAATGTTGGAAAGATATATGAAGACCATGCACATTTAGAAGAGGAGATCCTGTGGAAAAGGATACAGAGAGAAGCTAGGATTTCCAAAGAAAGGCTTCTAAATCGTAAAGTTCTGCTTATTGTTGATGGTGTGAACAATAGTGAACAGTTGGAGGATGTCAAGAAGGTCTCTGCCTTGTTTGCTCTAGGGAGTAGGGTCATTGTGACGACGCGAGACAGAAATTTGCTTGTAGCCAATGGGATAAAACGAGTCTATGAAGTTAAGTGCCTCAAGGTCCATGAAGCTCTTCAACTCTTCTATCAATATGCATTCAAGCAGCAAACCCCTTCTACTCGTTTCAAGCAGCTCTCAGTTCGTGCTGTCCAGCTTGCTGGTCGTATCCCTTTAAACCTTAAAGTACTCGGTTCATTTCTGTGTGGAAAAAGTGGACACGATTGGGAAAGCGTATTGCAGAAACTTGAAACACAAAGAGATGAAGACAAAACGGAAGTAGTGTCTGTTGCAGAGTGGAAAAGCGCTAGCTCTGAGATAAGTTTACCAGATACAACTGAAATAGACAACGAGCGAGTTCTTGCTACGGAGATTATCCTAAACGAGACAACAATAGATGAGGTTCCCACAGAAGAAGTCGTTATTACGAGTCTGAAACACGATCTTAATATGGCAGTGAGATCTTCAGATGTGGTCATGAAGTTGCCTGAAGAAAACCATTATGTAGAAAGAGGAAGCAGGAGTGTCTATGAACAAGATTCAATACCTCTCTGGGGCATGGTTTCAATTTGCGGTGGAAGATCTGAAATGATGGAGACTGTTAAAGTTTTACCTAATTTTCTGAAAATACCGATTAAAATGCTTATGGAAGATCATGAAGGGATGAGTCCAAGTCTCACACACCTCACTAGTCACTTCTTCGGTGTATATGATGGCCATGGAGGTGCTCAGGTATGTTGTAATTTGCAAATCTTTATAGAGAGTTTATCCAAACTACGAACGCTGAAGATCTTTTCAATTTATGTTTTGTTGCCATAGGTTGTATGTATATTTGATATTGGCTTTGCTGGAAACAGGAGTCTTTGCAGGTTGTTATGTAATATATGTTGGCTTTGGTGGAAATGGGTTCTTGCAGGTTGCTGATTTCTGTCATGATAGAATCAATTTTGCTTTGGTTGAAGCAATCGAACGGAGTAAAGAGGAATTGTGCAAGAAGAACACTGGCGAGAGTAGGCAGGTCCAGTGGGAGAAAGTCTTTGTAGATTGTTACCTGAAGGTCGATGGTGAGGTCAAAGGAAAAATCAGCAGACCTGGTGTTGGTTCTTCTGACAGGATGGTTCTTGAGGCTGTTTCCCCCGGAAATGTCGGATCAACTGCTGTGGTTGCTTTGGTTTGCTCATCACACATAATTGTCTCAAACTGTGGTGATTCAAGAGCCGTTCTACTTCGCGGCAAAGACTCTATGCCTTTATCAGTTGATCACAAAGTAAATAATCCCTCCTTTTCCCCCCCAATAGTCTTGAGAAAGTTTCTTACTTCTCATAAATACAGAGCTAATGAAGTTTCTTACCCTCTTTTGCAGCCAGATAGAGAGGATGAGTATGCAAGAATAGAGAAAGCTGGAGGAAAAGTTATACAAAGGCTAGGCGCTCGTGTTTCTGGTGTTCTTCCCATTTCTAGGTCTATTGGTAGGTCAAGATTGCAACTACTACCTGTTATAGTCTCTGCAAAATCACTAGATCTCCTCAAGAGGGTTTCCTATGCATCTTTTTCAGGTGATGAATATCTGGAGCCATATGTAATAGCAGACCCCGAAGTGACGATTATGCCACGAGAAAGAGAAGATGAGTGTCTTCTATTGGCCAGTGATGGACTTTGGGACGTAATGAGTAACCAAGAGGCTTGTGAGGCTGCAAGGAAACGGATCTTATTGTGGCACAAGAAGAATGGAGCATTGTCTTTAGCTGAGAGAGGTGTAGGGGAAGACAGTGCGTGCCAAGCCGCGGCTGACTATCTCTCCAAACTGGCTAGTCAAATGGGAAGCAAAGACAGTATATCCGTCATAGTGGTAGACTTGAAAGCTCAAAGGAGGTTCAAAACTAAATCTTGAAACAGCTCTTTCTCTCACAATGCTTAATTCCCACAATTACAACCGCATTGTCATCAAACCTGACTTGGCTTCCATCAACACACTCTTCCTGCATTGCAGCACGCACAAGCACACACCATACACGACCTTCCCTTTCTTCACTTAACGATTTGGTATCGCCTCTTTCACAGAACCAGCAATGATATCGCCAAGTCTTGCGCCTTTCTTATCCCCTTAGTGACTGAATGCGCATCGCCTCCTTTGCACCAGAGTTATCCACAGCTTTGAGGATCGTTACATTTGAATGAATGTTCTCTGTTGCTGCTGCCAATTGGAAATCATCAGGACACATTTCATTGGTTTTCTCTACATCTAAAAGGAATTCATCAAACCAGAGAAAGCATTGCTAAGCTCTCCAACTCCAAGCAATGCAAGTGCTGCTCACATGTTTTTAGCTTATCAAGACAACAAGATCCAAAAAAATACTTTTAACATAAGTTAGTGATATGAACAATCGGATTGTTTTTCCGATTCGTTGAAGAACTAATGGGAAAAAAAGGAGTAAAGTTAGAACGACTGTGACTTAAAAACTCCACAGTCGCTAACAGCCTTCACAGTCTAAACTCCAATCGGATTGTTTTTCCGATTCGTTGAAGTTAAACCCTTTCGGTTAGTCTTGATCAGAATACTAAAACATCTCCGCCGCTAATTCTCCAGCATCCGGTGAGTTTCGTTTTCTTTTCTTTTTGTATTCCCTTTCTCCTCTACTCGATAGGGTTTGTTTGCGAGTCCTTTGTTATTTCTGATTCTCTGCCTGCTTAAACGAATATTTGGGAATCGAAAACAGCTAATAATTTCAACTTTGGGGTTACAAAATGATTCAGCTCGTAATGGATTGGATAAGCGAGTTGCCTGAAGCGCTGCTCTTGAGAATATTGTCTTCACTGCCTGCGAAAGATGTCGTGGCCACAATGGTTTTGTCTAAGCGATGGCAGTTTCTTTGGACTCTTGTGCCAAGACTCGTGTACGACGATAGCTATAAGTTTATCGAGTTTGTGACATTTTCGCGCTTCGTAGACAGATCTTTGATTCTTCACGAGGCTCCACTTCTTGAAACGTTGCATTTCAAACTTAGTAGAATCTTTGGTGCTGATGATGTTCGAGTGTGGATTAAATCTGCAGAGAACCGCCGTGTGCGCGAGCTCATCATCGAGATCGACAAGTCTTCTCGTAAAAACCCAGCCATACTTCGAAGGAGCTTGTACAATGGATGTAGGGTGCTTGTGACACTGAAGCTGAACAATGCGGTTTTTGTAAATGCGTCTTCTTCGCCGGTTTCTTTCCCATCCCTCAAGACTCTGAGCCTTGTATCCGTCAAATACCCTGGTGATGAATTCGTGGAGAGTCTTTTCTCCAATTGTCCTGTTCTTGAGGACTTGCACGTGAGGCGATGTGGCAATGACAATGTGACCATTTTCACCATCAAAGTTCCTTTTCTAAAACGTATATCCTTGGATCAACAAGCAGATGGAAATAAAGACGGTGCACATGGGAAGATTCTGAGTTCATGAATACTCATCATGAATACTGATATTGACATCATGAATACTCATCCTGGGAAGATTCTGAGTTCTATAGTTTCAGCCAAGCGTCTCAATTTGTGTTTAGCAACCTCAAAGGTAAACTAACAGTTTGTTGTATCTTTCAATAGTCTCTACAATTTGTGTTTAGCTACTTTACTATTTGCCTATGACTTTTACAGGATGCATATCCTGTTGGTACTGTCTTCCACAGTCTTGTACATTTAAGGGTATGCACTTGTGAAACAGAGTGGTTAAATCTACTTATGTGTCTGCTCAGAGATTCCCCTAAATTAAAATCTCTGAAACTCAGAAATGTACTATTTAGTTTTCTTGATTAGAACGATATAGTCATATATATATGATGATCTCTAATGCGTCCCGCCAATTTATCTCAGCGCCATGGCCTTCAGGCTAATAAGTTGCGCCCTTGCTGGACTGAACCGAGCTCAGTTCCTGAATGTCTGTTGTCGAGTCTTGAAACTTTTACTTGGGAAAAGTATGAAGGAATAAAAGAAGAGAAAGAAGTAGCAGCATTCATTTTAAGAAGCGCAAGCTGTTTAAAGAAAGTAACCATTTCATCTAAAGCCACCGACTCCGACAAGAAGCTTGAGCTGATCAAGGAGTTGTCATTTTCGGCCAGACGCTCACCTACTTGTCAGCTCGCATTTGACTGAAGTTGGTGAGTCAGTGTTTGATCTGAATTTTAGTTATGTTTTTGAGTTGAAAAAAACTTATATTTTAGCTTGGAATTTCTTATGTTCTTGCTCTGTACTTGGAAAACAAGAAACATACGCAAGAACTGTCTTATTTGTTTGATCTGCAGCATTTATCATTTAAAGGGTCAATTATGATGCGGAATACATATTATTCTATGTACAACAACACAAGAGCTAAGAACGATTGTGGCAATTAATTAGGTACATATATCTGAAGATGATGAAGACTGAAAAACTGCAATGCATGATATGAAGAAACTCGGAAGAATTGCTTTTGTTATTCCAAAACATAAATTGAGAAAAACCTTGCAATGAAACTAGCGTGCATCAGGCTTATGTTCAGGGCCAAACCTTGTGCTGACTTCGAAGGAACTCTCCGTGCTCATATCAGGTCTCCCTTTTTTCCTTAAGTTGAGACACATTTTCAGTTCATTGGCAACGTGGGACATGTTTGGTCTTCCAGGCTGAGTAGGACTAACGCATGACATTGCTAGTTCAAGAACCTTCCACATAGAAGTAGAGTCATAATCCCCAACAAGACTTGGATCCACAATATTCTCGATATCTCCATTCGTTAGTCTAGATCCCACCCATTCTGCTATATGAGGCTTTTCACTGGTTTGGTCGATCACCGGTCGTCTTGTGATGATTTCCAATAATACTATCCCAAAACTGTAGACATCGCTTTTCTCAGTTAACCTATTTGTTCTGTAATATCTGCGGTACAAGATAAAAGTATTTTAAAAGAAGAAGAGAAGACACTGTCAAGTTATATAAATTGCATTGAGAAGTGAGAACCAACACTTACTCAGGATCAAGATAACCAGGAGAGCCAGCAACATTGGTTGACACATGAGTTTCACTTCCGACTGGGAAAGATCTTGATAGTCCAAAATCTCCAAGTTTGGCCTGGAGATTCTCGTCAAGAAGAATATTTGTAGATTTTACATCTCTATGAATCATAGGTGGTTGGCAACCAACGTGTAAGTACTCCAATCCTATAAATAAATTATAAATCATATGTTAAAGGGTTGCTAAAATGTTTCTGAAAAAATTGGTTGCTAAATAATTATTTTTTATTATTAAATATAAATTATATTGAAATAGTAATTTTTTGTTTGTTTGACAACCCCAAAAAGTTATCATGGATTGATATGCTCTAAGAACTAAGAAGGAACCTTGTGCAGTCTCGGAAGCAATTTGTAGCCTACTTTCCCAACTTAAAGAGGTTGTAGCACATTCTCCTGTAATCAACAAGACTTGAATGTCAAATGCTTGGAAACATGAAAATATCAAACACTATATTCTATCATTGTGTCTATAAAAGGAAAAAAATAATGATCTTGTCGAGTATACCAGATAATTGTTGTTTTAAGTCTCCATTAGACATGTAATCATAGATGAGGGCCAAATTGTTTCCTTCATCACAATAGCCAACAAGTGCTACCAAATTTATGTGGTGAACTCTCAAAAGAAGTTCTACCTATCAATCCATAAAAATTAGAGCATCCATAAGTTTATGGCAAAATAAAATTATATTCAAACCTATGAGGATTAAGTCTGGTGAAGTTACCTCAGCCTTGAATTGCTTATAACCTTGGGCTGAGGATTGAGAGAGTAATTTAACAGCCACTTGTTCGTTACCATTCAAATAACCGTGATACACCGCTCCAAACCCTCCTTCTCCAAGAACTATCTCGAAGTTTTTGGTCATCACCATAACCTCTTCATAAGTGAAGCTTCTTTTACTCGACATAATTGATGGGTTTGAAGCTAAAAAATAAGAGTCATGCATCACACACACACACACACACACACAAAAACCACGTTAGAGTTTTTTACTAGTCAATGTTTATGGACTGATACCTTTCATTTGTCTCTTCTTTCTATGAACGAAAATGATGATAGCAAGCACAACTATAATAAAGGCTATTGAGACAACTGAAGCAAGAATGGGAACTTGGAATTTCTTCATGTAATTTCCATCACTTGCTTTAGTGCATGAAGGGGACGAACAAAAGTTTGGCATTCCTTCAACACTGTTTGCGAAAACAAAAACAAAAAAACTTGTTATGATAACAGAACACAAAACATGGTTGAATCAAGTATAATGGAACTAGGAAATAAGAATGCTAACATTAACTTTAGCCCTTTCTTCTCTCTTTCACGAAGCGAACTAGGAATTGAGCCATTCAGTTTGTTCCAACTCAAGTTTCTGTCAAAGTAAATGAAGTGTTAATCAATAACTTGGATGAATGAAGTATATTGATTCTCTATTTCTATTAGTCCCAAGAAACTTACATGACAGTCAAGAATTTCATGTCAGCAAGAAATTCTGGTATTCCTCCGCTGAAATTGTTATTTGATAGGTCCCTATAGTGTACGTAAAAGATGAAGGAAATATATATCTTTAAACATTATGCAATGACATTGACTGCAAAAGGATCTTCACAAAATTTTCTAGTGTCCGCAATAAAGATGATGAACATAGAAATGAATATGATACTTACAATTTTTGTAGCTGGCTTAGATGTTCTATTTCACGTGGGATGGTCCCACTTAATCCATTCGACGATAAGTCTCTAATTGTTGATTGAAGCACGTGTCATGTCAAAGATACATTCATAAACATCATATATGGACAAGAAAAGATGTTTAAGTGATCTTACAAGGAAATGATCCTTGGTGATGTATAGATTTTTGTGTTGCTGCTGCATTTTATACCATCCCACAGAAATCGTTCAGGTACACATGGATCTCCTTGCCAGCTTAATCTATATAGTTTATAAGTAGCTTGGATTTTCCTGATTGCATTGACTACAACAAATAAAATTGGATGTTGGGTCGAGAGTACGTGACATATACAAGAAATAGTATAATTTATATGAAATAGTAGAATCTAACATACGATCATCTTCATATGTGTCTGGCTGAAGAAGCGGAATCACCCCGTAACTCTCGACGGCATTAATCAGAGGTGGTGAAGTTGACCCCTTAGCTTTTACTAGCTTTATCTGGCAACCAAACGTGTTGCATTTAGACAGGGTTGTAAAAGCTACACTGGATACATAAAACCCTCCAGGACTATAATCTTTGTAAACTATATCATCATTCCATAAAATGTTGAACACTCTGGAATCGTTTCTCTTTAAAGGTTGGATATCAGCAAAGTGAAGATACAGGTGAATTCGCTGGTCCGGGTTATTGGAAGGCCAGTAATTGCTTATTAATGGCTTGTCGATTTCATAGGGTATGACAGCATTTGAAATCACAGAATTTGGCACTTCAAATTCACTATCCGTAGCTACTGGGGTGGTGGTGCTTATTTGCTTCGCATCAAGCCAACGCTCTGGAACCCAGTCACGATCATAAACATCATCAGGATACCTGGCAATGTGAATATGTAGTTATCATTCCATTATTATTGGTTTCATACTTTTACTATCCAATTACTAATTGAAGAGACTTGCTTCCATGTTACTTCTCTAAAAACAAATTTCCATGCCTATACTCAGACTGGAGTAGGAAAGCTAACCTGAAGAGGTTGATTATGGACAAAGTTTAATTAGAGACCTTTTAGGAGATGACCACTTGGTGGACCAAACCCAGCTCACAATAACAGGATAGTTGTAGATAGTTTTTTTTAAACGGACAGTGGTCTACAACTATCTTGAAACTATCCGTATGTTAGTGTTCTTTTCTTGAAACCCAAGCTTCAGAATAACAATATACTCCCTCCGTTTCATAATAAGTGTCGTTTTGACTCTTCAGTTACCCAATGTATCTAAATATATATAGATGTATTAAGACTCAAAACACATCCATATACATCATTAAATAGTCTAGATTCATTTTGTCAAAACGACACTTATTATGAAACGGAGGGAGTAGTTTTTTTCTTGAAACTATCCGTATCTTGAAACCCAAACACATATTAGTGTCCTTTTCTTGAAACTACACTTTCTATAAGTCTTTTAGAGTTGTCGCGGTTTGAAAATTTTTAATGTAAGTTTTAGTAAGGGTAAATGGTCTAGCAACTTATAAAATTTGTGGTAGGTTTGAAAGAGTTTTTATTGGTCGTAGTTTTCACACCATTTCGACTAGCCAAATGAAATTAGTTAGAGAATTTCATGTTTGAGAGGAATAGATCTTTGACCTAGGCCAACCAAGTAATTCCTTCTAAAGTGGGAACGCACATATATTTGATGACAAAGAAAAATTACATGGGTTGAAGTAACTTACCGTACGAAGATTTCATCATCGCTGAAATACCCCCGTGATAAGAGCCTTAGTGAACCGGTGTCAGTAATATAGGTATCATCTTTCAAAGGCCTTAGTTCTAAGGTTGATATGAATGGTGTACCTTCTCCTGTCTTAACGAGACAAACATCCAAAGAGTTTGAATTTGCCATGTGAATGCTCTCTTCCATGATGCCACCGGGTAAGTTCATCCTTACCCCGTAAGAACTATGATCTTCCATATCTATGGTTACCCAGAAATTAGGACCAAGAGATAGATCAAATAGGGGACTTCTTTTAAGGCCATCATAATTTTCATATAAGAAAACGGCTCTGATAAGATAAATTGTGCCCTTGATGACCGGCAAATTGTAGCAGTTCCGTGTTCCTTCGGGAAAATATCTCAAATGTTTATATGGCTTTAGGTACTCTTTGTCGTTCCTGATAATGCCACTTTTTCCCCTATGGATGAAATCAGCATCCGATGTGAAAGTCAATCCGGTGGAATTTTCAGTATAACTGGACTCGTTACCTATCATCCCACAATCCAAGCTGATGAATAGTCCTGGTAAAACAAATAATTGACAAGATTGAATAGTGCAGAATCTAGCATGTCTAGGATGACTAACAAATTTAAACTGATGTATATAATATAGTTTGCACAACAAAAGAACATAATATAGTTAATACCTTTCTGATCTTGAGCTCTACCGAGATGCGTGATTATGGATATTCCGATCAACCCTAATAGAAAGGGCTTCTGAATCCTCTCCATTTTCAAGAAGTGTTATGATATGACGGAGGAGAATTCAGGTATAATAAAGAGAGAGATAGAGAGAGATTGTGTCAGTCAAATGTCATCTGCCACAAGAAGTTGATTAGTTTGAGTTTTCAAAAATATAAAATATCATTTGCAGAAGAGGTTGGAATTAGTAAAAGTTTAATTAATGTTAGATTGGTGATGTTGAAAAACTCTTCCCATGAATGTCATTCGGAGCTTCGAGCACGTCTCCGCTACTTGAGTCCACACATATTATATGGGCTAAATTATCATTCGTACATAGGTAAACTGTTATTGCTTAAACATTTTGAACAGTCAAAATGAATTTATATAATAGCTGCTATGCAATTTTTTCGTCAAGTTGATTTTAAATAACACTTTTTGCTGGATTTTTGTTTCTTTTAAAAAATTCGACTAATACAGTATAAAAAAAATGGTTTAAGATGATAACATTCTTTTAACAATGGTAAAGAATATCTCTTTATATGAGAATCGTTGCTGTTCCTCATGTTTCCTTAATGTAGGTGGCAACATATTATTTGCTTCTACGTACGTGCATGTCATCATGCATTAGAATTTATGTCCTTGCTGGTGTAGTTAAACTTGTATTTCATTACTTGAGATGTGTAACCATGTAATACTACCTAATCATGTGTGCTTGTAGATACAACCAATTCTCCTTCAAATAACATAAAATAAAACATTTAAGAAAATTAATACCAATCAGTCGTTGACACAATAGAAAATAATTATTTTTTAAAAAGTCACCACATAAATTTTGTTTTTACTACATATTTTTCAAAGTAAGATACATCAAACCAAATATAGCAACACAACATAATAAATTTTCGGTATTAAAAAAAAACAACACATTGATATCGTTTCCTTGGCTCCAACTAGGGTGCATCATGGTTCTGTCCCAAAACCTAGATGCTGCCTGGTCCTAGCGAACTCTTAGAGTCAATGTCGCTTGCTCCTTCTTTCCTTAAGTTCTCATTCAAGAGACATTCTTTTAGTTCAGTAGCAACTTGAGACATATTTGGTCTTTCAGATGCAGAAGGATTCACGCATGACATTGCTAGTTCAAGAGCTTTCCATAGCGAAATAGAATCATAATCTCCCATGAGACTTGGATCCACAATATTGTCGATATCTCTGTTGGTTAGCATAAATGCCACCCATTCAGCAATGTGAGGCTTTTCACGAGTTTGGTCAATCACTGATCGACTTGTGATTAATTCTAACAGTACAACCCCAAAGCTAAAGATATCGCTCTTCTCAGTCAACCTATTTGTTTTGTAATATCTGCAGTACAAGGGCCGATTATTTTAACAAATGAAAACGGAACGTCATGGTTAAGTTACCAATATTGTAAAGCAACACTTACTCCGGATCAAGATAACCTGGAGAACCAGCAACATTAGTTGACACGTGAGTCTTACTTCCAATTGGAAATGATTTCGAAAGGCCAAAATCACCGAGTTTGGCTTGGAAATGCTCGTCTAAAAGTATATTCATAGTTTTGACATCCCTGTGAATCATTGGTGGTTTGCAACCGTTGTGTAAATACTCCAATCCTGTATAAGATAAATTCACCTAGGCTGAAAGATTATCATGCAAATTTGATAGTAGCTTCAAATTTTCATTGAAAAGAAAAATGGAATAGGGGACAGAAGTATAATTGTAAAGAACCTTGTGCAGTGTCAGCAGCAATTCGTAGCCTACGAGCCCAGCTCAAAGAGGATGTAGCACATTCTTCTGTAATATTTGAGACTTGTATGTCAAATTCATAAAACGCCTTGATGATTAAAATAAAAGAATGCCTTAATATACCACTAAAATCATTTTTTTGTTTCAAAAATATTATTACTCGTTTTATTAATACCAAAAAAAAAAAATCTAAAAATACCACAAACACAAAAAATGATTTTAAAATATTTATATTTAGTGTTTTGGGTTTATGGTAAAACTTATTTTGTGGTATTTTTGAGAATTCTCTTTAATTTATACCATATGGTTCATTGTTTCTGTAACGGTAGGCCAAAAATGCAGTTGTTAAGTTTACCAGATAGGTGTTGTTTTAAGTCTCCATTCGGCATGTAATCATATATGAGTACCATGTAGTTTATTTCATCACAATAGCCAACAAGGGCTACCAAATTTGTATGGTGAACTCTCAGAAGAAGCTCTACCTGTCAAACCATAAAACACATCATCCGTCAACTTTAGTTAATCATATATATGTTTCTGAACTTGAAAGCAAAAGTATGAACCATATGATATAAATTAAATACCTCTGCCTTGAATTGCCTATATCCTTGAGCTGAGGACTGAGAGAGCACTTTAACCGCCACTTGTTTGTTACCATTTAAATATCCGTGGTACACGACTCCAAACCCTCCTTCACCAAGAACTCTCTCGAAATTATTTGTCATGGCAGTAACCTCTTCACGAGTAAATCTTATCTTGTTCGCAACAATTGACGGGCGTAAAGCTGGAATATATAAAGTATGCATCATAACTAACAATTCAAGTAGAAGCTAGAAATTTAATTGAACTGTTGTGGGTATGTGTGGATTAGTACCTTTTGATTGCCTTTTACTTCCATATATATAAAAGATTAGGATTAATACAACCGTAACAACGGTCAAGGCAGACACTGACGCAACAACGGGAACTAGCCATTCCTTTTTATTATTTCCTTCGCTTTCACATGCAGGAGATGAACAGAGCTTCGAGTTTCCTTGAACACTGTTTTAAGCAAATGTATCTGTTGTTACAGAAAAGTGAAAACCCTAGAACCAAACCTTTGTTTTTGAAACGGAAAAGAACTTTGGCCGATGGTGTTTAAGAACTTTGGATGAGAAACTTACATCAACTTAAGTCCTTTCTTTTCCATGTCACGGAGAGACTTAGGAACTGAGCCACTAAAATTGTTCCAACTCAAGTTTCTGTTAGTATAAAAAAAAAATGCTGTTATATACATCCATTGTACATGATATAACGCCACGATTTGTGTTAGTCCCTCGCAACTTACATGACCGTCAATGATTTTAAGCTGGCTAGAAATTCAGGAATTCCTCCAGTGAAACTATTATTTGACAGGTCCCTGTCATATACAAACAATGATGGGAATCATGGGATGTTGAGAAATATATCATTTTATGGTTATTACATTTGAAAAAATACCACTAGAATAATTTTTGATCCAAAAATACCATCACAAGTTTTAGTGAGTATGTCTTTTATAGTAGGTCCATTTTAAACTTCCGATGTGGGATCCTTACACATTCCAAACTTAATAACATTAGGATTTAGGAGACTTTACAATTTCTGTAGCTGGCTTAGATCTCCTATCTGACGTGGTATGGTCCCGCTTAGTCCACTCGAAGATAAGTCTCTGCTTGTAGGTGGGAAGACATATCAAGTTATACATTCAAGAACGTAAATATTAACAAGAAAAGGATCTTACAAGGAAATGATTCTTGGTGGAGCACTGGACACTTCTGTTTTGCCGCTACAGTTTAAACCATCCCACATGTACTCTACAGGTGCACATGGGTCTCCTTGCCAGCTGATTCTACTTATTTTAGAATTAGCTTTGATGTTCTTGATTGCAATGACTGCAACACAAAAAGAGATTGTTCAAGAGTAACATAGTTTATTCGAATACATAAAAAAAAAACTTAAAGCCTCGTAGATATATATACCGTCGTTTTCATCTGTGTCTGTTTGAAGAAATGGGATTACCACGAAGACTTCAATACCATTAAGAAGAGGTGGAAAATTTGACCTCTTAGTTTTCGCAAGCTCCAAAAAGCAAAAAGGACTTTTGCAAGTTTGGGTGAAAGAAACAGTATCTACCATGAACTCTGGAGGACTATAATCACTGTACATAAGAATATCATCATCCCATAGAATGTTAAACTCCCTCGTATATTTAGGCTTTAGGGCTTGCATCTCAGCAAAGTGAAGGTAGACGTAAACTTGGCCGGTCAGTTTTTGCGAGCTCCAGCCCGCGGTCAGCGTTTTATTGGAATCTTGGGGTCTCGCGTAACTTGTATATATAGCCTTTGGTATTTCATAGGCATTAGGAGGATCTCCAGCAGCAGTGTTGTTTAGATACATATAATCATCCCACGAGCTTGGTCTCCAATAGCGATCATGAACATCACCAGGATACCTTAAAAAATCGAAGCACAAAATAGTATGTTGGTTATTAATTAGGGACACATTCTACGAGAAACGTACTAGGTAGGTCGATGTAACTTACCGAATACTAGGTTTAGAAGCTGTGGGATACTCCCGCGAAATGAGCGTGACTGAACCGGTTTCAGTGATGTAAGTATCATCTTTCAAAGGCCTTAACTCCAAGGCTGATATAAATGGTGTAGTTGTTCCTGTCTTAACGACACAAATATCCAAAGAGTTTGACTTTGCCATGTGAATGCTTTCTTCCATGATTCCCTCTCCCAACACATTACTAGCAAGGAGATCTTGGAAATTTATCGTGGCCCAAATGTTAGGACCTATGTATAGATCAAATTTTGGTCTACTTTTAAGACCATCATAATTTCCATAAACGAAAAGAGCTCTGATAATATATTGTGTGCCCTGCGTCAGTGTTAGATTGTAGCAGTTCCGTGTCCCTTCCGTAAAATATCTCAGAGATCTATATGGTTTTATGTACTGAAAATCCTCATCATCATCAATCTTAATTATGCCACTTTTTCCGCTGTGGATGTAACCATCTTCGGATGAGAAAACCAAACCAGTTGTCTGTTCTGTATAACTAGACTCGTTGCTGGGTAATCCGCAATCCAAGCTTATGAATCCTGCAAGTAGCTCGTTCAAAAAGTAAATACAAGCAAAGGAGAAGACGTACAAATTAAATTGACCTATATCGTGACAAGACTAACAAACGCAAATACCTTGTTGATCTTGAGCACTGGCGAGATACGTAATGAAAATTTTCCATATCATCACCAAGACAACAATCCTCTGAATACTCTCCATTTTCAAGAATTAATCAAAGATAACAAATAACTGCAAGTATTCAGAGATGAAGAAATAGATAGACATAGAGAGAAAGATGTTGTTAGCTGAAATAGCCACCTTATAGCATGAAGCTAATTAATACTTATGTACAGTATTTACAAAAGAAAAAGGCAAGTGGAAATTTTTTTATGATATAACATATAAGTTGTGTCTCTCCAGGTTGGTGATATAGAAAAGTCTCCCATATATATTTTTTGGAGCTTCAAGCACGTCTCTCATGCCTCTGTATGTGCATACCAGACACCCTTATACTCGTATTAACTGAGAAAAAATGAAAACAACCTTTAATTTGTATACAATTATACATATGGTGCTACTGACATTTTTGTTTTAATCTCTTATCTCTATATATCTTCCACATATTTTTATTCGGAAAATTCGTAAAAATACCACAAAAATATTTTTGGTATAAAACAAGCATTGTGTCTATTTTTGTTGAAAATGCAAATTCATCAAGCAAGTAGATACCATATACTTGAATCTAGTGCAAGACCTTGAATCAATTTCAGCATTATTAGCTTTAGGAATATGAATTCTCGAGCGGATGAAGAAATTCTTGAATTGGGAAGAAATGAAATTGCGACCTTAACAGACTTCATTCTGACTGTCAATTCAGAGAAGACTAGAGAGAAGATCAAAGAATCAGTGACTTGTTTAGAGAACTGGTGAATTACATGGATAAAGATATCAATGAACTCAAAACATATTCACCTGAGCTTAGAAAGAGAATCAAAGCAGAAAAAAACAATTTGTGTTCTGTACCAATATCAAAAACAAACAAAGGAAAAGAGGAAGAAACAAGAAGGATAATACAATGTGTATAAACTTTTTAATGTACCAAATTCACAAGAGCTAAGAAATATGTACACGTTTAATAACTTAGTTTAACATTCAATTAGCCATTATCTAATCCAAAAGAAAGGAATATCAAACAGAGAGAAAACAAAAAATCATAACCAGAAACGTGACCCAATGCAGGAGCAACTGTAAGCAGTAAAACTTGTAGGCAATGTTGTTTCCATGTTTTGATGTTCTTAGTTTACTTCAAAATTCAAAAGAAAAGACAAACGTTACATCCTCGCAAGTCCTAACTCCCAACAAGTTCCTGTCACCACTGCAAATCGAGAGAACTCCCGTCTAGTCCAAACCCAATTGCAAAATAAAAAGGATGCAATATATGTGTTGAAAGAAACTTAAACTAAACACATAGCTCCAACATTCACAGAGATATAACCCAATGGTACTAATACGATGAATGGAACAGAGCAAATGATGTGGTTGAGGAAGCATCAAGCAAACCAATACCACAAACTCAAAGTTGACAGTAAACAAAAACATAACAGAAAAGGAAAACAATTTACCAACAAATATGACAATACGAAGCAGATAATTTTATCAAGTATCGAAATCCCATAAAGCTAAGCCAAACCAAACCATAGAAATGAAGATAATCATATTAAGAAGAAGAAACCATCTTCAAATAAGCAAATACCAAATCCACCAACATAAGTCATTACAATAACAACAGATCTCGTCATAACTTCTGAGAATCTCATCTCAATCTAGCAAAAGCAAACCCTAAGAGATAGATTATATAGAGACGATAAAGAGGAATAAGAAAAGAGTACTCCAAATTCTTAAGCCTCGGTCTTGTCTGACTCAGTAGCAGTATCGTCTTTCGAAGCCTCACTCGCCTCAGTCTTCTCATCCTCCGCCGACTCGTTGTTTGACTCATTCCCATTCCCGGCGGCGTTAGCCGACGCAGATCGATCCTTCACCGTTTCAAGCATCCGCTTGCTAATCTCCTTCGAATAAACCTCAAGGATCTTGATCCCATCGTCGTCATCCGACACGGCGTTAGACGCGACGCCGTACGCTTCCTCCTCGATCGATTTCGCGACGGCGGCGGCTTCCTCGGAATTGAGCGTCCCGTATCTTTTAGAGAGGATCGATTCGGTGGACAAGGTCTCGATCAGGCGGTTCAAGACTGCGTCGCGAGTTTTCTGCGTCGGCGGCCAGATGCGGAGAGAGATGCCTCCCGGCTTCGTCTCCGCGGCGGCTTCCTTCTTCAGATCTACCTCTTTTGAGGATTCGTCAGATGTCTGATCGGACAATGCGGATCCGACGGATTCCGGCTGCGGCTCCGAGTCGGCGGTTTTGATTGTATCGGCGGTTTCAGCCATTTTTTTCAAAAAGTGAATTTAGGGATTTGGAGAAATGTTGAGAGATTGGTTTTGGCGATAGAGGAAGGAGAAGATCGGGTTTGAGTTATGATGACGTCTTCACTTTTAAGTTTAGACTTTGCATTGATTGGTTGGTTGGTTCGGAAGTCGGAACTAAATAATTTAAATGAAAAATGAAAAATACAAAAATGTGAAATTTGTTTTCAAAATGTTACCGGTAAAACAAAATCGGACACAAATCTGATTAAAAAAGTAGCCCGCCAAATCAAATTTTAGGTGATTTACCTTCCAAATTCCCCAAATTTTGGTTTGACTCTGAAAAAAAACTCAAAATCCCTAATTCCCAAAATCACAAAGAGCGCCACAAGCTTCAAAATTCGGAGAAATGGCGCTTTTTGCTCTCCCCTTTTTGTATCCCCGTCTCATCCTCACTTCTTCCTCCCATCCAATCTTCGATCTCGATCTCACTCTTCTTCTTCTCTCTCTTTCTCTTGTCATCTCTTCAATTTCTTAAACCATGTCGGAGAAGGAGATCTGCGGGATGATGACGAGAGCCGCTGCGAAACGAAAGGCGATGGCCACGGAGGAGGATGAGCGGGCTAACAAGAAGAGAGTGGTGCTCGGTGAGCTTATCAATTCTTCCAATGTCACCATCTTACCCAATCTCAATAAGAGAATTCAGATCTCGAGACCCATAGAGACTGTTACTCCCCCAGCGAAGCTGAGAAAGTCAGCTCCGGTTGCTTTGGCTGTGCCTGCCGTAGAATCAGGATCTGACATCGATGCTCGATCTGATGATCCCCAGATGTGTGGGCCTTATGTAGCCGACATCTATGAGTATCTCCGTGAATTGGAGGTAATAATCTCTACTTTATTGATCTCCTCCTAATTCGAGTTTAAACATGGAATAGCCTCAGTTTTAAGTTGTGAGTTTGATCTGAGTAGTTTCAATTTAAGATTTTTCCAGTTTGTTATTTAAATGGAGTATTGGATAGGTGAAATTCAATTCTGGATTTGATCTTAAACTTTTGAGAATTTTCCAATCACAGCTTGCTCTTATGATAGTCTGATTTGGTTTGCACAATTTGGGGATCTGATTATTATTCGTATGTGAGGCTGAAAGATTATTGTTTTGTTTTGTTTTGAAAACTTCAGGTGAAGCCAAAACTGAGACCTTTACCGAATTACATCGAAAAGGTTCAGGAAGATGTCACAGCAACCATGAGAGGCGTTTTGGTGGATTGGTTAGTCGAAGTTGCTGAAGAATACAAACTCGTCTCTGAGACACTTTACCTCACTGTCTCTTACATCGACCGATTCTTGTCCTTAAGAACTGTCAACAGGAAGAAGCTTCAGCTCGTCGGAGTTTCTGCAATGCTTATTGCATCGTAAGCATCTTTTGATCTTCGTGTGTTATCATCCTCTCTTTAGCTAGTCTATTCTGTTTATCTGAAACTTATGAAATTTTTCTTCTTGTTTCTGGTTTATTAGGAAGTATGAAGAGATAACTCCTCCTGATGTTGAAGATTTCTGTGACATCACTGAGAATTCATTTACGAAACAAGAAGTGGTGAAGATGGAGGCAAACATACTTCTTGCGCTTCAGTTTGAATTAGGAAGGCCTACAGTCCATTCTTTTATAAGGTTGGATTTTGTGATTATGCTGATAATATTTTTGTGTGTTTGTTTGTATGATTCCTTGTCCTCATTTTTTGTTTGTTTCGTTTGCCACTTTTTATGTGCAGACGGTTCACAAGTGTTGCTCAAGAAGTAAGCTCAAACTGATTTCTCTTTTTATAAAAATTTTGAAATCTGAGGAGTGCCAATTGCTAAAATTCTTTTGTTTCTGTGTGTTTTGTTTTCAGGTGCCACACTTGCAGCTAGAGCCTCTCTGTTGCTACTTGTCAGAGTTGACTATTTTAGATTACAAAGCTGTGAAGTTTGTGCCTTCTATGTTGGCTGCTTCTGCTGTCTTTCTCGCTCGCTTCATCATCCGTCCCAAACAACATCCTTGGGTAAGCATTTTGATCTCACTCTCTTACATGTAAAACTGGTGAGTCAAAGTCTTTTGAACGAGAGAGACTAATAAGCTATGGTTGAAATTGATGTGAACAGAATCAAATGTTAGAAGAATACACAAAGTACAAAGCAGCTGATCTACAAGAGTGTGTTGGAATCATACATGACTTGTATCTGAGCAGAAGTGGAGCTTCTCTACAAGCTATCAGAGAGAAATACAAGCAGCAGAAGGTAATTAACATTCTAATGATGGATACACTTACGAATAAGATGATTTGATTTAGCGTTCTTGATACTTAATGTTGCTCCTCTTTATACAGTTCCAGTGTGTTGCGACCATGCCTGTATCACCTTCTCTGCCAGTTACCATTTGGGAGGATGTTACCATTTGATCTGAAGCTTTGCACTTAGAAGAAAGGGCTAAAGTGGATGCGTTCGATAGTTGCATTATATTTGATTCTTTATTCATGTCGCTGTAATTAAAATATACAGTATAAGTACATTGCTTCAATTCACCATCAGGCAATGGCAGTTCTAGTGTTCTGTCTGGAGGTTAAAGCTTAACGCTAACTAAGAACTAAGAAGTAATAGGAAGCAATTAACAAGAAACAGATTTTGTTTTTGTCTTTTGGTGTACAATCAGATTATGGACCTATTGTTGATCTATCTTTTTCCTGTTATAAATAATATGCAGAGTGAAGATTTTTTAAAGGAAACCTATTGTATCAGATTATGCACAGTACTTATATTGGTTTTGTCACAAAGGCACTAGCAACAAACGTTTGTAAAACGGATGCTGCTTCCTCCTTGGTGACCAAACTCTCCAAAAGAAGAAAAGAGGACACAAATGCAGAGATTAGCACGAATCAGTACACAAATACTAATAATATAAGTTACGGCCCTTTGTTTATCGATTTAAAAATAGTTTGAAATACAGTACTAGGGTTGGTTTATAGTCTCTTGGATTCACTACCAGCTTCCGTTTTTTATCTTTTTGAGTCCTCACATTTTCTCGTTTATGGCCTATGTAATGGCTGTTGATTGCACAATAAAGTCAATGCCATCCACGTGTTGGCATACGACAAGTCGCTTTGGCCGAGTGGTTAAGGCGTGTGCCTGCTAAGTACATGGGCTCTGCCCGCGAGAGTTCGAATCTCTGAGGCGACGATTCTTTTTTTACTGCTTTTCTTTTCAATCGAACCAACCAGTCAACCACAATGGCAAATCCAATCGAACCGGTCAAAATGCAAAACACTTTCGGACACAAAAAGTTAGCCCGCCGAATTAGGCATGACCACGGTTACGGTTATCACGGTTAAGGTTATTTAACCACCGGTTACGGTTAGAAATTTTGTTAACCTTAACCTTAACCATTTAACATACGGTTAATACGGTTATGGTTAAATATCAATCCGGTTAGTACGGTTACGGTTATAATTATAATACGGTTAATATTACGGTTTATGATTAAATAAATATTATAAAAAAACAGAATAATGTAAAAATTTACACTAACATATATGAAAGAGATAAATTAAAACATAATTATAAATGTATATAAAACTTTGAAAGAAAAATGAATTATTCATTGAGAATTATTTATTACAATAATAAAGTTTAAAAAAATATTAGTCACTGTCTTCGGATCTACTGAAGATACATCACTATCAAAATCTTCTAATCTTCTTCATTGTCTCGGATGTATTCTTGTTGTCTATATTGAGCTCTGGTCCAATCATCAAGACATGCTTGAGCTTCGAGAGAATCTGGACTCATTCTTGATCGAGTTTCGTCTAAAATTTGACCTCCCATGCTAAAAGCCCGTTCCACAGAAACTGTAGAAACTGGTGAAGAGAAAATGTCCTTTGCTATCATAGCTAAAATGGGATAATGAGATTGATGATACTTCCACCACTGAATGACTTGAAAGTTATTACCTGCATCTGCATCACTAAACTCAAAGTTAGTAGATAAATATTTTTCAAGTTCAGAATTATTACCTTGTGATGGTCGTTGTCGTTTCTGTCTCCGCATCCTTTCTGCAAGACTTAGTGAAGATGTTGAGGACATGTCATTTTGTACAGATGATTCATCCATTTGTGGTGCCAGATGCTTATATACTCTATAATATTCATCATACAAAGTCTCTATATCTTTTTTAGAATTTGAAATAATGTTTGGAATATTAATGCTTTCAGACAAATGCAATAACTCATAATATGTAGATAAATATTCATTTAAACCATCCAATTTAGTTCTAGGATCAAAAATAGATGCAAGCAAATTAAGAGGTGGAATTTCTTTATAATATTTTAACCATTTTTCTTTCATACTCTTAATACATGATGACAAAACAATATCATGTTCATGTGCATGCATCACATCAGCAATATTAACACATTCATATAAAAGCAAATGAGCAGTAGGATAATAAACACCAGATAATAAATATGTTGCATCATTAAAACATTTTAATAATTTTAAAAGTGCAGCACATTCGTCCCAATGAGTAGGCCACAAAGTTAAAGAAATACATTTTTGTTGAATAAAACTACATAATAAATCCTTATAACCAATTGAATCTACAAGCATATCATAAGTTGAATTCCAACGGGTAGGGACATCACGAGAAAACCTTTTGGGAGATGCATTATGAGTTTTACAAAATGAAAACCATTGTTTCATTAATTGTGGATGCCCCCACAAATAATTTAAAGCATTTTTTATTGGTGCAATAATATTACTTTGAGAAACTAATAAACCATCTTGAACACATAAATTCAAAACATGACAAATACATCGAACATGAAAATACTTTCCACCTAAAATAGGATTACAATTATTTATTAATTCATCAAGTGAAGCTGTATTAGCTGATGCATTATCAAATGAAATAGAAAATATTTTGGATGTTAAATTATATTCTTCTAAAATAACTTTTATTAATTTAAAAATATTATTAGCTGTATGTCTTTCATCAAAAACTCGAAAAGCAATAATTCTTTTTTGAATATTTCAATCACTATCAATCCAATGACATGTAATACCCATATAATAATGAATTTGCCAATGATCACTCCAAATATCACAGCATATTGAAACTTTATTATGAAAACTAGAAAATAAGTTTTGTAAATCTTTTTTTGATTTCCGATAAAGTGATTTTAAAGTACGAGTAAGAGTAGTACGGGGAACTCTTTTAGCTTGAGGATTTAAAGCATTTTTGCAATAATTATTAAAACCCAGTTTTTCACCAAAGCTAAATGAAAGATGGTCAACTGCAACACATTTTGCTAATTCCTCTCTATTTTTTTTATCTGAATAACGAAAAGATGAAAGATTAGAAGAACTAGCATGAGGATCTTGGTTGGTTTCTAAACCAAATTTTTCAGGATGAGTCTTTTTCAAATGATATTTATATGAACCATACCCTGAACCGATTTCCAAAAAAACTTTTTGTCGCAATAGTTACAACATGCTTTCATTATACCATTAATTTTTTCTTTTCGAAAGTGTACCTTAAAAACTCGGAAGCATTCAAACGTTGTCTCTCCACGTTTATGCTAGCTTGTTCCTGAGTTGCACTTTCCTGAGTATTGATGGTTGGTATGGCAGCACCTTCTCTCTCAACGTCCACATTTGAAAAAAATGAACCTGAAGACATTGTTAATAGCAAGAAAAAAAAGCAGAGTCGAGAATAATAAAGAGATAATAGTAAATATTTGTTGTGATTGTGTGATCAGTTTACTTAGCTTACATGCATGCACACATATTTATAATAACGTTGGTTACGTGGTTACTATAAAGGTGGACAACGTCTTTATTTGTTACTAAAAAGGTGGAAACAAATTGATAAAATCTTTTGGAAAATTTCAAAACAATTTGAATCGGAACCGCCCTCTAACCATATCAAAATCATTTTTATCTAATAATCTTATTACTTAACGGATATACTATATTTATATTTTTAATTAGATTTTACTTTTTGAATTTAACTAAACTTATCACAATATAATATTCAAGTTAACTATTTTTAAATTTAATATATCCATGTCATAGCTAATTTTTTTATTTATTTAATATAATATTTTAGACGGTTACGGTTAAAATTAAACGGTTTAACCTTGCGGTTAACCAACGGTTTTTATACGGTTACGGTTAAATAGCGGTTACGGTTAATTTTTTTTTAACCATAACTAATATTTTTTTTACGGTTGACGGTTACGGTTTTAACCAATTTATACGGTTACGGTCCGGTTACGGTTTAAAAACGGTACGGTTACGGTCCGAAATACGGTTACGGTTTGATTTTGGTCATGCCTACCGCCGAAACACAAATTTCATTAGACTCCCAAAAAAGTGAAAAACACACAAAGAGCGCCAGAAACTTCATTTTCGAATCGAAATTTTCTTTTTCACAGAAATGGCGCTTTTGCTCTCCCCTTTTTCTATCCCTTCTCATCCTCACTTCTTCCTCACATCCAATCTTCGATCTCGATCTCTCTCCTCTCTCTCTCAATTCAATTCATCTCTTCAATTCCTTAAACAATGTCGGAGAAGGAGATCTGCGGGATGATGACAAGAGCCGCGGCGAAACGAAAGGCGATGGCCACGGATGAGGAGCGGGATTGTAAGAAGAGAGTGGTGCTCGGTGAGCTTCCGAACGCTTCCAACGTCACCGTCTTACCCAATTTCAACAAGAGAATTCAGATCTCAAAACCCAATGAAAGTCTTCCTCCCCCAGCGAAACTGAGAAAGACAGCTCCGGTGGCTGCCGTAGAATCAGCTCCGGTTGCTTTCGCTGTGGCTGCAGTGGAATCCGGATCTGACATTGATGCCCAATCTGATGATCCGAAGATGTGTGGACCTTATGTCGCCGACATCTATGAGTATCTCCGTGAAATGGAGGTAATGATCTCTACTTTATTGATCTCGTAATTGGACTTTAAACATTGAATAGTCTCAAATTTAAGTTGTGGGTTTGATCTGAAGAGTTTCAATTTAAGATTTTTCCAATTTGTTCTTGAAATTCAGTTCTAGATTTGATCTTAGTATTTTTGAGAATTTTCCAATCACAATTCACAGCTTCCCCTTATGAATAATCTGATTTGGTTTAGACAATTTAGGGATCTGATTATTATAATGTGAGGCTCAAAGATTAATGCTTTTCGGTTTGTTTTGCTTGTTAAAATCTTCAGGTGAAGCCAAAACTCAGACCATTACCTGATTACATGGAAAAGGTACAGAAAGATGTCACAGCAACCATGAGAGGTGTTTTGGTGGATTGGTTAGTGGAAGTTGCTGAAGAATACAAACTCGTCTCTGAAACACTTTACCTCACTGTCTCTTACATCGACCGATTCTTGTCCTTAAAGACTGTCAACAGGAAGAAGCTTCAGCTTGTTGGAGTTTCTGCAATGCTTATTGCTTCGTAAGCATCTTTTATTCACTCTTTGATAATAGTCTACTGTATTCATCTGAAGCTTATAGAATATGTCTTCTTCTTTTTGGTTATTAGGAAGTATGAAGAGATAAGTCCTCCTGATGTGGAAGATTTCTGTGACATAACGGATAATTCATTTACGAAGCAAGATGTGGTAAAGATGGAAGCAGACATACTTCTTGCGCTGAAGTTTGAATTAGGAAGACCTACAATTCATTCCTTTATAAGGTTAGATTTTGTGATGAGACAGTGTGTTTTTTTTGTTTGATTTGTATGGTTTCATTGTCCTCATTTTGTGTGTGCTTTTGCTCATTTTATGTGCAGACGGTTCACAAGAGTTGCTCAGGAAGAGTTCGAAGTAAGTTTCAGTATACAGATTCTGCTACATGTTGTTTTGTGACTTGTAGAGTGTCAATTGCTAAAATCTTCTGTTTTTGTGTGTTTTGTTTTCAGGTGCCACACTTGCAGCTAGAGCCTCTGTGTTGCTACTTGTCAGAGTTGACTATTTTAGATTACAAAGCTGTGAAGTTTGTGCCTTCTATGTTGGCTGCTTCTGCTGTCTTTTTCGCTCGAGTCATCATCCGTCCTAAACAACATCCTTGGGTTAGCATTTTCTTCTCTCTTACCTGTAAAAATGTCGAGTCAAGCCTTTTGAAACAGAGACTAATACGCTATGTTTGTGTAAATGTGAACAGAATCAAATGTTAGAAGAGTACACAAAGTACAAAGCAGCTGATCTACAGGAGTGTGTCGGAATCATACATGACTTATATCTGAGCAGAAGTGGAGCTTCTCTACAAGCTGTTAGAGACAAATACAAGCACCACAAGGTAATTAACATTTCAGTTAATGAGAGAATTTGAATTAGCTTCCTTGGTGATACTTAATGTTGCTTCTATTGTTACAGTTCCAGTGCGTTGCAACCATGCCTGTATCACCTTCGCTGCCGGATACTCTTTGGGAGGATGTTACCATTTGATCTGAAGCTTTGCACTTTAAGAGCTAAAGTGGTTGAAGCAGCGGTGATTTAGAGATGAAAGCTGTGTGTTTATTAAGCAAATGTCAAAGGCATTTCAACTTTAATGACATGGTGGAATCCTTGAGAAAGACTCAGGTTTGAGCTTGAACTGAAAGCGGGACAGATCGATGAAGATTGATCTTGAGAGGGCATGAGGATGGAGATGGAGCATTTTGAGACAATAGAGCATTGGAAGAGGAAGCAACAACTGCTTCTTAACAGAAGCTGCTTGGAGCACACGGTTCTTGGAGCTTGATTTTAAAGAGGAAGGACTTGTACGTACTAAGTATGGACTTGTATGAACAGATCTATCAAATCAACCAAATAACGAAATGGTGGAATAAAAATGCTAAGGAGAAGAGACAATGTGATTAACTGTCGCTTAATCCTTTAAATTACTGTCGTACAATATAATTCCGTAATTAAACAGGAATATGAATTCATTTATCAACCTTGCCTCTAAGGAAAAATTAACACTACCACTAAAATAGTAAGAAACCCATCTGATGGATGATCTGGATACAGATCCAAATTAAAAACCGATTTGACATTCAAACAATCTGATCAGACTGCAAATTGCAAAACAAATTTAGTTTCAAAATATGATTTTTATTTTGTAAAATACTTACATTAAAGTTTATTCTCCTTTCTTGATTGGTAAAGTTCAATTTTACCAAAATACAACAATATTTTTCCGTCAAGTCTGTAGTATTCTTACCAAATTAATATGATGCAACAGTAATATATATGTTCCTCGGATTAAATCTGTTAAATATCTGTTTTATCGCCAATTAATTTACATTGATTTATGTTGCTTTTGCGTTTTCTTGTTATTCTACGAGAGTTGTTGTTACCTTGTGAATTTGTTTCGGAAGCTTATAGAATTATTCTTCTTCTTTTTGGTGAAGAATACAAACTCGTCTCTGAAACACTTTACCTCAATGTGTTTTTGGTTTGATGTGTATGGTTTCATTGTTCTCATTTTGTGGGTGCTTTTGCCCTTTTCATGTGCAGACGGTTCATAAAATATGTATCAGGGAAACCGATCCATGTGATGAAGAATCTTGGTGTGTGTGTGAGGATTGTCATAATGCCATCAAGTGTATGGCTAAAATCACAGGGAGATTGATTATCCTGAGGGGTTATAACTTACAACAGGTTTCACCAGTTTAAGGATGGTTCATGTTCTTGTGGTGACTGTGAATTGGTGATGATGATTTCATTTCATCTTGATTCAAATTAACTAATGACCAATTGTTTTTTTATATAAAGTTAAAACAGTTTTTTAGAGTTAATGTTGTAATTAAAAACAGAGAGTCCTTCCATTAAGAGAGAGAGAGAGAAAACTAGTAAGAGCAACAACAACTAGATTAAACCGGCAATATTGAAGAGATAAGATTAAACCGGCAATATTAAAGTAGGAACGAGGTTAGGTCGCACTCGGCGATGATCTCACTCCGGTCGCCACCGCCATCGCGTTTTGCTCTCTAATAGGATTTGAGGATGAGAAGGAGCAACGAGAGGAAGAGCGACGGTCCGGAGGAGGAGGAGCAACAATTTCCGGAGGAGGAGTATCGTCGTTGCACAGGAGGAAGAGGAGCAACGAGAGGAGGAGCGACAAGGTCGAGAGAAAAAGGAGCAAAGAGCTCAAGAGGAGGAGGAGGAGGAGAGAGAACGCCATGGAGGAGAAGAAGTCATTTTGCTTGTTTTACTTGCTAATGAGGGATGTGAGTCCAACAAAATCTTCACGGTACATAATTCGTACACATTAGCTTGCGCTTTTTTATTTGAGAGGAACATTCTCTCTTCCGCATCTTCACGAACTTCTCCGTGGAGTTTGTAAGTGCTGAGTATGGACTTGAGGAGTTTCTGCTTATGGAATTGTTGCATTGTAACATTTTCTGTTTTATGAGTTTAAACTCTTACTGTGGACGATGGCCACATCGGCATTGTTAATGATTGCGATTATAAAGTCAAGCCTCTAGTTTTGAGGTTTAGGTGGCTGTAACTATACACTATAGCCTCTAGTTATTTTGGGAGTTGCATTAGTGATTTGTTTGGTTGTGTTTATTCTTGATGTGTAGATGGATAGTGGAACGCTCAACATCAACAATGGGGTAGTGATGTATCTAGTGTATATTAACTAAAAGAAAACTGTAGTGGAGGAGAATCAGTTTTTGAGCCGGGTGAATTAAATGGAGTGTTAATTATCGACGGATGAAAAACAATGAAGATATGAAGAATGTTGCAGTTTATGAGATCAGAGTGATGAGGCCTGACTGGTGGGGTAGTATAAATAGTCTAACTATATTATTACTTCCTCCATTTTTGAAAGATAATTTTTCTAGTTTTTTTACATATATTAATAAAAAATTGATTTTCAATCATTATTGTATAGATTTTTGTAATAAAACAATTTTCTATAATTTTAAATCAATAAAAATCTAACAAATGTTTTGAAATCTAAAAAATGCATCAAAAAATTGTTAATTTTTTTTTATCTTTGTTGAACATAAAAAAATTGCTAGAAAATTCATCTTTTAAGAATGGAGAGAGTATATAGCTTTATCGGTTATAATGTAAGCAATTGAGGGACAGAGATTAACTATCTTGTGTAGTATGGGCTCTTAAACAATGGTTCTATAGTTTGTAATCAGTTACAAGTGGTTAATATAGAGATACATTTTTGTTTTACCGGCTACCTATTGTAGAAATGGTTTTCTACGTCATATCGAGTGTTGAGTGTTTTGATACTAAAATTCACACTGGGAAGTAATTAAGAAATGCTTCTTAACTCTATTTTTGTTGGACTTTTAATGTTTGGGTGAGACTACCTGAGACTCTTGACACAAGGATCAGCAAAACACCAATCATCGTGTTTCTTGCAATATAGGAAACAATATCTCCTACGAAAAGTCAAGAAGAACAAACAGAGGCACAAATCACAGGAACATTTCAGAAACGTATACATGTTTGAGTAAATTTAACAATATGACCAATTAGTTCACAATAAAAAATACGTTTGACTTCAAAACGTCGCTTTGGCCGAGTGGTTAAGGCGTGTGCCTGCTAAGTACATGGGCTCTGCCCGCGAGAGTTCGAATCTCTCAGGCGACGAATAATTATTTTTTTATTTTTTTTTATTATTTTTAATCAAAAAATTAAAAATGTAAATCAACGTGAAGAAATATAATAAGATGTGAAATTTTGTTTTCAATCGAACCAAACTTTACCGGTCAAAACGCTTTCGGACATAAATCTGATCAAAATTAGCCCGCCGAAACAAATTTCAGGTCATTTTGGTTGACTCTGAATCAAAAATCCCCAAAATCCCAAAATCACAAACAGAGCGCCAGAAACTCCATTTTCATCTCTGAAAACTTTTCGCAGAAATCAGAAATGGCGCTTTTCCTCTCCCCTTTTTCTTCCCCCTCTCACCTTCACTTTTTCCTCCCCCCATCAGATCTCAATCTCGATCTCTCTCCCTCTTACTTCCTCTCTCTCCCGCCGTCTCTTCAATCCCTAAACCATGTCGGAGCAGGAGATCTCCGTGAGGATGACGAGAGCGGCGGCGAAACGAAAGGCGATGGCCACGGAGGAGGAGGAGCGAGTCGTTAAGAAGAGAGTGGTGCTCGGCGAGCTTAGGAATGTGTCTAACGTCGCCGTCTTGACCAATCTCAATCAGAAAAGAGTGATCCAGAAGCCCAATGAGAGTGTTAAGGCTCCGGCGAAGAGGAAGGCAGCTCCGGTGGCTTTGGCTGCCGTGGAATCAGGATCTGATATCGACGCTCGATCTGATGATCCGAAGATGTGTGGACCTTATGTCACCGACATCTATGAGTATCTCCGTGAAATGGAGGTAATTATCATTGATCCCAATTTTAAGTCTCAATTTAAGATTTCTCCAGATTAGCTTGATGTTCTTCAATTGGACAAGTTTGGGTAGTGTCAATTTAAGTTGTGGAATTGATCTGACGAGTTTCAATTTATAATTCCTCCATTATTGCTATCTGCTCTTGAAATGGACTATTTAAGGGCTGATGATTGATATTTGATCTTAAAATTCAATCAAGTAACTGAATTTGATCTGAAAGAGTTTCAATTTAAGATTTTTTTCCAATATAGCTAGATGTTCTTTAACTGGAAAATTTAGGGACTGATAAGTATCCTTTTGGTTATTGGTTTGTTGAAATCTTCAGGTGAAGCCAAAACTAAGTCCATTACCTGATTACATCGAGAAAGTTCAGAAAGATGTAACACCAAGCATGAGAGGTGTTTTGGTGGATTGGTTAGTGGAAGTTGCAGAGGAATACAAACTCGTCTCTGAAACACTTTACCTCACTGTCTCTTACATCGATCGATTCTTGTCCTTGAAGACTGTCAACAAGCAAAAGCTTCAGCTTGTGGGAGTTTCTGCAATGCTGATTGCTTCGTAAGCAACTTTGATCATTCTCTCTTTCATAGTCATTGTGTTTATCTGAAGCTTATTGGTTTCTTCTTGTTTTGGCATGTAGCAAGTATGAAGAGATAAGTCCTCCCAAAGTTGAAGACTTTTGTTACATCACTGATAATACATTTACGAAGCAAGATGTGGTGAAGATGGAGGCAGATATACTTCTTGCGCTGAAGTTTGAATTAGGAAGGCCTACAGTCAGTTCTTTTATAAGGTTAGATTTTGTGATGAAACAATGTGCTTTTGCTGACAACAATTGTTGATTTATATGGTTTCATTGTCCTTATTTTGTGTGTTTTTGTGCCTCTTTGTTATGTGCAGACGGTTCACAAGGGTTGCTCAAGAAGATTTCGAAGTAAGTTTCAACCTACAGATTCTGATATCTGTTGTTTTGTAAATTTTAGAGTGTCAATTGCTAAAATCTTCTCTTTTAATGCCTTTGTTTTTCAGGGGCCACACTTGCAGCTAGAGCCTCTCTGTTGCTATTTATCAGAATTGAGTATCTTAGATTACAAAGCTGTGAAGTTTGTGCCATCTCTGTTGGCTGCTTCTGCTGTCTTTCTTGCTCGATTTATCATCCGTCCCAAACAACATCCTTGGGTAAGCATTTTTTTTACCACATGATAAATCTCACTCTCTTACTTGTAAGCATTTTGAACGAGAACACTAATGATCTTATGGTTGTGTGAACAGAATCAAATGTTAGAAGAATACACAAAGTACAAAGCTTCTGATCTACAAGTGTGTGTTGGAATCATTCATGACTTGTATCTGAGCAGAAGAGGAGGCTCTCTGCAAGCTATCAGAGACAAATACAAGCACCACAAGGTAGTTTACCATTATAGTGATCAAACACTTTTCAATAAGAGATCATTTGAATTAGCATTCTTTGATACTTAATGTGTCTCCTCTTGGTTCAGTTTCAGTGTGTTGCGACCATGCCTGTATCACCGGAGCTTCCGGTTATGTTTTGGGAGGATGTTACCATCTGATCTGATGTTACTGAGCTCGATTTCATGAAAACCATCTCAATACTGATTCGCGGGTCTTATAGTATACTGATCAAGAAGCTGAAGCTGGTGTAGTAAGAGCTCTTGAAGTGAAGGCAGCAATAAATAATTTGTGTTTAGTATGTTGAGATGTCTGTTTGTTTCATGCCTATATCTTTTTTTTTGTTGGTCAACACATTTCTTGTATCTTTTTGTATACCAAATTAGCATGTAAACCCTCAGGGATACAATGCAATTACGCAATATAATTTATGTTTTTCTCGTGACATGTTGGTATCTCTCTTTTGGTGTCTTTGGCTCTTAATGGAGAAGGATTCAAGATCAAACATTTAGTAGAGATTTAAGTATATAAACTACTTCAAATTTGATGAGTTTTTGTAGACAGTTGGGAAAGACATTTTATATCTTTCAAAATTTCAGCAAATAAATTTTTAGATGACCAAAAAACCAAAAAAACAAAACAAAAATAATTGTGAGTTTGTTGTCTTTTCTCTTTTAGAATTTGTTTATGTGCTTTTGCTTTTGTAGTTCTGGTCTCAAGCACTACTGTTGAAAAAGAGGGGGGACTAAAATAATTGGAAGATGCCACTTGGTAATAAGAGAGTGAAAGAAGGGTAAATTTGACAAATCAACCGCCAAATAAAATTGGGCGATGATATGCGAAAAAATCCCCAAAATTTTGGATGGTCAAATCCCTAAAAATTTCGAAAGCAACACAGAGAAGAAGCGCCATGACCTAAAAATAAACTCAAAAACACACACAAAAATGGCGCTTTTAAACTTCCCATTTCTTCTACATTTCTATATCTCATCGAATCAATCTCAATCTCCATCCACTACCTCTCTTTCCCACTGAATCTTCACATGGCCGAGAATCAGAACTGCTCGAGGATGACGAGGGCGGCGGCGAAACGAAAAGCGTCCATGGCGTTGGACGAAGAGCCAGTTGTTAGCAAGAAGCGAGTTGTCCTCGGAGAGCTTCCGAATATGTCCAATGTCGTTGTTCAATCGAAACCCAATCAGGAGCGAGAGATCCTGAAGCCCAAACCAACTGTTATCGCCGCGAAGAAGCCGACGAAGAAGGCTCCGGCGATGATGCCGTCTGTGGCGGCTACTGAACCGAGCGTTGACTTCGAGTCTCGATCTGTTGATCCTCAGATGTGTGGACCTTATGTGAACGACATCTCCACCTATCTCCGTGAAATGGAGGTAAAATTCCTCATTTCCGAAATGTAGATTGAAGCAACATTGGCCCATAGATTTTTGGTGATTATAATTGAGAAACTGGAAATGTGTTTTCTCTGTGATTACTATCATTTTGTGGTAAATTGATCTTACGGGTTTCACAGTGATTGTCCTCAGTGTTCATATTGCTATGGATTCAGTTTATGCCATTTGGGAAATTTGTTAATTTTGTTTGGACTTAACATTGACTAGTTGCAATGTGGATTTGATCTTGAGGATTCTGAGATTTTTTTTCCAATTACAATGTTAATTTGATTTGGTTTGAATTAGGGACTTTTGATTAGTATTGGTTTTGATGTTTTCAGGCTGAAAGATTATTGTTTTTTTTTTTCAACTTTGGTGAAATTCAGAGGAAGCCGAAGCAAAGACCTCTACATGATTATATTGAAAAGGTTCAGAATGATCTAACCCCTAACATGAGAGGGGTTTTGGTGGATTGGTTAGTGGAAGTTGCTGAGGAATACAAACTCGTCTCCGACACGCTCTATCTCACAGTCTCCTATGTCGATAGATTCTTGTCGTCAAAGCCTATAAACAGGCAGAGACTTCAGCTTGTGGGTGTTTCTGCAATGCTTATTGCGTCGTAAGCATCTTAATCCTCTCTCTCTTTTTTGATTCATTGGTGTTGTCCTGAAGCTTCTTTACACTGTTGGCTTATGGGAATCTTTGATTTGCTTTGGAAAAAAGTAGGAAATACGAAGAGATAAGTCCTCCTAAAGTGGAAGATTTCGTTTACATCACTGATAATACGTTTACGAAACAAGATGTGGTGTCGATGGAGGCTGATATACTTCTTGCTCTGCAGTTCGAATTAGGAAATCCAACCATCAAAACATTCCTAAGGTTCGATAATAATGAAACAAGTTAGTGTTTTGTATGGTTTTGTATGGTTTCACTAGTCCTCATTGTGATTGTATTTCCCATTTTATGCAGACGGTTCACAAGGATTGCGCAAGAAGATTTCAATGTAAGCTCTCAAACTGATCTTATATACGTTTTTAAGTATGGTATTTGCATCTTATAGATAGTGCCAATTGTTTTCCTTTCTTTTCAGGAGTCACTATTGCAGATAGAGTTCCTCTGTTGCTATCTAGCAGAGTTGAGTTTGCTGGATTATAGCTGTGTGAAGTTCTTGCCATCTCTCTTGGCTGCTTCCTCTGTCTTTCTCGCCAGATTCATCATCCGTCCAAAACAACATCCTTGGGTAAGCAATTAGAAGCCATTGACTCTGTTTCTTTCTTCTTTTAGAGAAGGCTGTTGTATTCTAGCCTAAATCATGAAATCTCGTTTGGTGATGTGAAACAGAATCAAATGTTAGAAGAATACACAAAGTACAAAGCGTCTGATCTACAAGTCTGTGTTGGAACCATACATGACTTGTATCTAAGCAGAAGAGGGATTGGTCTAGAAGCTGTTAGAAATAAATACAAGCACCACAAGGTAAATTCAACATTACAATGATATAACAACATAAACTTTTTACAGCATTTCTAGATTGTTGATATCTGATTTGTCTTTGGTGATACACAGTTCAAGTGTGTTGCGACGATGCCTGTTTCACCTGAGCTGCCTCTTGCTTTCTTTGAAGATGTCACCATTAGAGAAAAGGCGTAAAAATGGAGCTTCGAAGCTTTATGTGTTTTTGAAAATGTTAGTCCCTGAATTTGGGTTTTGTATATAACTGTTGTTAGAGTGGGCAGTTTTAGTATTGAGCATTTTTTTCTCTTTTTAGCTTTATTGTTCAAAGATTTTTCTTGCTAATATTAGTTTAAGATTTTTTTTTTTTCTCGCTTGGCCATTTTTTCAATGGCTATGAGCTTTTGTTTTCTGCTTCTTTTATTTATTTATATGATGTAATCATGTAAAAGTATATTTTATGTCCTATTAAGGAGTTGTTATTGAACTAGAACCATGAGAGAAAAAAGAAGAAAACTTAAAAACTTGAGCAACACATTATATGATCCTTAAAGAAACACATTCTATAAAGAGGCAATACTCTGAACGTGTTGGGGTGAGACTGAGACATTACAAAAGCCTACGAGCCCATAATGACGCCTAAAACCTTCATCGTCTGCAAAACCCTGGATACGAACTCGTCTGACGTCTTTTCTTGCTACATTGTAGACGACAATGTAGAAGAAAGGTCGGAGATTATCAAGTGACAGTTTTAATGGAGCAAAAATGATTTCACCAGCCTTGTTAGTGCCCGGGGAAGTCATATCCAGCAAACAGTAAGGAAGCTCAAATGTTTGCTTAGACCATTCATGTTTCTTGACATCCTCTAGTATCCACAAATCAAAACCGCGGAAGTTAAAAGGAAGGCAGTGTCCTACAATGGCAGCTAACTTCCCTTTGTATTCTATCAATACTGAATTTCTATCCAAATGCAGGACATCCTTAGGGGTTGTGATAAAACTGATATTCTCATTCCTAACATCAAAACACATAATCACCGGAGTTTCGCTTTGAGTCACTGCGCCATAATACAAGAAACCATCGATGCATAGTCCCTTGCTTAGAGGCCGATAAGGCGGGGAGGTTACCGCACTGCGAGATTGAGCTCCTCCTCCTCCTCCTCCTCCAAGTCTTATTATTATAAAACCATCGTAACCATATTCACAAGCCACGGGGATCAATGCTTTGAATTGATGATCAACAGGGTCGTATCCCAAGGATGTGATGTCGTATCCATTACAAGCAGGTAAAGTAACGACTTGCCTCGTGCTAGGGTTACATATAGTGAACTGTAAACCATGACAACAACTGACAAAGCCATGGACGGAAGGACACGTGTAGCCGTGGGCCAATCTCAAGGAAGGTATTGTCATGTCGAGATTGGCAGAAACGTAAGAAGAAGAAGACGAGCATTCCTCTCCCGAGAAGATGAACAGACGCTTGGCATGATCCTTGACGTATGAACTGCTGCTTAAAGCGACTATAAACCGAGGTCGCGTCGCAGAGGACATAGCGTAGTAAGAATCGATAAAGCCTTGGGTTCGGATGATGGAAGACCACATCTTTGACACGCATAGGGACCTCATAAGAGACTTTACCGGCAGTCTATTCAGTATCTCCACCTCTATATCCAAAGGGATCATCAGCTCTAGCTTACTTGGCCTCTCGTCGCTCCATGTTCTCCTCTTTGCGTTCCAACCTACGGAGGAATTTCTTTTGGTGTGGCTTCTTCAGAAACTTCACCGGAACATGTTCAAGAGGGAACTTGTCCTTCTCATGTTCCTTCTTGCGTTTCATGGCGAAACACCAAATTCGACTAGATTGGGGAAAATCAGAGAGAATCAACAAAGCACAAGATTTACATATATCTTGAGTCTTGACAAAGCCATATGAGTTTCTTGTATGACTCGGAATGTATAAGTTTTGGGCCTATAATTTAGTAATCCTCCCTATACAAATTTCGCCCATATTTTTTCTAAATATAAGAAAAGATTGAATAGGGTTTGAGACGGTCCTTAAAAAACCTAGATAGATTCCTTGTCGAAAAAGTAACTCTCTAATTGTCTTTCTTGCTCTCTTTTCTCTCTCTTGCTCGCTAGTTTTCCTCTTTTTCAAATTGTTCAACCCTAAATTTCTCATTACAATCGATGATGAATAAGAACAACAGCGTACATCTTCCGGAAGATTTGGTAGTGGAGATACTCTCTAGGGTTCCCACTAAACCTTTGGAACGATTGCGATCAACTTCTAAAGAATGGAACGCTTTGGTCAAAGATGGGAGATTTTCGAAGAAGCACTCTGCTAATGCTCCACGGAAATCTCTGGTTATAGTGTTGATTGATTTTAGGGTTTATTTAGTGAGCGTCGATCTCCGTGAAATTGAAGACAACAAGGTTGCTCTAACAAGACAATTTAGCTTAGAAGATCCTTATTCTAATTCTTCGGAAGAAGTTGATATACGCAAAGTCTTTCACTGCGACGGCTTATTGTTATGTACCACCAAGACAGTAAACTTGTGGTTTGGAATCCGGTTTCAGGGGAAACAAAGTGGATCCATCAACCTAGAAAATCTTTCGATAAGTACGATGTCTTTGCTCTTGGTTACGATAGCAAGTCCTCCTGTTACAAAATCATAAGGATGGATCAAATTTTCCGTGGTGTCGTAGTTCAGATTGATTACGAAACTTATGACTTAATCTCTAACTCATGGAGTGATATTTGTGTGAAAACCGACCGGTTCTACCTACCATGGGATTGGAGGAGTGGCGTGTCTGTGAAGGGACATACATACTGGCTTGCTATGATCAACATGCGCCATCTGCGCTTTTACTAAGTTTTGATTTTTCAACAGAGAGATTCCAAACTCACACTCTTCCTATTTCTCTTTCTTACCCTGCTTGTGCTTTATCAGTGGTTAGAGATGACCAACTTTGTGTATTAGACGTCGATTCATTAGACGTATGGATCGATGTCAACCAAGATTGAGGGTACCGGAGTCATGTCATGGAGCAAGATCCTAACAGCCAAAGCCAATTATAAGTTTTCTTATGCGATAAGTTTCGTGGCCGACGAGCAGCACAAAGTTTTAGTGTGTTACGATGATAAAATCTTGCACATTGTGGCAGAGGATAGATACATACAAGTGAATGATCATGGACATGGTGAAAATTCTTCTTGCCCATCTGTTCAGAGTTATGTTCCGACTTTGGTTCAAATCCAAGGTATATAGTTCTTGTGGGTACCAGAAGCCCCCTATAGGGGTTTATAATTGTACCAGAAGCTCTTCTGATAATTTTATAAGGTGTATGTTTTGCTTATTTATATAACTTGTTTTCCTAACGATTTCCAAGTTTTTAAATGATGAGTTTCTTTGTTAAACGATCTATAGCATATATCATCAGTAATTCTGGTTGCTTTTCTCTGAACATCATGACCATGACAACACTTACTACGTTTGTGAATGATCCTATAAAAGACTTAAGAGACACGAGTTTGTCACTAATTAGCTTTTGGTTTCAGGTTTGAGATTTTAAATAACTATGTAAAACCGAAGAAATTAAAGTCAAACTATGGTTTGGTTTTTGGCTCTCGGGTTCAGTCGAAACTCACTCAGCTCTATCAACGTTTTTAAACCGAAATCGGATATGATTGGTTAAACTCAGCTCTTTTGTGTGATTAATTTTAAACTAGATATAAATCGTTTTGATTAGACGTTAAACTGAAATCGTTTTGATTAGGGTTACAACGTCAAGTATTTCCTTTTTTCGTAAAGCACACTCTCTCTATATATACATGACCTGTCTTCTCTCCACACGCAAAACAAAACAAAATTCCCCTTTTACGATCTTTCTACTTGTTCTCACTCTGTGGTTTGTTGTAATTGAGAAAAAAAAAAACGAGAATGGTGAAAAGCGGCGGAGGAACAAAGAGAAAGCTTCCGATGGAGAAGATTAGCCAGAAAGAATCACTCCGAACGTCTTTCACGAAACGAACTTACGGGCTTCACAGCAAAGCGTCTCAGCTCTGTCTCCTCTCCGGCGCACAGATTGCCGTGTTCTCTACGCCTCCTTCTTCCCACTCCAACGTCTCCTTCTACTCCTTTGGTCACTCTTCGGTCCACGCCGTCGTCTCCGCTTTTCTCACGGGACAGCGTCTCGTTCCTGTTCGGGAGGAGAACACTAGTAAAGAAGACGTTGGTTTCGCCTTGGCACGCAAGGATATAGGGTTAGGGTTTTGGTGGAACGACGAGTTTCTTACGAGATCGGAGAATCCCGATGAGATCGAGGAAGCAATCGAGTCCATGTCGATCCTGTTGAAGAAATTGCGTTCGATCAATGACAACGAAACCCTAACTCTTCAATCCACTTCTGAAGATGATGTTGTTGTGTCATCAGATGTCAGCGAAGAGCAAGCTGAGATTTTTCCGATTTGTGAGGGCGTTTGTGTTACGGACAAGAACAACAACAGCTCTGTAAGTACTGGAAGCTTCGATGTGTGCGATCAAGAGATTGATATTGATCAATTTATTGATTTCGAGATGCCTTTTGATACTTCAGCATTCGATGATATCCTTTTGGAGACTAACGGCAAGTGTTTTGATGAATCCTGAAGATGTTTGGACGAATCCAAATTAAATCTCTGATTTATGAAGGTTTTGAAGATGAAGATCTTGGTGTATTCAGAACAGAGTGAATCTACGCTTCTCTGACATTTTTGTAGCGAGTTAAGCAACATTGCTTGCAGTTTGAAGAACATAACAAGGTTGATTAGTTATAATTTTAGTAACTTCTGTGTATTTAGCGATTGTTTCGGTCAAACTATTGATTTGAGATATGTCTTATCCATGTAATGAAGTGTCTGGTTTGATCTTTGATCAATTTCCGAGGAGAAATTTGATCCAACTCAAACCGGATCAGCTTTTGTTTGGTTTAATGATAAAACTTGAGATGTATCTTTACGAGTTTCAAAATCCAAAACTTGGGACTTTATGTGAATCTTATCTTGATATTAACTGTGTTATATTTGGTAGCTAAGCCAAAAAGGTAATAATATCATAGACTTTAATTTTCAAAGATTAGCCAACATTAGTTAAAGAAAGTTCCTTTTTGCTAAGCTTTTGATTGATTTGTTTTCTGCCTTTTTTATGTAATCATGTAAAAGCCTCTTTAGATCATATTGGAATATCACATCATCCTCTTTAATAAAAAAAATAAAAAAAAAAAAGTACAACAAAGAGTTGGCAACTACACATTTGCAAAAAGCTAAGCTAAATAAAACTCTTATCACCAACCACTTTTTGGCACTTGTCGATATGTATAGAGAAGAAGATCCAAGTTGTTGTTTTTTTACCGTATCTTCAAAATGTAACATATAGTCATCAAGTTATTCTCTGTGCAGCTAGCTATCTGAAACAGTCACTACTCTTTTGGGAAGTTCTATTGAAGAGGAAGAGGAAGAGGAAGAAGAAGAAGACCAACACCAAGGAGAAGAAAGAAAGTTGCTATGTGAAATCAGGTAGACTATAAACGCGATATAAGCGGCCGTCCAAACGCAGACCGCAACTCCAAACATAAACCCATCCACTTCCGATACAAAGAAGTCCAACAGAAGATACCCATTGATGATCATCACAAGTGCAGCCACAGTCCATGCTATTCTCTGCAACATAAACACAAATCAATTCACAAATCATACCTTCACATTCACAAGTCACAACACTTACTCAACGAAGTTTGAGCTTAACCTGAAGCATAGGTCCAATCTTGAAGTCTCCCATGACTTCTTCCTTAGACACCAATGTCAAAAGAGGGAGAAGAGCAAACGGAATCTGTACAGACTGAAGAACATTGAGCCATTCGTTCAAAACATCCAAAGAAGCTTCAGAAGTGTTGAACACAATCGCCACAATCATAGTCGGGACAATCGCGCAGCTTCTTGTGATCACTGCTCTCATCCATTTCTTAAGCCGGAGGTTCAAAAAACCTCCCATTATAAACTGTCCTGCGTATGTTCCGGTGATCGTGCTGCTTTGTCCGGCGGCTAACAACCCGATCCCCCAGATGTAGAGAATCGGGAGAAGCCCGCCTCCGAACTTCTCCTGAAGGAACTGACCGGCGTTCACTAGGCCAATGTTGTTAGCTTTCTCTGTTCCGTAGAAGCCTTTTGCAAAGACTGTAGTCACGAACAGGTTGATCAAGAAGGAGATGAAAAGAGCGATCGATGACTCGATCAGGTAGTAGTTGAGCGCTTCTTGGACGCGTGATTTCCTCTTTGGATCGATCTTCCTCGACTGTACAAGAGCCGAGTGCAAGAACACGTTGTGAGGCATTATCACGCAGCCCACAACTCCTACTGCTTGCCTAATCGTCTTTGAGCTAAGTCTTGGTAGTAATATACCTATTCATGAGCACATAACAAAGATTTGATCTTTTTAGCAAAAGAGAGTCAAAGTTTGGATTTTGGAGTGAAAATGTTGTTTTTTTTACCTATCATAAGTTCTTTTCCACTTGGCTTGGTTTCACCAAACATCCAAGCAAATGACAAACCCATCGTTGCGATCAAAACTGCAAAAACAGCTTCTAACTTCCTCACTCCATAATTCTCTAGAAACAAAAATAAAAAACTGTTTGCAAACAATTCATTAGCCAAAGTTTTCAAGTAACAAGAAGCCAAAGGGAAAAGCAAATGTTCTTAATTTCACACTGAATCAAAGATCTCTAAACCAAAGTTTCAACAGATTTGTGAGTTTGAGAACTCAGTATCTCTAGAATGATCCAAATAGCTACAGATTCAAAACAAATTCTCTAATTTCATTCTGAATCAGATCTCTAAAGTGATTCAAATAGCTACAGATTCAGAGGAGGAAGAAGAAGAAGAAGAAGACTCACCAATCCGACGCCGTAATGACAACACCAGCCCAAAGCGGCAAGACGCCACGGCTAAGAATCTGAATAGCAATTGCACTTCCGATAACCTCCTGGATATCAGCTCCGATCAGAGCCAGCTCCGCCATAGACCAAAGCACGTACCTAGCCCAAGTCGGATACTCGTCGCGGCAGAGCTCAGCGAGATGACGACCGGTGGCGACGCCGACTCTAGCGGAGAGCATCTGAATCAGTAATCCCATGGCGGTGGCCCACATTAAGAGCCACAGCAGGGAATAGCCAGCGACCGCTCCGGCTTGCAGATCTCCTTCGAGATTCCCCGGATCCAAAAACGCTATACTCATCAGAAAACCCGGACCGGTGAACAGCCACAGTTTCCGCCACGAGAACGGAGGCGCGGCATCTCCGGTGGCGGGATCGTCGGCAGATTCGAAATCGACGATCACGATCTTATCTCGAGATTCGAAGGCGGCTTCGGATTCGGATTCGTCCTCTTCGGAATTCGAAGGAAGAGAGCTGGGATTGGGAGGAAGAAGACGGTCAGCTTCCTCAAGTTTACCGTCGACCTTGACGTCATTTTCCATAACCTTGTAAATACAGGAGGAAAGGGAATATTCCGTGAGAGTAGAGATCGGAATATCCTCCCGGCGGGGTGAATGGAAAAGTTTGAATTTTTGGAAGAGCAGTGGAGGTGACGTCGTCGCGGCGTTTGTTCCGACCTGAGAAATGAATGTGGAGAGATAAAAAACAAGGCATACTTTACTTTCTTTCTTTTCGTTATGTGTCACACTTTTTAGAAAATTATAAAAGCAATTCTTTTTTCATCTTTTCATATCAAACCCAACTTTATACTATACTTGTTTCTTTATAAATATACGAAATATACAGATTGATTAATTGATATCAAAAAAATTATATATACAGAAAGATTAATTAGGTATATGTCTAAAAGAGTAAAAGACACTGAAAATGTGTCTTGTTTATAGAAGTGTTGTTAGTGTATAGCTATCTGGAAAATATAATTTGGGTATTTGATTTGGTTCAAAGTTCATAAATTAATGGCTATGGTAATATGGTATGACATCTATGATTATCTTTACGAGAGAATAGGTAAACCACAATGAGCTATGTATAGGGTTTAGAAACACCGGTTATGCAAATGGTGTGAATAATGTGTGTAAACTTGATTTGTATGATAGGTTTAACATGGTAGATTGAGCAAGATGATTTATAATTATGAGAGACTTTTCAGTAGCTGTGAAAGTTTTTCTAGAATATGCAATGATAGGCTATGTAGCTTGATAGATCTTTTGTAGATTTTTTTGACATATAAGATTTGACAATAATTTTAAAATAAATAATCTAACAGCACTTGATTTTGTTTTAATTTCCAAATAAACTAAAAATTACAAACCACGTCCATATTTTTACTATTGTTTATAATAGCTTTAATGGTAAATATGTGTATTCGAAAATGCAAATTTGTTTTTTTTTGTTTTGTTTATAACTTTCTCTCAAAACAAAATTCAATATAGTTTTTAGATGAATCAAAAATGAATAATAAAGAAAAAAAATCTACAGTAGTTTCCAAACAACAACAAAAAAAATGATAAAAGTAGGACTAAGTTTTATTTTTCTCTTTTGTTTTCATATTACATTTTCTCTCTTGTTAATATGAAAAAATGCATATCAGTGTGCATGTTTGGTGGAAGAACTTCTGGTAGCCATCTTTAGCCACAAATCGGTATTTAAGTGTGCATTAGTCATAATCAAATGTTTTCTCCTTTTCCAATCCAAAAAACATTTGTAAAAGTCTATAATTATGTGTTGGCACACATGAAAACATTACATAATTCCAGAAAAAGTTGCATAATCAACACAAAATACTTATTCTAAATAATTGGTCAACAAATATCATCATAATCCTAAATTAAGAAATGTGACATCGGTGATTTGATAGCACCGTAAGCAAACAAACAAATCTTAATTTTACTCTAATTTCAATATCGCAGAACAATGATAGGGTTATAATACAAAGTAGGGATTATGTGGAGGCAGCTTCGTTTCCACCATTCTCCCTTGGTTTCCTTGTTAACTCTTTTACAAAAGAGATTTTTTTCTTGCACGTAAAGCTTTTAAGAGAAACAGAAACAACTTCTTAAGTGTTATTTCATAGGGGAATTCTGTGAGCGGGAGTAGTGACTGGAGTTGGAATTTTTGGTTAAATTCGGTTCTAAACCGGGATTGTGCGTTACACTAAACTGGGATTGTGCGTTACACTACCGGGATTGTGCGTTACACTAAACCAAACGCCGGCAATCAAGAAACTGGTACACAATACGGTTTGTATCCTGACGATCTGTTTAGTATACGCACAACCCGGTTTGTATCCTGCCGATAGTGAATTTGGCTTCAATATGGTTTTAGTTTTTAATATAACAACAGATTGAATAAGAAAAGAAAAAAAAAAAGAAGCAAATGGGCAAACACTTTTGACATATTGAAGCCATAAAAGCCTATTAAGGTTTAATAAGCCCATCTCGCTTTCTAAGAAAAACCATCCGTAGCTTGAACCAAACGAAAAGTTTTTTTTTCTTTCTCTCACTTTTCTGCGTCTTTCTTCTTCGTATAAACCCTTTTGTCGACGAAGACGAGGAAGAAGAAGAAGCTGAGAAGATGTTTAGGAATCAGTACGACACAGATGTGACTACATGGAGCCCAACAGGTCGGCTTTTCCAAGTAGAGTACGCCATGGAAGCTGTGAAGCAAGGCTCCGCCGCGATCGGACTCAGATCTCGCTCCCATGTCGTCCTTGCTTGTGTCAATAAAGCCCAATCGGAGCTCTCTTCTCATCAGAGGAAGATCTTCAAAGTCGATGACCATATCGGTGTCGCCATCGCTGGTCTCACCGCCGACGGTCGTGTTCTCTCTCGTTACATGAGATCTGAGTCCATTAATCACTCTTTCACCTACGAATCCCCACTTCCCGTTGGCCGTCTCGTCGTTCGTCTCGCCGATAAGGCTCAGGTTCACTCTTTCACTCCACTCGCCGCTTCCAATTTCGTTGATTGTACTTGATTTGGTGACCTAAAATTCGTGCAATTTCACTAAGGACTTCACTTTTGAGATGTATAACTGAGATTACCTAGATTTCCACAACTCAATTCGAAGCTTTCTGGAAATTATAGTAAAGTTTATGCTTGTGGCGAAGCAATGTGGCTCAGTATCTACGTTGCTCTGCAAGTAGTGATGTTATTTTGCGACGAATCCTTAATGATTGTGAATTAGAGCTTCTTGAGTTGCTTGATCAATTCCAGTTCTCTTGCTAGTTTTAGCTTCTGTATCGTAAATTGAGATTCATGCTTGATTTATAGAACTCTAAGTAAAGTTTATGTTTTGCTAAGCAATGTAGTCAATCTTATCAGTACATTTGGTATGTGTTATGCAAGTCTTCTTGATGATTGTAAATTAGAGCTTCTTGAGTTGTTTTGTTTCGCTATCCTAGGCATTTCAAGTTCTCTTGCTAGTTTTAGCCTCTTGAATAGTTCTGGATTCAAAGATTTATCCTTTAGTAAGAAAATGCCTTAAAATTACCCACCTAGGACAATAGAACTGTGTAGGGAATGTGCAATAGAACCTGTATTTGTGGTGCTGTGTCCTCGCCCTCTCTCCACTACTTGTTTAACAAATTGCCATACAACTTTGTGCTGCGTGCTCACTAGTTTTGGCGTCTAAAGTAGAGTTCTTAAGTTAGAGGATGTATTCACAGCTTCACAAGGTTTAGTTAGCTGCTGTGTATTGACATTTGCGGTTGATTTCTGAGAAGATCCATCATAAATATCTTGTACTTTGAACAAAGCTCTGATTTCATTCATCGTTGAACTCACACTTGTTCGTCATTTACTAAACCCTCTTCATACTTCTCCTTGCTCAGGTATGTACCCAACGATCATGGAAACGGCCTTACGGTGTGGGTTTGCTGGTTGGTGGATTAGACGAGTCAGGAGCCCACCTCTACTACAACTGCCCGAGCGGAAGCTACTTCGAGTACCAAGCATTTGCTATCGGGTCACGTTCGCAAGCTGCAAAGACTTACCTGGAACGCAGATTCGAGAGCTTCAAGGAATCATCAAGAGAAGAGCTGATCAATGATGCTATTTTGGCCATAAGGGAAACTCTTCAAGGGGAAACACTCAAGAGCTCGCTGTGCACGGTTTCTGTTCTGGGAGTCGATGAACCGTTCCATTTCTTGGACCAGGAAAGCATACAAAAGGTGATTGACACGTTCGAGGTGGTTCCAGAGGAAGAGGAGGATGCTGGTGAGGCTGACGCCGCCGCTGCCGATGGTGCTGCTGCTGCTGCACCAGCGGAACAAGGTGATCAAGATGTTGCACCAATGGAGATGTGAGCAAGTGAGAGTATGTTAGACTTGGATCTTAATATGACTTTTGGCATATAAACAGAACATGTTGGGTAACAACTTTCTCGTGTTTAGCTCTTTGGTGTCAAAGTTCCAACTTCCAAATATTCTCATCTTTGAGTTAAAAAGATTCAGTCCCTAAGTATTTGGTCTTTGAGTTAAAATCAATCTTTCTCGCTTGCATTTTCCTTTTGAGATTACAAATTTTTCAATTTATTTACAGAACTATCAAATTCCATCTTACAAACCGGTAGGTACTTGAGAAATCACTCCCAAACACTTTTATCCATTAAATGTTATCTTCGAGTCAATGTAACTATGTCACAACTCTATAGCTATATCAAAACCAAAGAATATGAATTCTCAACCTGAAACAAAAGCTAAGGTGACACACTCGTGCCTCTCAAGTCTTTTATAGGATCATTCACAAACGTAGCAAGTGTTGTCACTGGTCATGATGTCAGAGAAAAGCAGCCAAAAATATTATTATGATATATGCTCTAATTTAACAAAGGAAAACGAACATTATAAAACACATAAAATTGTTTGGAAAGCAAGATAGAAAAATTAGCAAGACATACATCTTATAAAATACCATTAGTGGCATAAAATTAGTGTGACTAATTATGAACTGTTGCAGCGGGATAATCAAAAGGCCCTCAAAGATCAATGGATTTTGAGAGAAGCTCTTGATGCTTAAACCTCAAGCTTTCTTCGAAAGAGAAACGAGAGAGATGAAAGACTTAGGGTTGAGAAAAGTATATCTCTTATTAATAATATCAAAGCCGAATAACAAAGTTGCATGAAGCAAAGTACTTATACAAATCTTAATAAGAAAACTCTAATAGCCTAGCTTGGAGATAAAGTAATCTCTTAACCGACTTATAAAGCCCAACGAAAAATATGAAAGATAAATAAAATGATAAAACCCAAACCAAAGAGAAAAGGAATGTATACGCTACATCAGGTCCCCGGGGGTGAAGAGAAATTCGCCCTCGAATTTCCACTGGTAGGAGGAGAAACAGAATCAGAATCATCATAAGGAACCAAATGCTTAACGTTAAACACGTCGGCAGTGTTCATGTTTGGAGGAAGACGAAGACGGTAAGCATTGTTGTTGATTTTCTCCAAAACTTCCAACGGTCCAATCTTGCGAGCCTTGAGCTTGTTATACATGTGAGGAGGAAATCGATCTTTGGTAAGGACAGCCCAAACCTTGTCACCGACATTAAACTGAAGGTCACGACGATGAGCATCAACTCCACTCTTATACTTCGCTGTGGCTTGTTCTAAATTATCACGAACCTTAGCATGTAACTCCACAAACTCGTCAACTACATCACAAGCTCGACCATGCATGCGAGTGCGATCAGGGGCTATGGAAAGATCCAAAGGACCACGTGGAGAAACACCATAAACAACACGGAATGGACTGAAACCGGTACTCCGATTGAGTGCATGATTATGAGCAAATTCAGCTTGACAAAGAATATTATCCCATGAACGTATGTTGTCACCAACTAAACAACGTAAGAGATCACCCAATGCTCGGTTAGTTACCTCGGTTTGGCCGTCAGTTTGTGGATGATAAGCGGAGCTCATGTCTAAACTGGTGCGCAAAAGCTTCCAAAGAGAGCGCCAAAAATGACTTAGAAAGCGAGAATCACGGTCCGAGACAATGGATATAGGCAAGCCGTGCAACTTATAGACTTCTCGAAAGAACAAAGTTGCAACCTGGGAAGCATCTGTCGTTTTCTTGCAAGGGATAAAACGAGCCATTTTGGAGAAACGATCAACCACAACAAAGATAGAGTCGTGGCCCCGTTGAGTGCGAGGGAGGCCGAGTACAAAATCCATACTAATGTCGGTCCAAGGCTGTGTTGGTATGGGAAGAGGTAAATATAAACCGGCATTGGTAGCATGGCCCTTTGAAGCAAGACAAATAACACAACGTGACACAAAACGTTCCACCTCACGTCGTAGAGTGGGCCAAAAGTAAGAAGCCGTGACGAGTTGTAACGTGCGGTCTCGACCAACATGACCTTCAGTGTGGATTTCTTTAATAATCTGTAATCGTAAACTGCATTCCGGGATGCAGAGCTGGGAACCACGGAACAGAAAACCATCAAGGACAAAAAAATCAGGGCTCAAACCTGCTTGTGCATCAGGCCAAACTTTGCCAAAGAAAGGGTCCGCCGGGTAGAGTTCAGGGAGAGAAGAAAAACCAAGAACAGTAACCTGAAGCGTAGCAAGTAAGGCATGTCGACGACTAAGAGCATCAGCAACCTTGTTAAGCGATCCAGCCGTATGCTTAATCACAAATGTGAATTGCTGGAGATATGCAAACCAATTCGCATGACGAGATGAGACTTTGTCTTGCGAGCCCATGTGTTTAAGTGCATCGTGGTCGGTATACAACACAAACTCTCTATGAAAAAGATAATGGCGCCAGTGCTTGATGGATTGAACCACGGCATAGAGTTCGACATCATAAGTACTATAGCGACTGCGCGGACCAGCCATCTTCTCACTGTAAAAGGCAATCGGTCGGCCTTGCTGACTCAAAACAGCACCTATACCACTCTTAGAAGCATCTGAATGGAGTTCAAAAGGGAGTGTAAAGTTCGGCAATGCAAGAACCGGTGCGGTGGTGAGGCAAGTCTTAATCTTCTCAAAAGCAGCATGAGCCTCCATAGTCCAAGAAAAACACGTAGACTTGATACAGTCCGTAATAGGAGCCATAATGGAGCTAAAATGAGGTACAAAGCGGCGATAAAAGGAGGCCAAGCCGTGAAAACTACGAACCTCAGTGATCGATGTTGGAGCTGGCCAAGAACTGATGGCGGAGACTTTAGCAGGATCGACGCGTAAGCCTTGTGCAGAAACAATGTAACCGAGGAATAAAACCTCCGAGGCACCAAACGTACATTTTTTTGACGCGGCAAAGAGCTTTTCACGACGAAGCACCGACAAGACATCATGCAAGTGTTGAAGATGCTCAGATAAAGATGCACTAAAGACCAAAATATCATCGAAGTATACGACGACACACTTGCCAATGAAAGGTCGCAACGCTTGATTCATAACTCGCATGAAAGTGCTTGGTGCGTTAGACAAGCCGAACGGCATAACTAGCCATTCAAAAAGACCTTCCCGCGTTTTAAACGCTGTTTTCCACTCATCACCTGGACGGATACGTATTTGGTGATAACCACTCTTAAGATCTAATTTGGAGAAGAGGGAAGCATTACCGATTTGATCCAAAAGGTCGTCCAGCCGGGGGATTGGGAAGCGGTACCGAACAGTGATTTTGTTGACCGCTCTACTATCCACACACATACGCCAAGAGCCGTCTTTTTTTGGTATGAGAAGGGCAGGAACGGCGCATGGGCTCAAACTTTCTCGCAAATAGCCTCGGGCAAGCAATTCTTCCACTTGGCGACGAAGTTCATCATGCTCCTTCGGGCTCATACGATAGTGAGGCCGATTAGGGAGAGCAGCGTTGGGTATCAAGTCGATACAATGTTGGATGTCTCGTAAAGGCGGGAGACCATCAGGTAAGTCATGAGGAAAAACGTCTTTAAACTCGGTAATAAGGTCCTGAAAAGCCAATGGAACCTCAAGTGGACAACGTTGTGAAGTCGACGGTGCAACCAAGAGATAGAACACGTCAGCCGAACGAAGTTCAGTAGATAATTGAGACTTATTCAGAAACATGACCTGTTTTCCAGGAGGAGTAGAAGTCGGTGGAGCGGGTAAATCGGTGCTAATAATCGTCGGAGTGGTGGAGTCTTGCGTAGGAAGCAACGTGATACGTTTGTTTTCGAATGAAAACGCGTAAGTGTTAGCAAATCCATCATGCATTGTACGTCTGTCATATTCCCACGGACGGCCTAAGAGAAGGTGACATGCGTCCATTGGAATGACATCACAACAAGCAATATCTTTGTAGTTTGGACCCACCGAGAATGGGACACGACAACGTTTGGTAACTTTCAGCTCTGTTTTCACGTTGAGCCATACCAGTGTGTAAGGTGACGGATGTGGTTCGGTGAACAGAGCCAATTTGTAAGCCGCCTCTTCCGAGATAATGTTGGTGCAGCTACCAGAGTCGATCATGAAACGACAAACCTTACCACGGATGGTACATGTGGAACGGAAAATGTTTGTGCGGAGCCATGATTCCTGAATTCCGGGTGGTGAAAAGCAGCTTCGTCGGAAAACCAGAGTACGTCCGACATCGCCCGAGAGTTGTTCTTCGACCTCTAGTGTATCAGTATCGTCGCCGTAATCATCATATCGTGCTTCTTCATCATTGAAAAGTCCACGACGAGTTGCCTTGGGGCAAGCAGATTGCCGGTGGCCTTGTTCGCCGCAGCCAAAGCATTTAAAGGTTGGAGGTCGTGGGTTTCGTTGAGCCGTGGAGCCATCAACGATCTCGGATCCGCGGGTTGGAGCGCTTGCCTCCGGAACCGGGTCTGGTGGTTTGACGAAGTCTGACGGAGCAGAGCGTGAGCGATTGTTAACTGAGTTCCAGTTTGACATGGGTGCACGAGTATTTTGGTCAACAAGAATGGCACGTTGATGAGCCTCGGAGACAGAAGCCGGGTTGAATTGGAGCAACGTGTTTTGGATCTGCGGTCGTAAACCTCCAATAAAGCGTGACACAAGTTGATCCTCTGTTTCCAACAAACTATTTCGAGCAAGGAGGGAAAAAAAATCTGTTGCATAATCATCCACAGAGCGAGCTCCTTGGCGTAAGTTTTGCAACCTGTTGTAAATTGTGCGAGAGTAATTGAAAGGGAGAAAAGCTTTACGCATCTTTTTCTTCAGTTTTTCCCATGATGCGATACGTGGCTTTCCTTCTCGAACACGTTTTTCTTTCGTTTGTTGCCACCAAGCCGAAGCTCGGCCACGAAAACGTGTAGCAACCAACGGAACTCTCATCTCATCTGGAACCTCCTTGAACGTGAGTAGTTCTTCCGTGGTACTTATCCAGTCTAAGAATTCGTCGGGTTGTAATCCGCCGGTGAATTCTGGTAAATCAAGTCTAAAACCTGACTCCCAACGACGGTTATCAACTCGTGGAGCGTCGGCAACATCGGGAGGATGTCGTTCACGAGGCCTTGCGAACGGGTTGTCATCATAGACATCGTCTTCTTCCTCTTCGTCAAATACTGGTTCACGACGACGTTGGAACTCCGGAGGTTGATGGTGAGCTTGAAGAGCTGTGCGAATTGCGCCTTCCATGGTGACGCGCAACGTGTGTCGCAGGTTGTCTTGAAACTCAGCGAGAACTTCTCGGAAAGCGTCGTTGTGTTCCTCCAATTGCTGTTGGAGTGACTTCTTTGGCGGCATGGTAGGATTGTTTGTCTCTGATACCAACTGTTGCAGCGGGATAATCAAAAGGCCCTCAAAGATCAATGGATTTTGAGAGAAGCTCTTGATGCTTAAACCTCAAGCTTTCTTCGAAAGAGAAACGAGAGAGATGAAAGACTTAGGGTTGAGAAAAGTATATCTCTTATTAATAATATCAAAGCCGAATAACAAAGTTGCATGAAGCAAAGTACTTATACAAATCTTAATAAGAAAACCCTAATAGCCTAGCTTGGAGATAAAGTAATCTCTTAACCGACTTATAAAGCCCAACGAAAAATATGAAAGATAAATAAAATGATAAAACCCAAACCAAAGAGAAAAGGAATGTATACGCTACATCATGAACCCCTAGGCTTCTGGTACGTACCAACAAGAACTATATACCTTCTTTTTTTTTTTTTTTTTTTTTGATAACTCTGGTATCCGGGCAGCCACATTCCCGACTATCCCCACAAGTGGGGTCCAGCGCCCCAACGGAAGGGATGTTAAATCCGTTGTGGCCGGGACTTGAACCCAGGTGGCGGATACCTCAGCTGAGGGTCCTTTACCACCGGGCTACAAGCCCCGGTTAAGAACTATATACCTTGTTGGATTTGAACCAAAGTCGGAACATAAATCTGAACAAATGCACCATAAGATTTGTCACCGTGTCCAATATCATTCACTTGCATGTATCTATCCTCTGCCACAATGTGCAAGATGTTGTTATTGTAACCCACTAAAACTTTGTGCTGCTCGTCGGCCACGAAACTCATCCAGAGACAAAACTTATAATTGGCTTTGGCTGTTAGGATCTTGCTCCATGACATGACTCCGGTACTCTCAATCTTGCATGACATCCATACGTCTAATGAATAGACGTCTAGTACACAAAGTCTGTCCTCTCTAACCACTGATAAAGCCCAACCAGAGTAACGAAGAGAATGAGGAAGAGAGTGGGCCTGGAATCTCTCTATTGAAAAATCAAAAATTATCAAAGACACAGATGTCCCCCATCGATCATAAGCAAGCCAGTATGTATTTCCCTTGAGAGACACGCCACGACTCCAATCCCGTGGTATGTAGAACCAGTTGGTACACACACCAACAACACTCCATGAGTTAGAGGTAAAGTCATAGATTTCGTGTTCAGTTTGGTCTACGGCACCACGACGGGCAAATTGATCCATTCTTATGATTTTGTAACAGGAGGATTTGGTATCGTAACCAAGAGCAAAGAGATCGGATTCCTTGTAGGATTTTTTAGGTTGTTGGATCCACTTGGTTTCCCCTGAAACCGGATTCCAAACCACAAGTCTTTTGTCCTTGGTGGTACATAACAATAAGCCGTCGCAGTGAAAGAGGTTGCATATGTCAACTTCTTTCGAAAATTCAGAACGAGGATCTTCTAGGTTAAACTGTCTTGTTAGAGCAACCTTGTTGTCTTCAATTTCACAGAGATCTAGGCTCACTAAATAAACCCTAAAATCAACCAACATGATAACCAGACTTTGTCGTGGTCGTGGAGCATTAGCAGAGTACTTCTTCGAAAACCTTCCATCTTTGATCAGAGCGTTCCATGCTTTGGATGTAGATCGAAATCGAGCCAGAGATTTAGTTGGAACCCTAGAGAGTATCTCCACTACCAAATCCTCCGGAACATGTTCCGTGTTTCTCTTATTCATCATCTCGGAAGCGACTATAGTTTAGGGTTTGAATAATATTTTTTGAAGAGAAAAGAGAGGAAGAAAGACAATTAAAGTTACGTTTTGGACAAGGAAAAATCTCTAGGTTTTGAAGGACCGTACGTCTAAAACCCTATTCGATTTGTTATATTAAATGTGGATATATTATATACATAGGCCCAAGTTGTGCATGAAGTTCGCCAGTCGGATTCTGTTCGACATCTCCTGCTCTACTCCACCTCCACGGTCCTTCTTATATAGTGTATTAGTGTTGTCACTTTGCATAAAATATGCTATTTGGCCATATGGGAAACTTTGCATGAAACTCATATTGGGTTATTTAACTTTCTCGTGTTTAGCTCTTCGGTCTCAAAGTAATCATGTTTGAGTTTTTAATATTTAGTCGGTGTCCTAAGTATTAACTTGGTCTTTTTTTTAATATTCAAAACCTTTCTTTCTCGTTTACATTTTCATTTTCATTCTAAAAATTAACAAGTTTCAATGAGTTACTACTATCAATCTTCGAGTCAAATGTCACAACTCTATAGACTATAGCTTGTGTATATCAAAAACAAAAGGACGCGATGCTCAGCCTGAAATAATAGCTAAAGTGACAAGCTCATGCCTCTTAAGTCTTTTTATAGGATCATTCATAAACTGATAAACGTAGCAATTGTGTTGTTACTGGTCATGGTGTTCACATAAAAGAAACCAGAATTACATAGAATTTGATGATTTAACAAAAGAAAACCAGCATTATAACAACTTGAGTCGTTTGGAAAACAAGTTATATAAACTAGCAAGACATAAACCTTATAAATTATCAAAAGAGTTGGCTAGATTAATGGTTATTATAAACCTTGTTGGATTCGAACCAAAGTCGGAACATAACTCTGAACAAATGCACAAGAAGAATTTTCACCATGTCCATTATCAGTCACTTGTATGTATCTATCCTCTGCCACAATGTGCAAATTTTTTTTATCGTAACACACTAAGACTTTGTGCTGCTCGTCGGCCACGAAACTCATCCCGTAAGAAAACTTATAATTGGCTATGGCTTTTCGAATCTTGCTCCACGTAATGAATCCGTTACTCTCAATCTTGGATGACATCCATACGTCTAATGAATAGACGTCTAGTAGACAAATTTGGTCCTCTCTAACCACTGATAAAGTACAAGAAGAGTAATACTGATCAGGAGGATAAGGAAGAGATGAGCGACTTTGGAATGTCTCTGTTGAAAAATCAAAACTTTGTAGAAACTTGTGCAGCGCCTCATCATGAGCAAGCCAGTATGTACTTCCCTTCACATATACGCCACGAGTTTGGCTCCGTCGTATGGAGAACGCGAAGGCAGTCACAGACAAAACACTCCTTGAGTTAGAGGTAAAGTCATATATTTCTAGTTCATTTTCAGCTGTGGCAAAACGGTCATCAAAATGATCCATCCTCATGATTTTGTAACAGGAGGATTTTCTGTCGTAACCAAGTGCAAAGACATCGTTCTTATGGAAGGATTTTCTAGGTTGGATCCACTTGGTTTCCCCTGAAACCGGATTCCAAACCACAAGTCTATCGTCTTCGGTGGTACATAAAAGTAAGCCGTCGCAGTGAATGACGTTGCATATATCAACTTCTTCCGAAGAATTAGACTGAGGATCTTCTAGGGTAAACTGTCTTGTTAGAGCAACCTTGTTGTCTTGCATAGCACGGAGATCGACGCTCACTACATAAACCCTAAAATCAATCAACATGATAACCAGAGATTGCCTTGAAGCATTAGCAGAGTGCTTCTTCGAAAATCTCTCCTCTTTTACTAGCGCGTTCCATCCTTTGGATGTTGATCGAAATCGAGCCAGAGATTTAGTCGGAGCCCTAGAGAGTATCTCCACTACCAAATCATCCGGAAGATATTCCGTGTTTCTCTTATTCATCATCTGGGAAGAGACTGTAGTTAGAAGTTTAAGGTTGAATAATTTGAAAAAGAAGAAAACTAGCGAGCAAGAGAAGGGAGATGGAGAGAAAAGAGCGCAAGAAAGACAATCAGATAGTTACTTTTTGGACAAGGAATCTATCTAGGTTTTGAAGGATTAGTAAATTATTAGCCCAATATTTATACATCTGTCTGAATTTCCGGAGAGGAAAAGTGGAAAACTGAAAAAGAAAAAAAAACGAAAAAAGGAAACTCATATGGCTTTGTCAAGACTCAAGATATATGTAAATCTTGTGCTTTGTTGATTCTCTCTGATTTTCCCCAATCTAGTCGAATTTGGTGTTTCGCCATGAAACGCAAGAAGGAACATGAGAAGGACAAGTTCCCTCTTGAACATGTTCCGGTGAAGTTTCTGAAGAAGCCACACCAAAAGAAATTCCTCCGTAGGTTGGAACGCAAAGAGGAGAACCATGGAGCGACGAGAGGCCAAGTAAGCTAGAGCTGATGATCCCTTTGGATATAGAGGTGGAGATACTGAATAGACTGCCGGTAAAGTCTCTTATGAGGTCCCTATGCGTGTCAAAGATGTGGTCTTCCATCATCCGAACCCAAGGCTTTATCGATTCTTACTACGCTATGTCCTCTGCGACGCGACCTCGGTTTATAGTCGCTTTAAGCAGCAGTTCATACGTCAAGGATCATGCCAAGCGTCTGTTCATCTTCTCGGGAGAGGAATGCTCGTCTTCTTCTTCTTACGTTTCTGCCAATCTCGACATGACAATACCTTCCTTGAGATTGGCCCACGGCTACACGTGTCCTTCCGTCCATGGCTTTGTCAGTTGTTGTCATGGTTTACAGTTCACTATATGTAACCCTAGCACGAGGCAAGTCGTTACTTTACCTGCTTGTAATGGATACGACATCACATCCTTGGGATACGACCCTGTTGATCATCATTCAAAGCATTGATCCCCGTGGCTTGTGAATATGGTTACGATGGTTTTATAATAATAAGACTTGGAGGAGGAGGAGGAGGAGGAGCTCAATCTCGCAGTGCGGTAACCTCCCCGCCTTATCGGCCTCTAAGCAAGGGACTATGCATCGATGGTTTCTTGTATTATGGCGCAGTGACTCAAAGCGAAACTCCGGTGATTATGTGTTTTGATGTTAGGAATGAGAATATCAGTTTTATCACAACCCCTAAGGATGTCCTGCATTTGGATAGAAATTCAGTATTGATAGAATACAAAGGGAAGTTAGCTGCCATTGTAGGACACTGCCTTCCTTTTAACTTCCGCGGTTTTGATTTGTGGATACTAGAGGATGTCAAGAAACATGAATGGTCTAAGCAAACATTTGAGCTTCCTTACTGTTTGCTGGATATGACTTCCCCGGGCACTAACAAGGCTGGTGAAATCATTTTTGCTCCATTAAAACTGTCACTTGATAATCTCCGACCTTTCTTCTACATTGTCGTCTACAATGTAGCAAGAAAAGACGTCAGACGAGTTCGTATCCAGGGTTTTGCAGACGATGAAGGTTTTAGGCGTCATTATGGGCTCGTAGGCTTTTGTAATGTCTCAGTCTCACCCCAACACGTTCAGAGTATTGCATCTTTATAAATGTGCTTCTTTAAGGATTGCTCAAGTGTTAGTTTTTAAGTTTTCTTCTTTTTTCTCTCATGGTTCTAGTTCAATAACTTCTTACTTGCGTAATAGGACATGTAGTCTTAAAGAATCTTCCATATGGTTTCAAAAAACAGCGAGATGAATGCAAACACGTTTCTCTTTCTGCAATTGTTCTTCCAAGAAGCGTGACATTAAAGCAACAGTACATGTTCTTATCGTCATTATTGAGCAAAAGGACATAACGATAAATCCTCTGCTACCTCGATTGAGAAAAGGAAAAACCCAAAAAAAAAAAAAAAAAATCTTTCTCTCGAATTTCCAGAGAATTAATCCTCGTCTTGACATGATTTAACAAAGACAAAGAAAGAAGAGGAAAAAACAACCTGAGACGGTGGTGAATCAGTAATGAGTAGTCGGAACCCTGACGGAAGTTTTTTCCGGTAAGACATTGTCGGGAAGAACCAACGAGGCTGGAGTTTCACGCACAATCCCAAGCATTGAATCGTAATCCTCATCCTTGTTCGCATACTTCTTCCTAAGCGCTCTCTCGACCTCGATCTGATCAAACGACTTTGTGTTCTCCGCGGCGTGGATGTGCGCAAGATTGATATAGTTCTCTGCTGACTTTGAAATGTATTCAATCTCTTCATCTGTCAACTTTCTCATGAACTTCGCTGGGTTTCCTCCCCACACCTGCAACAGTGTACCAACCGTATTGTTAAGCAAAGACTCAAGAGGGTCTACTTGTAGAAGTTCAGCTAGTCAAGCCATTAGCTAATAGGTCTACTATAACTACCCTAGGACTGAATGCAGCAGATTACACAGTGCTTCTTGATTAGCTAGCAGTTAATGACAAAACCACAAAACCACAAAAGGAAAAGTGAAGAGAAAGAAACCTCTCCGGAAGGGATTCGAGTGTTCTGTAGCACAAGGGCACCGGCAGCAACCATGGCATGTTTCTCAACCACCACACCGTCGAGTAGTGTAGCTCCCATGCCAACAAAGGAATCGTCCTCAACGGTACAGCCATGAATGACTGCACTATGACCTGCTCGGTTTCATTTACAGAGTATTTAAGTAACAAATCATGCAATACAACATAAAAAAGATAGTCTAAAACTGATAAAGAGTCACTTTTAAAGGTTTACCTACTGTGACATTGTCCCCAATTATAGTAGGTTTAACATTCCCACTTATGTTGGTTTTCGCAACATGTACAAGAGAATTGTCTTGGATATTTGTCCCGGTTCCAACACTGATGTTGTTCACATCACCTGCACACAAGTTAAAAACCCCATATCATATAACAATGAGGTTTTTAAGCTGCTTCATGAAAACTTCATCAACAGTACACTAATAACAGAGTAGAGACAAAGAGAGCTTCGTTTCCACTAACTCAGCAGATAAAAAGGCCAATTTACAAAAGCACTACTAAGATAAGTCTCCTAGCAAATGAGACTAAAATGTTTGGATAATGATTCAATCAATCGATTGGATTTTTCCTTAAACACTACATTGTGACTAATGTGGCACGAGCTTTTACAGTATAAGGCTGCGAATTTGGTAGCAAACGCCATTAAAATATCGAAAATCTCGTTTTTAAGTCAAAGACTCACCTCGAAGAACAACGCCATACCAAATTGACGAGCCTTTCCCGATCTGAACATCACCGATTACAGAAGCACTAGGAGCAACGAAGACATCCTTATCCACCAACGGAGATTTATCAAACACATTCATCAAAGTCCGATGCCTCGATACTGAGAAAAACAAAAAAAAACGAGGCCGATCAGACCTTACAATTTCTAGAATCGGAGATTTCAATTATAACCATAAACACCGAGAATCGAAGGAAATTTAACGATTATTTCTGGTGAATGGCACAAATTAGAGGTAGGGATTGGATCTAGGGCTCGAACAAGTGAAGGATCTGGCTTACTGTGTTCATGGAAGTAGGGGCTTCCTTGAAGACGAGAACCGACGCGATCAAGAGCTTGGCCAGACCCGCGGATCCAGTTACCCACAGTGTAAATTACTCGTCCTAGGGTTCCCATTTTCGATTACCAAATGAGAGAAAGAGAGAAGACGATTCTCTGAAATGAAGCAGAGGTTTATGGAGGCGATTGGAGCTAAATTGTTTTCTATGGATTTTTTGTTCAGGTGTGAGTTTTGTTGAACCAAACCGGACCAAAAATTTATTAATCTAAACCGAACCAAAATTTATAATAATCTGAGACTGAGCGGTAGAGAAACATTTTTGTACCAAGTACTGTATATTAGTGTTGTTAGTGTATTTCCTAAACCATTTATGAAAATCTTAACAAAATTCACCTTCAATTTCCGATAACTTTTCAATTTGTAATCATATGAAATTCCAGTTTGATTAACCCCTTTAAAAGTAATTTTGTCAGCAATTAATATTCAAAGCGATTAAAATCCTATTTTAGGTAATTTACTAATTTCAATTGAAAAGCATGGGCCGCGCGTAGTGACTTTTGTTTATTAATTAAAAAAAAAAAGAAAAAAAAAACGGAACTCTCCGTCTCCTCTTTTTCTCTTCTCCTCGAAATCATTTGCGGTTATTGTCGTCGTCGTCCTCCTCCTCCTCGTCGGAATCGAAGCTCACGACGGCGACGGTGACGGCATCGGAGGGGTAGTGGTGGTGGTGGTTCTATCTGCATTCGAGGAGCATTTTCAATTTCTCAAATTCCGCACGGTTCATTTTGCTGAATTTCTTCATCGGAATTCACCAATTCTTATTCCCGATTTTCGTCCATCTTCTCTCTTCTGCAAAATTATCGTGCTTCCCCATGGATTTGTCGCATTTGTTGGTACATCAATCCTCTATCTCTCTCTTTCTCTCTCGTTTCTCGATGTTTCGTTTTTATTATTTTTACCTTTTCTCGGGGTCTACACGATAATGCCGGAGAAGCCGGATCCATGCCTTTTCCATGATTTGTTTTCTCCGACTTTTTTCAACATTCTTTCTCTCCGATTTCTTCGCATCTCTAGAAATTTGGGTATTTTTTCTTCGGAACTTCTCCGATGTAGTTTTCCATTTGATTTGAGCCGTTTCTCATCTTATCTAAATTGAAAATCAATCGATGAAATTCGTATAAAATTCGATTAATCTGAGACATTTTCTCTGTTTACTTTGTTGAAGCTGCCGTAAACGGAGCCGGAAAATTTCTGGGGACAAGACGAATAAAACTCAGGTACAAATTAGGGTTTTTTCAATTTGTTTGATTGATTCGTCCTCCATTGATTAAACTCAAACTCTGTAAATGATAGCAGAAGCTGGTTTTTGGGAAGCAATGTCGTTCAAGAACATAGTCCGGGAGATTAGGGGAATACGAAATGAGAGGAACAAAGCAATCGGCCGGCGAGGAAGATCGCACATTGCGCCGGAAGGATCTGCGTCGTCATCTTCATCAGCTTATGAATGTTCAAACCAGAGCATTTGGGTTGATTTGCCTCCAGAGTTACTTCTTGACATAATCCATCGGATCGAGTCTGGACAAACTCTGTGGCCGGCGAGGAGAGACGTCGTCGCTTGTGCCTCCGTTTGTAAGTCGTGGAGAGAGATGACTAAAGAAGTCGTTAAAGTCCCTGAGCTCTCTGGTTTGCTCACTTTTCCGATTTCCTTAAAACAGGTTTTAACTCTTTTTCTTAAATTGAGAATCATCATCGTAAGTGATACAACTTCTGAAAACATATTTTGATTCTTTGACTCAGCCTGGCCCTAGAGATGCTCCAATTCAATGCTTCATCAAACGAGAAAGAGCCACCGGAATATACCGTCTCTATCTCGGTTTAAGCCCTGGTAGCTACCTTCACCTTTACCTTCACCTTCTTCTTACTTCTTGTGAATTGAGTTTGAAGTCTTTGGACCATTGCAGCTCTTTCCGGCGACAAGAGCAAGCTCTTATTATCCGCAAAGAAAGTGAGGAGAGCGACGGGAGCAGAGTTTGTTGTATCGTTATCCGGGAATGACTTCTCGAGAAGTAGCAGTAATTGCGTAGGAAAACTGAGGTATGTTAAGTCGGTTTCTTCGTTATGGATCTCCATTGCCATGGTGTTAATAAGTTTTTGTTGTGTGGTTAGATCGAACTTCCTTGGAACTAAGTTTACAGTCTACGAAAACCAACCTCCTCCGGTTGATTCCGGGAGATCCTCAAACCGGAAACTCCCACCGTCGATGCGTGTGTCTCCATGGGTGTCACCATCTTCCCAGAGCTACAACATAGCTTCAATCTTGTACGAGCTGAATGTTCTGAGAACCAGAGGTCCAAGAAGAATGCAATGCATCATGAACAGCATCCCGGTTTCGTCGATTCAAGAAGGCGGACGAGTGGAATCTCCAACCGAGTTTACAAACCAAGAAAGGAAGAAGAAGAAGCCGCTGATGGATTTTTGTACCGGGAACTTAGGAGGAGAGTTCGTCGTCGACGAACCGTTAGTTTTGAAAAACAAGTCGCCGAGGTGGCACGAGCAGCTCCAGTGCTGGTGTTTAAACTTCAAAGGGAGAGTCACGGTGGCGTCGGTGAAGAACTTCCAGCTGGTTGCAGCTGCTGCAGAGGCGGGGAAGAACATGAACATACCGGAAGAGGAGCAGGAGAGAGTGATATTACAGTTTGGGAAGATAGGGAAAGACATTTTCACCATGGATTATCGTTACCCGATCTCTGCATTTCAGGCTTTTGCCATTTGTTTAAGCAGCTTCGACACGAAGCCTGTCTGTGAATGAATGTAACAAATTTATTATTTTCTCTGTTTGCAGTTGTTTGTGTGGTTAAATGGAATGTACATACTTTTCCTTCTTGGATCAAAAAGACAATCAGACCTTTTGTTTTTTCTTCTTAATTTTTAATTTAAAAGTGATTAACTTTTGGTTTAGGTAAGGTATGTTTTAGTCTTTCTTTGGAAGCAACGCAAATCTCAAAAAAGCCTTGCATTACTACAAAACCTGATCCATGTTTCTGTCTCTGCATCATCTCCAACATTACGAAAGATTTAGTGGTAAAGTATAAGGTTAAGGATGAAAGCTTTTGTGAGAGGATTGTTAGCAAGAGCTAATTATGAGGTGCCAAAGATTCAGAGGAAGTGGGAATGGAAGGAATCGGCCGGTTTTGGTTGCGTTACTTCATCTCCGCCGCCGGAGAAAGGCTTAGAGAATCTCACAGTGGCGGATGTGCTGCTGACAAAGGACACTGACGGTGGCAAAGTTGACACGTGGATCTCCTGCCGTACGAATGACACCGTTTATGACGCAGTTAAGAATGTTCGTTCGTTCAACTCTTTCCTTTTTTCTTCTTCCATGATTGATAATTTGTTCATCACGTTACATATCATATGTACAAATAGTCAAATACACCTGTAGACGTGTACGTACTTATGCATCGAATACACACGGAAGCGACATTTATATTAGAAACATTATACTACCAAATAATTTCTATTGATTTTATGAGATTATTTTAACTTTTTTGTTGGGACAATCTCATTTGTTTTAGATGTACATGCGTGTTTAAGTTGGTCGGAAGTCATATCGAAATAAAAACATATCGGGACAATTACTTAACATATATAATGTCTGTCTAAGAGTGAACTATTTTATGTGCTTATAATGTTAGGTTTCATGGCCTACTCCACGTTTTCATGTGTCCCAGCTAATAAGACGTGATGAATTCCACATTCGGTGCAGAATATATAATACAAATAAGACGTGTTAGATAGATCATGTCATGCATACACCGATACACGTATGTATATTCAATGGGACCAATGTCTTAATTAGACATGTGTTTGTATAAACATTATACGGTATTAATTATATAATTAAGTAATGCTCATGTTAGATTAAAAGAATTTTGACTCTTACAAAAATATTTTAATGAAAGAGAACTCTTACGTGGACTGTTTCTATGCAGATGGCAAAGCATAATATTGGATCGTTGGTCGTGTTAAGACCAGGAGATCACCAATATATCGCTGGAATTGTCACAGAGAGAGGTAGATTCTTTCTTAAGTTATGTTCTTTCCACGGAATGCAGCAAAAAAAATAAAATAAAGAGTTATGACCACTACTCAAATATCTTAAAATTTTGATCTAGTCTCTTCAAAATATCTTCCATTTGGAAGATGCTTTACTCTTTGAAAAAATTCTGAACCAAAATTCCAGAACTCTCACGGGTTAATCGTAACAAAGAATATACACATGAGATTAACACAGTTTCTTACCTAGGTTTATTCATTGTGTGATGATATAGGATTAAAACCCTTGTCATCAAAGGAAAACAATTATAGGGATTAAATATAGTAAACAACAGTCCAAATTTAATCGTAAAGTTATAATTTTTATTTTTATTTGATGATATCTATTGATTGGCTGATTGTAAAACAGACTACATGAAAAAAATTATCGGAGCGGGAAGATCATCAAAATTTACAAAAGTTGGAGAAGTTATGACGGACGAGGTGAATCACCAAAAGCTAACCTTCTCAAGTTATTGGAAATTTTCATTTATCGAGGTAATTATGTAACAAAAATTGGGTATTATTTTGGCCAGAGCAAGTTGGTCACTGTTTCGTCTGGAACAAACATAATCAAAGCAATGCAGCTTATGTCAGGTACGTAATGTATTATATATAGATACAATTTTCGTAAACAACATTTGTATACTAATTATGTATGAAGAATGATGTAGAAAACCATATAAGGCATGTACCGGTGATTGACGGAAAGATAGTGGGATTGATCTCTATGGTTGATGTCGTTAGAGCCATTGTGGACCACCAAAATGGAGAGCTCAAACGCTTGAACCAATTCATCAAAGGAGACTATTACTAGTCTAGTAATCACACTAGAAAAAATGTACTTTTCGTTTCGTAATACAATCAACAACAATTATGTAGATATATTATCAATAATTTTCTAGTACTCTCTATCACTTATTCCATCGGAGTCTCTAACACTTCGATTTCAGCTCCTTCTTCCATTATTCGTGGCCATGAAAACGACGCTGTTTTGCTTGAGGCTTTTTGATTGGATGATAATCGGTTTACTAATATAAGGTGAAGGTGAATCAGTTTTTGGTTTGGTTCAAGTATTCGGTATTCAATGGGCGTAATAATTACTGGACCGGGTCGGGTGGGGGAAAGAGTCCATGGGCTAACAATGAAATAATTATAGGGTTTTAGATTTTCTCCTTCTCCTCTCTTCGATTCACCATTTCTCTAGAGTCGTCGTCACTCAGAAATCGTTGTTGATTTCACTGTATGTAAGTGGTTTCCTCTCCCAATTTTTCTCAGTTTAGTGCGTCTGATTCATAGAATGTTAGGTCCGAAGAAATCATACCACGCTTAAGAATAATTTTTTATTCGAAGAAATTCACCGAATTTGAGATTGGCTTTTGTGTGTGTGTTCATAAGTTTCTCTTGCCATTTCGCTTGATTCCACTTTTAGCTAGACTGTAAGTGCTTCGTCTCCAACTCCATTTGAGTAAAATGGTTGTTTAATTCAGTTTTGAATATCACACCATTGTTATCGCCGATTCGATCTGACTAATTTGGTTTCGATTCGGATCTGAGATCGATTGTATATTGGATTCTGTTTTTAATTTCAGCTTTAAATCCTGTAAAACATTGTTTATTGATATTCGATTCCGAGCAATGGATCCTTCGGTTTTGATCATCATTTTGTTCTATAAGAAATTCACACTATTTTGAAATTGATTTCTGTTCTTCAGCAATGGGGAGAAAAGCTGGGAATCTGTACATAAACCCGAAAAAGCTCGGAGGCATAGCGAAACCATGTATGAAGGAAATGGTAGCGTTCCTCAACTGTATGGGACTTAACCACTGCAAAGATGATAAATGCGAGAAACAGAAGCAACTCTTGAGCGTTTGTATGCAGGGACAGGTCAATCTTAACTATATGCATTTTTGCACCAAATTTCTATACTTTTTTACCTTTCTTGTTCAAAAATCAAAATGATGAAGCTTTTGTTTGAAACTCTTTGCTTTTGCAGGCGGATCAAAAGTCCAAGTCTTGGGGAAACATTAACTACCATTTGCAGAGGTTAACCCGTGGAAGAAAATGATTATACCATCATGGATCTTGTATTCCACAAGACTGATATAGATTCTTGTTGATGGTCAAGTCAGTGCCTCAGTGGTAGTTCATGATTGTTGATCTCTTTATTTGTCTCTCTGTTTTTTTTTTCTCGTGGGGGTATTGCTTATGTATACACAAGTTGTTGGCATCTAAAAGAAGAAACTTTGAGCACATTGTTCAGTGGAAGAGAAAGGATTTGGTCTCTTTGTTTTTGCAATAAACATGTCTTTTGAGCCAAGGCAGAGAGAGGTTAATGATGTTCTGTGATACGATTTCTCACTTTTTTGTTAGAATGTAGTAACATAGCCAAACATGAGAGCAGGATATTGCTTAGTATTGTTTGTGTTGGAATGTTTTCAATTTGCAATAAAAGCATTTCATGATTAAGAGTTTAACTCTAAAAGAGTTATTAGAGCAAGAAAATTTGAATTTTTGTTTTACGGATAGTGGTTCTCTCGAATACAAGTTATCGCTGCTCAAATTGTAAAATTACCTATTAAGATCTGAGCTTGCATTTTTTTTTCTTATATCAACATGAATTGCGTATGTGTCATCTTTACGCATGGCCATGCAAGTCTTTTTTTGTCTAAAGTTGATATTAGACTCTAAACCACCACACCACGGCACCACCACAAACTATGTGCAAGCATCATTGGAAAAAAATTTCTTATACAATAAGAGTTTCAATAAGGTACAAGTGAAAGCAAATGAAATGATTCATTTGAGATTTACATATTTGTTCTTGATAAACAGTTATGCACATTCTTAACATAAATGTTTACTAAAGACTTCGTTAATTTTTACTCTGAATCGGGTGTTTTCTCAAAATCTCCGCCAGGATGCCTTCAAAAATCACAAAATAAAAATAGTCAATCATAGCCAATCATAGTAATCCTAAATATTTGATATAATGGAGCCCTAGTATATAGTGAAAAAGAACCCTAGTGTATTCTCTACATGAAATTCCTACAAGGTTCAAAACTCAGACCAAATAATGATAAGATTTGAAAATTAAAATCTTCTTAAATATGATATGACGTAGCCTACAACATAAGGAAGATAGTTTGAAATCCAAATTAAAACTCAGTTGAAATCCAATTATCATTTCTGAAAATATTTGACGTCAACAACAAAATGAAATGAAGGAAATAAGAAAAGAAAACAAAGATTACCTGATTTTGTTAGTTGCCCAATCAGCCCATGTCTTGGCCCCTTGAGCAGCCTCTCCGGCGCTGGCTTTGAAACTCGAGGCGGCAGCCTCCGCCGCAAGAGTCACCTCATTTGCCGTCACTTTAACCGGTGGTTCTTCCGCTAAAACTCTTGTCGTAACCATTATCACCATAAATATTATTGCAAAGAATTTTACTTTTTCCATTTTGGCGTACACGACTTTTTTTTCTTTTACCTATTAAATTTCTTTACAATTATTACTATTGGTTACGATTTTTCAAGATAGATTTTGCTAGATTGTTTTTTTTCTACATGACAATGTATATGTACTATTTATAGGACCATGATAGCGTTTTAAATGGCGAAAAGAGTGGAACACAAATTTTATTGTTATTGATATTTTTGATTTACCTAAATTTGAGTGTATGTACGTTTTGAGAGATTTTTTTTTGTTTCTTCTTTTTCATATCAGACACTTATGTTTTGCTGATTAAAGGAAAACTGAGTTAGCCTCAAAATCTAATAACACCTTCTAAAGTTTGGCTGGTTTTCTTATTTTTCTGCTCATCCATGGCATTGCAACAGAGAAAAGTAAAATCGTTCGGGAGCAAGAAGATTGACTAAAGAAGAAGACTCCATATAATTAGTGTATATGTGAATAGTGAAGAACCATGTACAGTAACAATTATCTTGATTTGTAACATTTTTAAATGCAAGGTGGAAGGTCAAATTTTTTGTGATATTTGATCTTCGATAAAACAATCAATTGTCAAAGTTCTATGATGTAGGATTTATAAAACTATTTGTAGATATGATATGTTTTCAGAACAAAAGAGCGAGTTAGGGTCTGACTGGTTTAACCGCTGCGGTTGCGGTTGCGGGTGCGGGAGTTTGCGGAAGCGGGCGGTTGTGATTAGTAGCGTTATTAAGCGGTTTGTACGACTGGCATAACAATTGAAAATGGATGCGTTTGCGGGATACTTATGACTGGTTCACTTGCGGATGCAATAGCGGTTAAACAATAAATTAATAATATAAACACATTATATAATTATAAAAATATCAAAACTATATTATAATGAAAATTTTAAATTTATGGTTCAACATAATTAAAAATAATTTTTTTATAAAGAATAATATGTGTATAATACTTACGTCTATCTTTTAATTTCTATAATTTAAATAAAAAATGTGATTTTATTTTCAAAATATATATTTAATGTGAAAATTAAATTTATTTTACAATTTTATTTATTAGATATATATGTATTAGTATGAAAAGAATATTTATGAAGAGAATTTTGATTTGTAGAACTTATAAATATATAAGTATTATATGATTTTAATGAATATTGACTAAAAGTACTAATTTTTTATTTATATTGTGATTTTATTATCCAAATCTTATTTTTTAATAAATATTATTATTTATTTTCGGATTTTATATAAGTTTGTGTTTTTTTTTTTTAATTATCCACCCGCAACCGCCCGCAACCGCAAACGCTTGCGGAAAGGAGCTTTTGATTTTCAGCGATATAGAGCGGTACAGAGTGGTATAGAGCGATTCAAAGCGGTTGTCGTGATTGTTATAAACCGCCGAAAACCGCTACGAACCGCAATGCTGCGTATCAAATATCAGGCCCTTAGTCTAATATTAATATTAATATCAATAAGACTATACAGTATCTATAATGTATATGGTTTTATATCGACCTCCGATCTGCCAGTCTTTTTATTTTTGTCTCTTTCCTCCGAACGATCTCTGTCAATCGTCGAGCCCCGTCGCTCTCGCCGTTGACTTCTTCCTGTGACGCCGCCACACTCTCATTTCCGCATCGCCGCTAACTGTAATTGCTTCAATTTGAGTTCAGTGTTCCGCTCTGAGTTCTATCTGACTGTTGTTATCTGGAGCTCCTGTTATCTGTTGATTGTATTATAGTCGCCAATTTATGCGACTAAAGTGCCAGTGTTAGATACATTTATGAGCATTGCTTACTTCATTTCCATTTTATTGGTTTGAATAGTTCGGCGGAGAAGACAATGGTGACGGAAGTTACGGAGACGGAGCGATGGTGCGTCGTTACCGGCGGTAGAGGATTCGCCGCAAGGCATCTTGTTGAGATGCTCGTACGCTACGAGATGTTTCACGTCCGCATCGCCGATTTAGCTCCGGCGATACAGCTCGAGCCTCACGAGGAGACTGGAATTCTCGGCGGAGCAATGAGATCCGGTCGAGTTCAGTACGTCTCCGCTGATCTCCGGAATCAATCTCAAGTTGTCAAAGGTTTGTTTGATTGCTTCCACACTATCGATTTAGCTCGTACATTCTAGGTCACTGATTGTTTAGGGATTTAAGAGAGCTAGTGTATCGTCTTCGTTTCTGTGTTTTGGTATCTGATTATAAAAGTGAAACAGCTTTTCAGGGAGCAGAAGTGGTATTTCACATGGCAGCTCCAGATTCATCAATCAACAATCACCAGCTTCACTACTCAGTTAATGTTCAAGGTTTGAAGAAACTCCAATCTGGAAATTTCCTTTTCTCTGTAATCTTAATTGCTTTCTTTGGTTTCATCAACTTCTGTATGGATCTAATCTGTAGGGACGACGAATGTAATCGATGCTTGTGTTGAGGTTGGAGTAAAGAGGCTAATCTACACTAGCTCTCCGAGTGTAGTGTTCGACGGGGTCACTGGTATTTCGAATGCCAATGAAACGATGCCGTACCCATCCAAGGTACATTATTATATGAAAACTTTGATGCATCATGTGCTTGTGGAGTTGTGTTTGAGTTTTCTGTTACTGAGAAGCTCCATCTTTTTCAGCACAATGACTCATATTCAGCTACTAAAGCTGAAGGGGAAGCTTTGGTCATGAAAGCCAATGGAAGAAATGGACTACTCACTTGTTGCATACGTCCTAGCAGTATATTTGGTCCCGGTGATAGATTATTGGTTCCGTCGCTTGTAGCTGCTGCCAGGGCTGGGAAATCCAAGGTTTTGGTCTATTTTCTCTGTTTATCTCTTTTGCCTTGTGACTTTTTATGCTCTTTTCTCTGCTTTTCAATGATGGTTTTATCATGATTGCTACTTCCATCACAATCTGTGTAATCCATTACCATGCTACATATGAAAATATTAGACATTTTGAAAATGTGCATATATCTGTCTAACGAGATGTTGTGCTTCTGGCATTGATTTGCTTAAGAAACGAAAGAATTTGATATTAATGAAAGAAAAGATAAAGATGCATGGTTTTTTGCTTAGCGTAGCATATTCAATAATTTACTTTACATTTACGATTCTTTATGGATTCTTTGTTGTCCAGTTCATTATAGGTGATGGGAGTAACCTCTATGATTTCACTTATGTTGAAAATGTTGTGCATGCCCATGTCTGTGCTGAGCGAGCTCTAGCATCAGGAGGAGAAGTTTGTGCAAAAGCTGCAGGACAGGTATTTGGTTTCAGTTGATTCCATTTTGTAGTTGCCTATATCTCAGTGGCACTATATTTGATCTGCTATAACGTTCTATTAGTATATAATGAATGAAACCGTTGTGTGTACTGAATGCACAAGTAAGGTGCAACCTTATGTCTGCGTCTTAGGGATATTAAGGAAGTCAGAAAGTTGTCCTCGTAGCTTTTTTTTAGATTTAGTTTTCTCTTAGGTGGCGTTACAAGGTGAGAAACTACATGGAGCTTGTGAATGTATGCCAATTTTCAAAAGAAAGCGGCCTACATTTTCCTAAAAGTATGGCTAATTCTGGTAGTAGTTAATCTCCTAAGTACTCTAGTTAGGGAATATATGATGTATAAAAATCCTCGTTGTAGCTTAATCTGACATGGAAAGTGGCTGTGCAGGCATACTTCATTACCAACACGGAGCCAATTAAATTTTGGGAGTTTATGTCACAGCTTCTTGAAGGACTCGGCTATGAGAGGTATCTTATCTTTTCTTCCATCTTTGGGTGTTTTTCTTTTGTTTATGTGTATTGTGTGGTGTGCTAGTCATAGTTAGATATTTCGTTTGCTCCTACCCGATGCTAGTAAAGAAAATTTCAACAAGTATATACGAAAACCAGTCTTATGTTTTCTGATCTTGTTTCTTTCTATTGTCATTTTCTGGCCTCTTCTTATATTTCAGGCCTAGTATAAAGATACCTGCAATTGTGATGATGCCAATAGCACACCTTGTGGAGCTGGTATACAAATTACTAGGACCATATGGGATGAAAGTACCACAGCTAACACCTTCTAGAGTTAGACTGCTCTCTTGCAACAGAACTTTTGATTCTTCAAAAGCAAAAGATCGTTTAGGCTACGCTCCCATTGTGCCTCTTCAGGTTTGTACAATCGTTTCATTCATCCGAGACAGAGATCAATACATTTTCTGCTTCGGTATCGCTTCCTTACCCTTTCACTCTCATTATAGGAAGGTATAAAGAGGACAATAGACTCGTTCTCAGACTTGAAAGCTCAGAACCAACCCGAGAAAGAGGGTACGTATTGGCTATATCTCTGGACTTTTCGCTTTGAGATCAAACCATAGCATTGTGATTCTATGCATAGGATTTGAGTGATGCTAGTAATCTTGGCTTTCATTAGTTTAAGGTGCATATATTGAAGAAAGTCTTATTGTGGTGGCAAAATTGGTATTTGCAGTTACTGATTCGGTTCAATGGAAAAAGCAGACACTCATTGCCATAGTCATTCTGATTACTCTCTATCATAACTTTGTTGCAACGACCGGATCTTCGGTCGTAATAACTGCACTTTCCAAGGTTTTGTTGGTTGCATCGATTTTTACGTTCGTCAATGGCATTCTACCAGAGAAAATGAAATTGTTGGGGAGCAAGAAGAAGGACTAAAGAAGACTCCAATCCATCTCAACAATCTCAATAACGCATTATATTGAGGTACCGCCTTTAGAATTTCATCCCTACATGACTCTCTCGCTTTGAGTTTGTGTACATCTTTGGGAAACATTGGTTGGATGGATGTTGCTTTATTTTGAGTTCGTATGTATTTTCCTTTGTAAACTTTCTGTTAAGAAATGAAACCATATAATCTTATTGAATGTAAAATTGTAGGATCAGAATCATATAGCGATTGATTGGATCGTATGACGATCATGAACAAGCTCATATGTCCTAGTCCACAACATTTACAAAACTCATAACTTCTTAAACAAACAATTTAAACTATTAATGCTTCCGATTCAATGAACTTCAGTCTTCAAACAAGATCTTGCGCACACATATTTATATATCTACACTTCAAATCTTAAACGATGTCGTGATATGCTTCTAAAACGATGTTATCTTAATCAAATGTCGTAGTATGCTTTTAAAGTGATGTTATACTTCAAGGAATTTCTCTCTTTTTTTTTTAATTGAGCAAAAAGCCAGACTAGCCCAGTGAATACCAAAAGTAAAGTTGGATCAGATTTGTAAATTCGAGCGTACTAAAACAGATTTATACCGAAAAGAGAAAAGAGAAGACAGATAGAAAGTGGAGTCCACCCACATTATCGTCCTCTCAGTACATAGCGTTTGTTGCGTTGCGTTGCGTCTTGAATTGGATACGCGCACTATCACCCAAGAGTCACTCCGAATCATCTCTCTCTCTCTCTCTCTCTCTCTCTCTCTCTCTCTCTACTGCCGAATTCCGCCACAAATTCTCTTAATTCTCCCCCGGAAAACAAAAAATTAGATTCCGGAGCTAAAACCATGTCGTCGTCGTCGTCGGATTCGCCTTGCTGTGGAACCACGTTCTGGCTCTTCGTCATGATCAGCATAGCTCTTGTTGCGTTCGTTGGTTTGATGTCAGGTTTAACGCTAGGTCTCATGTCTCTTGGATTAGTCGATCTCGAAGTTCTCATCAAATCCGGTCGTCCTCAGGATCGAATCAACGCCGGTGAGCCATTTCCCGCTTTATGATTTGTTGAAATTGAGACTAAAAATCAACGCCCACATTTTTCCTTGAACTGTGGCAATTTTTTTTCTGAATAAAAGTTAATCTGACATGAAAGTGGCTGTGCAGGCATACTTCATTACCAACACGGAGCCAATTAAATTTTGGGAGTTTATGTCACAGCTTCTTGAAGGACTTGGCTATGAGCGTTATCTTATCTGTAACACACTCTATGTTTTCGGATCTTTTTTCTTTCTATTGGCATTTTCTTTTGGGTAACATTTTCTGGCTTCTTCTCATATTAAGACGCCACTTTACTATATCTTTTTCAGGCCTAGTATAAAGATACCTGCAATTGTGACGATGCCAATAGCACATCTTGTGGATCTGGTATATAAATTACTAGGTCCATACGGGATGAAAGTACCACAGCTAACACCTTCTAGAGTTAGACTGCTCTCTTGCAACAGAACTTTCGATTCTTCAAAAGCAAAAGATCGTTTAGGCTACGCCCCCGTTGTGCCTCTTCAGGTTTATACAAACATTTTGTTCATTGGAGACAGAATTTATATCATTTTCTGCTTTGGTATTGCTTGCTTACCCTTTTACACTCATTTTAGGAAGGTATAAAGAGGACAATAGACTCATTCTCACACTTGAAAGCTCAGAATCAACCCGAGAAAGAGGGTACGTATTGGCTATATATCTCTGGACTTTTTGCTTTTAGATCAAACCATACCATTGTGATTCTATGCATAGGATTTGAGTGATGCTAGTAATCTTGGTTTTCATTAGTTTAAGGTGCATATATTGAAGAAAGTCTTATTATTGTGGTGGCATAATTGATATTTGCAGTTACTGATTCGGTTCAATGGAAAAAGCAGACACTCATTGCCATAGTCATCCTGATTACTCTCTATCATAACTTTGTTGCAACGACCGGATCTTCGGTCGTAGTAACTGCACTTTCCAAGGTTTTGTTGGTAGCTTCGATTTTTATGTTCGTCAATGGCATTCTACCAGAGAAAATGAAATTGTTTGGGAGCAAGAAGAAGGACTAAAATTGGACGTTGCTTTGGTTTCGAGCTCCTATGTATTTTCCTTTTGTAAACTTTCTCTTAAGAAATAAAATCGGATACTCTTGTTGAATGTAAAATTGTAGGATCAGAATCATATAGCGATTGATTAGATCACATGACGATCACGAATAAGCTCATATGTTTTAGTTCACAACAATTACAAAACGCACAACTTCTTAAACATACAATTTAAAGCTATTCAATGAACATCAGTCTTCAAACCAGATCATGCGCGGACACACACATATATATATACACACTGAAACTATAGATTATTTAAAATAGTGGAAAACTTTAAAAGGATTGAGGGATATTTGTTAAACCAGATTTAAGAACAAATGTCGTGATATGCTTTAAAAATGATGATGTTAAACTTCAAGGAACTTATCTTTTTATTTTAGATGAGTATAAACTAAAAAGCCAGTAAGTACCAAAAATGAAGTTGGATCAGATTTGTGAATTCGAGCGTACTAATAAATACATACTGTTTCGATCTTCAAAACATTATTAAAAACGTATACCGAAAAGGGGAAAAGGAGAAGAAATGTACATAAGATAGGAAGTGGAGTCCACATGTTCGTCCTCATAATACAGAACGTTTGTTGCGTCTTGAATTGGATACGCACTATAGCCCAAGAGTCACTCCGAATCAGCCCTCTCTCTCTCTCTCTCTACTGCCAAATTCCCCCCGGAAAACAAAAAGAGAATCAGATTCCGGAGCTAAAACCATGTCGTCGGCGTCGGATGCGCCTTGCTGTGGAACCACGTTCTGGCTCTTCGTCATGATCAGCATAGCTCTCGTTGCGTTCGCTGGTTTGATGGCAGGTTTAACGCTAGGTCTCATGTCTCTTGGACTAGTCGATCTCGAAGTTCTCATCAAATCCGGTCGTCCTCAGGATCGAATCAACGCCGGTGAGCAATTTCTCGCTTTATGATTTGTTGAAATTGGGACTGAAAAACTGTGCTTGAGGTTTCTGGTGAATTTTGTAGAGCGAAATTGATTCCACTAACTTTGCTCGGTAATTGGAATAATTAGCTCTCTGTTTCGTTCATTTTCTGGATAAATTATCGTTAAGACGTTTTTGTGACGTTTGATCTCTCTCATTTGTTCTTAGGTAAGATATTTCCAGTAGTGAAGAATCAGCATCTTTTGCTCTGCACTCTTTTGATTGGAAACTCTATGGCGATGGAGGTAATACTTTTTTTCTTTGATTGTGTGTTCCCTTGGCTAAATATTTGATTCAAAGACTTCTCATGTCTTTCTCTTCACATTCTTATCGTAGGCTCTACCAATATTCTTGGACAAAATTGTGCCTCCATGGGCTGCCATCGTCCTCTCAGTGACTCTTATTCTTGTGTTTGGAGAGGTTTCATATCTGTTATCCTAAGTTTTTTCATTTCCAATATACATATCCATTTGTACAATTTTGTTCATAGTTTTCATCGTTGAATATCTGCAGATAATGCCACAAGCAGTCTGCACTCGGTACGGGCTCAAGGTTGGAGCGATAATGGCTCCTTTTGTCCGTGTTCTTCTTATCCTCTTCTTCCCTATTTCATATCCAATCAGTAAGGTAGCAATGGAAATTGTAAATCCTTTTCAGGTTTAGTTTAAATGCTTGCAGAGTGTTTCTTGATTCTGATACACATTTGTTGTTTACAGGTTCTTGATTGGATGTTGGGTAAAGGGCATGGTGTGCTTTTACGGAGAGCAGAGCTCAAGACATTCGTGAACTTCCATGGAAATGAGGTAACTTACGAATATGTCAATTGAAAACTGAAGCTCTGTGGCTGAACCATTTTACATAATTTGTGTTTATTAGGCTGGGAAAGGTGGAGATCTAACAACCGATGAGACATCAATCATCACAGGTGCACTTGAATTAACAGAAAAGACGGCTAAAGATGCAATGACTCCCATATCCAACGCTTTTTCCCTTGATCTTGATTCAACTCTTAATTTGTGCGTTGTTCTGTTTCCTCCTATAATCTTATATCTCCACTGATTGATCAGGCTTTTGGACTTATAATCTGCTTTCTATCTACAATACAGGGAAACTTTGAATACAATAATGTCTGTTGGTCATAGCAGAGTTCCAGTTTATTTCAGAAACCCAACGCAGATCATTGGCCTCATTCTGGTACTTATCTTTTCATATCCACACTCCATTATTTGTGATAGTTGATGTTTCCATATCCTCTTTTATCCTTTGTGTACCTTCTCCTTCACAGCTTGTAACGTCCTCTTTTTGCTGATGCAGGTTAAAAATCTTTTGGCAGTTGATGCAAGAAAAGAAGTTCCGCTGAGAAAAATGATCATGAGGAAGATTCCACGGTAAATGAATCTCTCTAATGCTTAATTCATTCTTGACATATGTCACTGGGCAGAGTATTATATTTACAAGTTTCTTTTTCTCTCCAGTGTCTCTGAGACAATGCCATTGTACGATATCCTAAACGAGTTCCAGAAGGGTCACAGCCACATTGCAGTTGTCTACAAGGATCTTGACGAGCAGAGAAGATCACCCGAAACAAGCGAAAACGGTAGTGAGCGCAGGAAAAGCAAGAAAACTAAAGACGAACTGTTTAAAGACAGTTGTAAGAAACTTAAATCTCAAATTGAGGTATCAGAGAAGGAAGGTATATATATACACGACGCCTCATGAACTTTCACTATTAGCAACATCGCAATAGAAACACATGTTGGCTTAAATGCTTCTTTGGATTTTTAGTATTCAAAATCGAAACCGGAGATGCAAAATCCGGCAAGAGCGAGAACGGTGAGGAGCAGCAAGGGAAAACGACTCTCACGTCTGCTCCAGCTAAGAAGCGACATAGAGGCTGTTCCTTCTGCATATTGGATATCGAGAACTCTCCAATACCTGACTTCCCTCCAAACGAAGAGGTCGTAGGAGTTATCACCATGGAAGACGTCATCGAAGAGCTTCTTCAGGTAAAAAAACTCAAAACCACTTTTATATCATTAGAGAGAAACTAACTAAAAGAATCAATCATAACCATTTCATTGGGATACAAATGCTTCTTTTTGCAGGAAGAGATCCTTGACGAAACCGATGAGTATGTGAACATACACAACAGGATAAGAGTCAACATGCATGCTTCTTCTCAGGAGAATGTACCAAGCGTTATAACATCGATCACGCAATCATCATCTGGTTCGACGAGTCCTAACCAAACATCTCATATGGCCACACCAGATTCGAGTCCTACAACAAATCCAAAACATGAAGAGTCCATCCAAACTTTATGATATTGGGTAATGTTTTGGTGTTTGAGATGAAACAAGACTTCATAGCGGTGTACGTAAAAGAAAAGGATTGAGATTATTTTACCCACGAGAAAAAGCTAATTAAAACGAAATTATATATAGGTCTTTCTGGTACATTTTACTTATCTCATCAATATACATAATTCTTGTTTTAACACTCTGCAATCGCTGTTTTGTATTCATAACCGAGCCCAGGATATCATTGTGAAGACAAATTGAATTCTTAATAGAAAACTTGATTTCCTAAAATGGTTCATCCATAAAAAAAAAGGTGCACATAACTAAAGAGCATAACCGCATACATAGGAGCACAAATTAACATCCCCATTGCTTCACCAATCTCCTCCATCTTCACATAGGAGCACAAGTTAACATCTCCATTGCTTCACCTTCTCCTCCATCTTCACCTCCATCTTCACCTTCTCCTCCCTCTTCACCTCCATCTTCACCTTCTCCTCCCTCTTCACCTTCACCTCCATCTTCTCCACCATCTTCACAATCTCCTCCATCTTCACTTTCTCCTCCATCTTCACCTCCATCTCCATCTCCATCTCCACCTCCTTCTCCTTCTCCACCTCCTATTTCTAGAATATGAATTTGAAAATCTTCATTATCAGATTCTTCTTCACGGTCATAATTATACTCTTCTGTCTTCACAAATGGAACATAGATGCTTGACTTGAGTAGCTTCCCCTCGTTAGCATTAAGATCCTCAACTTGGTCTGCAAAAGCATAGAACCTACTACAATCCTCCACAAAGACATGGACTCTGCTAACAGGACATTCTAAAGCATCGTAATACTCTCCAAAGCCTTTGATTTCAACACACTGAAGACTCTTCCTCTCCGGATTCAAGTAGAACACAAAAAACGCCTCCTTAGCCGTATACTTCGCCATCGACAGAACAATCTCACCAGTAACAGTCACTCCAACAACCGAAACATAACGCTCCAAGAACCTCTCATCCCTCAAACTAAACTCATACTCCGACCACTCCTGTGTCTCCAAATCCTCAAGAACCCACACACGAAACTCAACACCATCACCATTGTAATCATCGTAAAACACCAAACCTAACTTCCCCATATAGTTCACCAACTGACACCATCCTTCCGGGTAAATAAACTCAAACGTCTCAGACCGAACATCAAAGCAAACTATCACAAACTCAGTCATCTCCCGACCCAAGTCACCCAAGTAATACACGACCCCGTCAATGCAAACCCCATCGCTCGCGTTCTCATGCATCAACGGACATTTGATATTCCTCCACTTCGTTTCCCCAAGTGTGATGATCTTATGACGATCAGGACCAGATGGATAAGCTATGAACAGTACCTTGTACTGCTTCCCGACCGGATCAAACCCGAAGAAGCTAGACGTGGTTCTGTACCTTACGAGGAAAGGCAACGTCTCGTACCGTCCCGTGTTAGGGTTACACACCACAGGCAGTCCGTAGTAGTCGTCTTCTTTGACCAACATGCCGTAGAAATACATCAACCCAGAAGCGTAGCCGAACGAGAATCGTCGGGAGCGGCGAGAATACATCAGCATGTTGTCTGGAGGGAAGCTCATGTGAAACTCGGCGGATGCTACAGGAGGAGACGAGGATGAGGAGGATGGATTCTCGTATGGACGGAGGCGTTGAGGCGTAGAGAAGAAGCTCCACTCTAAATGTTTCTCGATGGCGAATATGATACGCGGCTGAGCAGAGGGCCTCCTGGTGAGGAAGAGCTCTGTGAAATGTGCGCCGCCGAATAGTGACGCATATAGCTCCGACACGCAGTGGAACTTGGCGATTGACTTTGGAGGCAATCTCGACAATACCTCCTCGGTGATGAGTTCACTCGGGACGGAATCTGAATCCATGGCCGTTTTTTCTTACTTCCTGATCGAGAGAGAGAGAGATGTTAAAGTTAATAAAAATTGGAAATTTCTAAAATTAAGACGAAGATCTACAAGCGATTGACAATTTTTTATTAAATCTGAAAGGCGAGAGAGGAGATGGACGAAGCAGAGAGTGTGAATTTTTTTTAAAAAGGCGGAATTTTTAAACTAGAAACGAACAAGACTGAAATAAAAAAAGGGCCTAATCGTTTTTCTGAGCTAAGAATCATATAATATTAAGCAGAGAAACAGGAAATTTCACATCCCAAAGCACGAAATAGAATCATAGCAAGGAGAGAGATATGAGGGAGTGACTGTCGAGAACATACCAAATTGTAACAGTTTTGGTGAGCTTTCTTATGCAGAGCAACGAGACTGAATAAATCTACAGATTTGAAAAAAATGCTAAATGCTTTTGTTTTTCGTTTCTTTCAGCTTGAGCTTTACAGGAAAGCGAGTCAATGTAAAGAGCATTAAACCCTAGTGATCCTTGACAGGTGGCATCATCCGGGTTGCACTGAGATATCCAAGAGTCTGAAATGAGTTTGACAGCTCAATAGAGTTCGTACAAGTTTTTGTCTTGTTCGTCTTCTCAGGCAACGGAACTCTGCTTTTTGCACTATTTATCCGTTTGTATCCGTTGCACATTGGTTTTGGAAAACCAGCTGAAACCTTGTTGGGCCTCTGTCTATTTTCTTCCACTCGGCCCATATTTCAATCTTCAATTTTATCCATTGCCAAAGCTTTGCCGTTTTTGCTCAGTTGTCAAAACAAAAAAAAACATGTAGTTCTTGGTGCATGACATTGTCACTAGTCAGTTTCTTGGTAACAATGCAATTTCAGCTATGTAATGTCTTCTCATCCATGGTGGTGAACTGTGTTTTGTTTCTCATCCTTGGTTTCTTACACTTTTCTATATTATCTGAAAAAAGATAAACAGTGTTTTGTCATCCTTGGTTTAATCACGTGTATCAAATTTTCTGTTTCTTTTCCAGAAGTCATCATAAATGTGTACCTGTTTAGCCATACATTAAGAATGGAAAATTCACCAATATGCTACAATTTTTGGGTTTTCTCTTATAATCTTAAATTTATTAAAAGACTTAATTATAAAATGGGTACATAACTATAAAAAGCGTACACTCATAAAAAATAAGAGCACAAAGTTGACACCCATGCCCATTGCTTTCACCTAACTCTTAACTCCATTGACCTGCTCTTTCTTTTAGTTCTAGTTTCTCCTTCTTCTTCTTCTCCTCCTCGTCCTCCTCCTCACCTCCTCTCCTCCTCCTTCTGAGTTTTCTTCTTCTTCTTTCGTCTTCACATATGGTGCATAGATGCTTGACCTGAGTAGCTTTGCATCGTTAACGTTAAGATCCTCTACATGGTTTGCAAAGGTGTAAACAAAACGTTTCCCAAGCTCTTCACTGTCATCTCCAAAACCTTTGATTTCAACACTATGGTGAGTCTTCGTTTCAGGATTGAAGTAGAAAACATAAAACGGCTGTTTAGATGTGTAATAGCACATGGAAAAAAAAATTTCACCGGCATCACTCATTCCAACGACTCTGATGGAAACGTTGGAGCACTCATCAAAGAAGATCTTGTCATCCCTCAAAGTGTATTCAGGTTTCGACCATTCCGGTTTCTCAAAATCCTCTAGAACCCGCACACTAAACACAATGGCATTTTCGTCAACTCTATCCTCCCAATGATACACACCTAATTTACCTTTATAGTTTATCAACGTACCAAATATTTCTAATTTAATAAACTTGAATGTCTCAGACCTAACATCAAAGCAAATTATATCACCCAATAATGCTTTATTACCTCGGACCCGACATAACTTCTATGATGACCTATGTAATACAAAACCCCATTGATGCATATCCCTTGACTCCATGGCTCATGGGTTAAGGGACATTTGATCTTCCTCCACAACCTCCTTCTTCCAGTATCTAATGTCATAATTCTATGATCACGCCATTCAGAACAACGTGGATGATAAGCCATGAATAACACCTTGAATTGCTTATCAATCGGATCAAACCCGAAAAAGTTATAATCCTCTTTGTACCTTTGCAAATAAGGTAACGTCGCATAGAGTCCCGTGTTAGGGTTACATACGGCAGGAACTCCATAGTTATCGTCCTTTTTGCTCAGCAAAGCAAAGAAATATATCAAACCAGAGGCATAACCACATGCAAACTGTCTGTCAGTACGAGGATACATCTGCATATTGTCTGGAGGGAACTTCGTATGAAACTCGGCGGATACTACAAGAGACGACAACGGCTTCTTGTATGGATTTCGACGCTGAGGCGACGAGTAAAAACTCAATCTGTTGCGTTGTTCGACTGCAAACAAGAGACGTGGACGAGCCGAGGATCTTGTCAAGAACAACTCGGTGAAATATGGAACACCATAGCTTCGACAAGCAATGAAACCTCGCAATTTATTTTTTAGGAAGTCTCGAGAATATCTCGATCATGAGATCAGTGGGGATGGAATCTGAATTCATGATTGCTGATCGGTCGGATAGGAGAGACTATAAAACTTATATTGAGACGTGACCTCGAAAACCTAGATGTATGCCTCTATGTATACTAACGATGTGTAACATTAATGAGCGTCGAAAAACATAGATATAAATTTAAAGTTACATAAATAAATAAATGAAAAATGCTTCTATGAATTGTTTATACATGAAATAATTGCATACAGAACCGCACACTTCTTCTTTTTACCTACTTGTCTCTTGCAGTTAGTTTCTACTCGTATTGAAAACACCAAAACACATACTAGTCTGATCATGAAACTTAAAAATGAAAAGAACTTCCGAATTACATCTAGTTATGAAACTAGTTTGATGTTCGAATATCGGATTTACATCCATGAATCCAAGACGCCGTGAAAGTGAGAAGCCATCATATCAAAGAAGAAGAAATGAAAAAAAAACAAACCGCTTTGGAGTCTGCCGGAGAAGAATGGTGGTGGTGGTTGATCAAAATAACTCATATAATTAATCTCTGGCTGAAAAATTACAACCACAAAGATCCTCGAAATCGCGCTCCAAATTTACTCACAATACTGTTTTTTTTGTTAGTTTGCTCTTGCCAAATAAACTGAACATTGTTGCAGAAACTGCTCTGGCTAGTCGCTCTCACTACTATGTCTATCTGCAAATATACAACATTGACATCCAAAAAGCAAAAAAGGTTACAATTAGCTCAATTCTTGTTCAATCGATCGGTTGCAAAATCAAGAAGGAAAATGTAAGTGTAAGCAATTACCTCCGGATGATCTTTTCCCTTCCATTGCGTCCTTCTTGTCTTGGCAAGTTGCGCAGAGGAACGGACCATCCCACGGACGAAGTTTACGGCAATTAGCCGACCCCGCGTGGATCGAGACGCCTTCTCCAGGTTTCACTTCTACTTGGCACACAGCACACATGAACAGCTTAAACATATTGCAAAGCGGATACTTTGTGTCTAATCTGCAACCAACAAAACAAAACAAGTTCATTAAGATTTAGCATATCAAATATGTGAAGATTGCGTAAGCAAAAACTACACACCTCTCTGAGAGCATAGCAGAGCCTTCTTCAAAGAGTTCTTCAACTACATCAGGCTCTGCGTACTCTTTCTCGATGTTAGATGACGAGTCGGAAGATTTTCTTTTGAACATGGACTTTAGCATTCCTTTTCCTTGCTTTTTCGGAGGCGGCACCGAAGCAGCTGGTTTTTCCAATGGTAATATGTCAACAACGATGCAGGTTGTGTCATCGCGGAGACCCTTTTTCCCCACAGCTTCCTGTGAGAATGTAAATGAAACGTCAAGGTATTTATAAACAGAAGAGAAGAATATGTGCGGAATAGAGAAAGTCGGATGCTATACTTTAACAATATGCTCCGCGGAGGTTTCAGGTGGCAAGCCACGGCAACAATCAAGAGCCTCCTCTGCACTAATTGCATCCCACACACCATCACTTGAGATGATAAGTCGACCACCAGCTGAAGACAGCTACATAACCATAAACAAACAGATAGATATTTTAGGATAAAATATTTAGAATGTGAGCTAGCTCCATAACCACAACGGAAGAAATTTTTGTGAGTTTTTATCTACCTTGACTTGCTTCACGTAAGGAACTGGAACAATGTATTCGCCAACATCCAGATCTCCAATGGATCTTGAGAGACAAAGACCACCAGGCCAACATCTCAGAGGACCAATCTAAAAACAATTTAGATTTATAAGTTGCTAGAATGAAGAGACGTAATGCGGGCAGAAGAAAGTGTCAAGTATTGTCAAAAGAAAGTACCTCAGTACCCCCACCAGTATTTAATCGACCAACTTCACCACCACTTGCAGTGACACGATCTCGCCTGTTAAAAAAAGCCAAGAAATATTGATATGCCAATATATACACAATAAGATTTATCATCAGCTGGGTCAATATAAGGAGCAAATATGACTTACTCTTCTTCGTTTATTTCAAGCCGATGATCAGCAGATAAATAATAGACACCACCCTCAGCAGGCTCGAGTATGCAACGAGAGTCACCCACAGATGCAACACTCACCACCCATCCTTCTACTATTACAAAAGTTACAGTCGTTCCAGACGTCCTTGCTGACATGCCACGAAACAATAATCATATAAGAATGAAATGACACTGAACGAGTTCACACATTGGTACTCAAAAAAAGTAGAGAGTTAAATTACCTCTTTCCTGGAAATCTTTATCAGTTTTAACAAATCCTGCAACCAGAGCCCTAGGAAGTGCCGCAACCCACTCATCTCTGTTGAGATCAGAGGGTATCGCAGCTAATACATTGTTCAGGAGGTTCTCCTTTGTGTAGACAGCTGCTGCAGAACCATTGTGTCCATCAAAAAGCTGCAATATACAATACGATTCAATGTTTTAACTAGAAATATCAAACAACAATTATGGTATGTCAATGTCAATCGAATCATTTCACACAAATGTGGGTGTAGATGCAGAAATGTATATCATTTCCCAATGACTGTAAAGCGCAAACACATGCTCAAGAACTGTAATGGTTTAGGTTCCTATGACTGATGATCCAGGAGAGAAACTTGAATGAGAAAGAGCACTAAGAAAAGAAAATAAATAAATACCCCAAAAACTGAGAAGGTGGTAACTCCATCACCCATGACCCTTTGGCACTCTGTTTTAACAAGCGCAAAATCCTCGCCTTTCTTGCTCTGATTCGCCTGCCCGTGTATAAGCTCAGGATTGTCTATCTTTTCATTAGCTGACTCACGCTTGAGCAACACAGAAAGTGGAACTGTATGATGTTCTCCTTTAGTTGACATTGTTTCCCCTTTAGCTTAAAAGATCAGAAAATCCGAAGAAACTGAGACTAAAACTTCCTCTATTTCTCCACCAAATCTCCTATCATACCAAAAACAAACCTGATACAGAACCAAAAAAAAACCATTTAAGAATCAGAAACCTCTTGAATCCAGATTTCTTAAACGATCTAAAACTTGGTTTCCAAGTTAGTCAAATCCAATGTACAGCTCCAGCAAATGCTCCTAAAATTAGAGTAAACATTCCGATCCACATTGCGAGATCGAAACTGAGAAACGATTGATACAATCCAGCCGAGGAAAACATCAAATTAGATCTTCAAATCAAACAAAGCAATAAAATCAAATATGTGAGCATCGTAAACACAGAATCAGAACGAAAAGCTGTCAGCATTCGCGGATGAATCGAGTTTTTTCAAAAAAAAAAAAATAGAGAATGTGAAAAATCAAAGCGCAAAACGAATGATCTGAACAAAATGGAGAGGCGGATTGTTGTTCCATCAAACTCCAAAAATGAAATTCCGATAGCAGAAGAAACAACGATCACAATCGTGCGAAACAAAATGATACAATGAGGAGGAGAAGCTTTACGATTTTGCGATGAAACGGAGATGCAGCAATAAACGGCGACGGAGAGATTACGCGGAGAGAGAAGGAGATGTTTCTTCCTCGAATCGAAAATCACGGATCCCGGCGCTCTGCGGAAATTCCATCGTCACAGCCGTAAGAGAGAGAAAGAAGAGAGAGAGAGAAGAGAGATTACAGAAAACGCGCAAACGAAGGTGTCTCTTTCTCCTCTGTCTCTCTTTTTTAATTTGTTTAATTGTTTTTTTTTGTTCTCTCTCTTTTTTCTTATTTTTATTTTTTTAATTGAAAACCTCCGCCGTTCTCTCAGCCATAAGCAGCACCGTTATGTTTTTATTCGGCGCAAATGCAAACGAGAACGCTGTCGTTTTCATTCGCACGTGGTCGACCTGGTTTTAACCCCAAATCTCGGATAAAAATTCAACTTCGCATACGTAGACATTTTAATTTTTATACAAATAGTACTAAAGAAAACATCAATCACGCCTGGATCTTCAATTTGTACTCTATTTTATATCATAGTTTTAAATAGGAACAAAACACCAATTATATATGTAGACAAATTAGCATTTTGTTTTTATTACAAGAGAAAAGTTTTACACCAAAAAAGTCTAAAGAAAAATAAAGTAAGCTGACGTGTTAAACCTAGAAGTCGTAAATATAGACACAACAGTTGTTAATGTGTTATATTACACTTTGTGTCAGTATTAATAATTGAAAAGTATATATTTCATAACACCAAATAATTGAAATTTTGATTCTCGGGACATTAAAGTCAAGCGAAACACGTAGTATTTCACAACTTATTCCTCACGGGCCATCCAAATGACTCTCGGGGCCATACCTAAAACCATATGATTCGGACTTAGGAGTGTAGAAATAGGACAATGATTTTACTGATAATCTGAATACAACTGTACAAGTATCGAGATGTGAACAAAGAAAATCTTGAAGATAATACGAAGTTGAGCTTCTTGTTTGGTTCTTGGGTGCATGTGCGATCATAGCTGCAAAATCCACTCGTATATATCAGTTTGACTTGGTCATTCTCTTTAGCTCGGACTCTCTCTCTCTCTCTCTCTCTCTCTCTCTCTCTCTCTCTCTCTCTCTCTCTCTCTCTCTCTCTCTCTAAAGTTGAAATTTCGAACTAGAGTGGACTTGGGCCGAGTTAAGATTATATGGGCATATTATGGCCGAGTTTCAGAAAGTTGTTTGGGTCGGAAAAGGTCTGACTTTATTTCAACGTGTTATAAGTTTAAAAGTAAATTCAGTATCAAAATGTATTACTAGTTCATCATCTTCCTACTTATAAAACACGATTTCAAGTATAGAAAAGCACACAAGTTCTTAAAAATACTCTCCTAAGTGAGATTTTCACTCAATATATGGATTTAAATGTAATATTTTATCATTTTTGTAAGAGTATTGCTACCAACACAAAACGTATTTTTTGGCGAAACAACTATATCTTAAGGTGCCCAGGTTTGGAACATTTTCCTAGCATAACATTCAATGGAAAATATTGTTTTGTGACCAATCTTTCACTAAATATCAACTAACTATCCATTATAGATATTTTTTTTTTCTAGCTTGTTACAACCATGTTTATTCTCATATTGTCATATATAACTCAAAAGACTTTATACACTTAAGTTTTCGGCCACCTCTACTTTGACATTCAAGATTATTGATGTATAATGAGATTTACTTAGTACGGTAGCTTACGTACAAGATTGAAATGTGTATTCTCAAAACATGGACTCATAATATAATGTATAATTATGGGTTGTTAACCTTGAAAACAAGATTGATTATGGATTGTTATTTGTTAACCCATGATAAAACCTATAACTTGTGAATTGTGATTAAGCTAGGTCACAAGATGTAGAATTAGTTTTTATCAAAAAAAAAAAAAAAAAAAAAAAAAAGATGTAGAATTAGTTGCTGATAGTCTTGTAGAAAAAGAAAACCATACTCTCTCTATTTTCTGAAACGAAAACCATACTCTTTTATTTGAGCTATCGAGAGAAATCCTTTCCCGGTATTTTAATTAGAAGTGACCGATAATGCCATTACCACCTTATTGATTAAAGCTCCATCATTTTTTAAAATATTTTTTTGTATGGGGGAAGAATATTAGTGACAGAGGACATTGCTTTACATGTGATACTAGAATCGAATATGGATGGGGCAAATGACTTAACTTAACGTCTGATGTGTCATAAGAAAATCCTACGTGTAAGGAAAAAGGGGAAATCTATTGTGCCAAACACACAACTCCATGAGCAGATCACAAACCTTACCGAAGCAGTCCTGGCCATAGAGTGCGTTCACCACTTGCGGTACCTTTTTACTTCCATCTATAAAAAAGCCTTGCTAGTCTCTCTTATTCAATCACCAAACTCACATCAACATTAAAAGCTCATCACACTTCTTGTGGCTCTACATTTCTCTACTTTCATAACCAACAAAAAAAATATCAATTATGTATTTCGTCGCAGACTTTGTCGTCAAGAGCTTTGACTGTGCCTCTACAGTGTATGTTGAAGATGTTGTGGATAGTTCTGAAGCGGTGGCGTATGTAGAGAATGGTGGTGATGACGATGACAGTGGCTACGATTATGCTCCTGCTGCGTAATTTGTATATCCTATTAGTATAAAATTGTAATTTAGGAGGGGGAAAAGAGATGATATATATGGTAATTTAGATATCTAGCTAAGCCATGTAGGTACAACTGTACAAGGTACTAGATAGTAGATAGTGTGGTAAGTCTTCTTAGACAAACATACACTGTTTCCATAATGTAGAAAATCCTCTCTTTCTTATCCCATAATCACTTTTTGTCTCTTAATTTTGGAAGTTAATTTTATATTTGTTTGCACTTTATATCTTACTTAATTAAACGCTCATTTAACTAAATAACGTTAATATAATAATTGTTTTCAATCGAAGAAAGCCAAATTTAAAGTTCAAAAGCGTGTGTTCTTTTGGAATGCCTGTGTTCTTTATTTTGGTGTATGCAACTATGATGAATGACTTGTCTCATGTTTCACTTGTAACATTTGATGCACTTTTATTTCTTTATTGCTAAACTTATTAGAGTTTGTATAATCAATGATCCTCCATCTCACGTGACAAATTTTGATTGGCTTCCTTTCTAATATTTAAAGATGTACACACAAAATTTTAGCCGTACTGTCTTGTTTGTGTGACTTGGTTTTCTTTGATGTCGACTGTTTATTGATTCATAGTGGGTGGGTGCAGTCATGATGTGCGTGCACTGCTCTGTCTGATTCTTTTCTGTTGTGAAATATTCCCATATGTGCTAAAGCTTGTGCAAACAAGAAGGGAATGAGCCAAGACAGATTCTTGTTTTCACATGGACAAAAATTCATAACATACATATATATATTTGATGTTCCATGAGCTAGATTTCTGGCAAGACGATGGTGTTTTTGTCATCTTGCCTCTGCTTGTTGTTTTTCATTTCCGAGCTGGGAGTTTTCTTCTCAGTGTCATCATGTCATGCTAAGAAATCTATGCTTTTGTATCACAGTTGAACAAATTGGATTTTGCTAAGACATATTTAAAAAAAAAAAAAAAAAAAAAAAAATTGCTTTAAGGCTTTACTGGAACACCAATGGGTAAACAAAAAAAAATCATACAGTACGTTTATGGTTGCATATCCTAAATCCTGTACATTTGAGAAAAAAAAAAGATTATAAACCATAAAACCCCAAGAAAAAAGAAGAGAGCAAAGATAGGAGGTCAATGTTGTGGTTATGTCTAACATACCGGCTCAATTTTAGAATATAAAATAATGTGTTTTCTTGATTTTTATGAGAGAAAGAAATCGATGAAAATGATGATTTTTATTTCATCACTTTCAAAGGTAGATATACGATTTCACCAATAACAATTTAGATGTTTAAAATTTGAAAGTGAATGAAAAAACTATTATTGAAAATTACTTCAAAATTAATAGTACTCACTTTATCTAGTTAAAACACATGGAGATAAACATTTATTTAAGATCTTGCCACAGCAACCAATATTCCCATGATTTAAAAAGCTAAACCTTTTCTTGCTTACTCTGAAAAAAATGTTTCGTAAATAAATTTCCTTAAATAAGAAATGTAAATGTATATACATATGTGTAGCGTACGTGTCGTTACAAATCCTATGTGTCAAAAAGTAAATTGGCATTCGTAATCTAACAGACAACATGTCACACTCCTTGCTGAGGTCAGTATAAGACGGGAGCGAGTCTAAACTTCCATCAACTTTTGTTCCCACCTATAAAAAGCCAAACGATCTCTCGTTCTTTCATCAAACCTCTTTGTTTTGCAATTGCTCTTACGACGCTTGACTTGCATTTCCTTTTCCCGTTTTTCAAGAAAAAAAAAGGAACTATGAT